GTGTGCTTACTATATTGTTTTTGTTAGGGCACCTTAATCAAAATGAATTTACCCTTCGAGCTGCGCCATTGCTGGCCGTTGACCCGAAGCGTGAACGACTTCACAATAATTTTGTCTGCGCGTTACTGGGAAATCTAACTAGGGACCTTCCTGACCATGGAGTTGCGAGCTGGGTTTCCGCAAATGACAAGCCAACAGTGGTGTCCAAACCGGCCTCTGGAGATGCCGCTGAACAGCGCCTCAAGACCGAGGTCATGCAGCTCCCACCGAGAGATAGGCGAAGATTAAAAGCGATCCCAGAGGTAAGCATCCCGCTAGAAATACACAATTTTTTGGCCGGTTGAACCTACAATTCCGCTGACATGGTAATTATAGCCCGATCCAAGTACCCTTCCTAACCCTCTCGAGGAATATCAACTGGCAAGACAGATCAGGCTCCCAGACCAAGTTCCTGCGAGCGCCGGGGGCTTAAACAAAACAAGTATGACCTGCCGTTAACTACTTCTATTTTCCAATCATTATCTAACAATTGATAGACTGGGAACTTGAGATTCGTAAACGATATGCCCAACCTCTAGCATCAGAAACGGGAGAGTTTCCTGACTCCGAATCAATATATGCGCGCATGACACCTATTTGCTATGAGGAATCCATATCGAATGGAGCCACTTTTGCGTGCGCGACTTACATGGCTATTGCGACCGAAAATTTTGTAAAGACATTTCTCTCTAATGTTTTTGGCCGGACCAAGTGTAATGGTCCCTCAGGAACTATAAATGGAATGACGACGAGGAAATATCGCCGCCAATTAGAACGTGAAGAAATGGCATTTACACGAGGAGAGCTGGTTAGAAATACCACCAACGGCCTTCTCCCTGTTGAAGCAAAGGAAGCGAGCAATCGCCAACCGTTGGGGCTACGTGACCTCAAATTGACCCTGGACATCGCGCCTGGGGCTCTTGGGCACATGCCCCTTATCATTAGCCAGATAATGGGGGGATATCTTGAAGAAGAACTTGAAGCGGAAAACCAATGTTACATACAAGAGGCCAACACTGCTACCGATAGCGCTGATCATATACCCTCTGGAGACGAAATGGATATCGATGAAGAGCCTTGGGACTGGGACGGTGCTACGGCTGCGGACCATAGCCAACTCAACTCGATTCTTGATGAGTGCCTTTCTATGGCATCCTGATGTACCGGTCTGGAGTCGAGAGGTGCATATTAATTGGCGCAAGCACTGGTTTTTTGGATTTTTGAATACTATTTTGTCTACCATGGAGTTGTGTTTCCGGATGATTTGCATTGGAAGGCTGGGTGGTTACGCAACGCTAAAGAACGTATTTATTGTTAATCTATACATTCATCCCAAGTTCACAAATGACATGGCGGGCTCACTGTCGGATATATGTGTGAAGTATTTGGTGCATTCACTACGTCTAGTAAATAGCATGTTCGCTCATAAGAAACCCCCGGAGGAGCCTTTTACTAATCGTTAGACATGATATAGTTTTAAAAGTAGGTATCTATAAATGAAATCATTATGCTGTACCCTATTTACCCCATGGAACTCCAGTTTGCAAATAATAAGAACGCAGTCAGTGATATGAAAATGTATGATATAGGCGGCGTATTCGTGAGAGAAGTGACCCAACCATGGCCAACAATTTTATACCACAGCCTATTCCAAGCGATTGAGTGTGATCTTCAAGATCTCTTCGGTGGTTTTATGGGCATTGGCAGGATCTTTGCTCACTGTCTGCCAGATTTCTCCATGTTTCGGTTCCGTGGCAATGCACTTTGTTAGGACATCTTCGCGTTTCTCCTACATGAAAGACTAGGCGTTAGCAAGGCTGAACTGAGAAAGAAGAAGCTACTGAAAAGAGGCAAGGACTTACATCTGTTCCATGCTGGAGAAGGAATTTATAATACCATGCCCAAACATCTCCCAGATCGCTATTCGCAACGATGGCCTTTTCAAACCAGGTCATGGCTTTCTCCAGCCGTCTTTCACCCCAGAATATACGAGCAACGGTGACAAAGAGAATAGGATCGTTGTCCACCTTCTTAATAGCCTCCAAGCTTCGAGGTTTCCGGTGTGTGCGAGGTTCAAGGTGCCATATGCTTTCACTCCACAAAAGACCTGAATTCGGGACTTCTTGCAGAGCCTTCGACATAAGGGATTTAGCCTGGCTCAGATTGTTTGCTCGGCGTTCTACCCTGACACTCTCGGTCCAAAGTTCGGCATTCTTTGGAACGGCAAGTCGAGCGCGATCAAGTACTGATCTGGCTTTCACAACAACGCCAGCTTTCTCTTCTAGCCTTGAAGCAAGGAGCCAGAGCGGCACTGACTTGGGGCATGCTCGGGTACCTGTTCCGTATGCTTCCCGAGCTTGCTGGATTTGTCCGTCACTTTCATAAATTTGCCCCTTAAGCATCCAAAGCTTGTCTGCTTTAGGATATAGCTGTAAACCCTGGTTGACCAAATCCAAAGCATGATCCCTATTGCCGAGCTGGCGCTCATAAGCCACACTCTTGATCCAAACCCTGTCTGTACCAGCCTCTCGCCGAGCGGTTGACAGTAGTTCTCTGGCCTGTTCGATTTGATTAGTATCAGCCTCGAGTTTCACTGCCGCGAGCCAGATATCTTCATTGTTGGGGTTCTGGTGGAATGCCCGCCCAAGAACTCGTCGTGTATTGTCAATCTCGCCAGCCTGCCACTTCTCTTTGGCTAACTGCATCCATAGTTCCTCAGATCGGGGGCAGGCCTCAACAGCCTTCTCAAGTAGCTGCCAGAGACTTTCTTTGGTACCATGATTCCGCTCTAGATCTGCCGCAGCAAGCCATACCGACTTCTTATTGACGAAAATGCGGAGTGCATAGGCATATATTGCCCTTGCCGTCTCATATTTCCCTCTTGCAATACTGCCCTTCGCATCTTCCATCCAGATATCCTTTCTATCATCGTCTTCGTCAAGACCCCATCCCAATGTTTCTCGGATAATGGCGTTGCAGGTAAGAATTGCATCCTCTTCTTCGCATTTTTCAGCTTCGACAATCCATTCTTCCCGCTTCGGCATGGCGGAATCTCTAGCAAGAGATTGGACAGCCCTTTTCATCACGTTTACTTTATTTGCTGTCCCCATTTGCTCCTGTAGCCTGGCTGCAGCGATCCAAATATCGCGACTGGTAGGTACCGCTTTACGAGCTGCGTTGAGGACCTTTTGGGCATTCTCAGGTGTTTCCAAACGTGCCAGTGCTAGCCATAGCTCAACGGAGAGAGGTATTATTTCAGTGGCTTTGGCAAGTAGTAGGCGTGCATCCTCGGGGTTCTCTTCCAGGTTCACAGCTTCTTTCCAGATGGTGACTGACTGGGGTACGTGTAGAATGGCCTGTCTCAGGACATTTTTCTTGGCTCGAGGATCAGACTCCAGTTTCATAGCTTCGATCCAGAGTCTCGTTGATCGATCATTATTTTTGATCGCGTTTGCGGCGATGATTTTGGCATTGTGATTATCATTGAGGCGGATATTCTCTAGCCAGACATCCTCACTTTTTGGACAAAGTTCACAGCCTCTAGCAATGTAATTCCTAGCGGCTCCGATGCGACCCGCAATCTCTTCTAGACGAGCAATGGCGATCCATCCGGGAGGATGTTTCGGGTTGGTTTTTGTGACCGACTCCAGAAGTGTCCGCACACGCTTGATATCTCCAATCTCTACCTCACCAGCCTTCATCTCAGATTTCGTCAAGCTTGTCAGGTAGCCCTTCGGATCAATCGACGTTGCACTGCCGGACGCAACATCTCCGTTCGAGCCTTCGGCTGCTTGATCCAAGCGAACCTGAAGCACCTTATCTCTGGCTGCACCAATATCAGCAAAATTGGTGATTGTACCGTCGGCATTTTCACCTTGAGGAACGAATGACTCAGTCCCGTCGTCGTTGATGGTAGTGCTAAACTCAGTTGAGTCTCTGGCGTTCGCTATGACGCTGTCTGGTACAGCATAGAATCTCTGGCGCATATTTTGTCTAGCTCTTCGGTTTTTGCCTGTGAGATCTCCAACTTCAGGAATATTAGCCCAGTCCTCATCGGATACTGAAGCTAATGACCGCTTGAGATCTGCGAATTGTTGTTGTATTTTAGGATTTTTTCTCTCGTACTCTTCCATTTCCTGGCGTTCCCGAGCTTCCCTATTATAGCACGATGTGGCTTATGTTGGTAATCTGTTCAAAACGAAAGGGAGTTCTAGGACAAGATAAACTATTGGGTTCTTGCACAGACTCAAATTGGACTGGAAGGGGGACTATTAAACATACCTTCTCGCTTTGCGCCTTTTGTCCATCTTCTCATCCACAGCCTGGTACACCTGGTCTGCTTCGTCGTCATCTCGGTCATATTGACCATAGGCGAATAGGCCGGTCTCGTTCTCTGGGTCTTGATACCGGTCATCATCCTCCTCCTCTTTATCTGCTTTCCCGCCCTTCTCCCCCCGAGTCGAAGCTCCATATGCGGTCGGGGGTGCAGTACCCAGCAACGCAGCCCGCTTTGCGAGGGCTTCCTGTATCTGTTCTGGAGTAGGGCCTTCCCGCGCTGGCCCAAGATCAGACCGAGTCGTGAAACCGGTAGCACCACGGCCGAGTCCAGCAACGTAGTTTTCGGGCGCCGGCTGGCTAAGAAAATCCTTGCGCCCTGACATCGTCGGTAATACGGGGATATATGTAGCTGTTAATGTAGTTGGTTTCCTGTTGGCTTCAACGAAGCTCGAAGCTGGACGGGCATCTAGTAAACTGCCTGGACCCCAGGCCGGCCACCTGACCTTTTATATACCTGCGGATAAATATATTTCCGCGCCGGCCTATTTTTTTTTTTTTTTTTTTTTTTCGAACACAAAATTATTCAAGAGCGCAGGCAGGAAATTTATAAGACAGATATCAGTGAGCCTTGGGGGTTGCAAGACAGGACCTGACAGAACAGACAGCTCACGGAGAAGGTCAAGATGCCCAAGGCAAAGCAAGGGAAGCGCAATAATGCGGCACAGGCGAGCAGTCCCTATGCGCAGGCTGTCGCCAAAACCAAGGCAGCCCACAACATATTCCGCATGAATACAGATATAGGCCAGCACGTCTTGAAGAATCCTGGAGTAGCTCAGGCTATTGTGGACAAGGCAGATCTAAAGCAAAGTGACGTAGGTTTTACTGTCTGCTGTTTGGGCATGCTTCAACTAATCTCAAACTGTAGACTGTGCTAGAAGTTGGACCTGGTTCTGGAAACTTGACCGTCAAGATCCTGGAGAAGGCCAAAAAAGTCATAGCCGTGGAATTGGATCCGAGAATGGCGGCAGAACTGACAAAGCGTGTACAAGGAAAGCCGGAACAGAAGAGACTGGAAGTCCTGCTTGGAGATGTTATGAAGACAGAGGTACCTTACTTCGATGTCTGCATAAGCAACACTCCGTACCAGGTATAGATCTTAAATACCCATCTGTCAGACTGTGGGATATAATAAGCGGCATCTACTGACTGCTGGCGTATAGATTTCGTCTCCATTGACCTTCAAACTGCTAGCTACGAACCCGGCACCCAGAGTATGCATCCTCATGTTTCAGCGTGAATTTGCAATGCGACTGTTCGCAAAGCCGGGGGACAAGCTGTACAGTCGTTTATCCGTGAATGCGCAAATGTGGGCAAAAATAGATCATATCATGAAAGTGGGCAAAAACAACTTTAAGCCGCCGCCTGCCGTCGAATCTAGTGTGGTTCGCATCGTCCCGAAAGTCCCACGACCGGATATTAGCTACGATGAATGGGATGGTCTTCTCAGAATCGCCTTTGTTAGGAAGAACAAGACACTGAGATCTAGTTTCCTTGGAACTACCAGCGTTGTGAGTATGCTAGAAGCTAACTACTGCACATGGTGTGCCCAAAACAATATCCCAATTGATTCAGACCTCCTGGATGGTGACCAGCAGATGATCACTGAGGAAGAGGATGACCAAGGCGAGGAGGAAGTTGATGAAATAATGGACGTTGATGACGAGGATGACGTTCCTGACTTCTTTAAAACGGAGAAGGTCCAGACAGCCTCCTCCAAACCTGGTCCCACGAAACGTGGGAAGGTGACAAATCTCGTCCGAGAAAAGATCAGACAAGTTCTCGAAGATGATACCAAGCTCGCGGACAAGCGTGCCCGGATGTGTGACGAAGGGGAATTCCTAAAGCTTCTTTGGGCATTCAATCAAAAGGGAATCCACTTTAGCTAGTCGAACATCATGATTCATTTCATGAATACGCTCTAAAGTGGTCTATGCAGTCGAGTGAGGCCTCTCTACAGCAGCGCCGCCTGATCTGAGATGCGCACTTGAATCTTGAAACAAGCTTTGCCATATGAAAGCTTCGCTCAAGAGCAGCTCTATATCCTTCTCTGTCCACTCTCGCGTTGGAAGTGCCTGGAGGAACATCATAACCTCCTATCCCACGGTCAGCATGTACTATGGAAGCTTAGCAATAACGGGCAAGACAAACCTGAAAATCCATCTTCAGCAGCTGCTCCGACCACTTGACGAGGAATGCAGCGCAAACATATAGGTGAAACCGTGAAAACCCTTGCTCCTCTGCCTGGAATTCAATTAGCACAGTCGTTTGGGGTCTGAGGCTCTTCGAAGGTACGCTACCATATATGTATCCCACATCCTTATTGTATTTTTGATGCTGATTTCCCGCATAAGTAGACAATTCATCCATCGAAAGCTGAATTGCATAAACTCGACTCCCTCATTCTCGAGGTGTTTGGTCAATGCTAAATCAATGCGTCTCGTGAGGTCATGAAGTGCATTAACTTGCCTGTGTATCCCAGGCTGTGCATAAATATAATTATCTTGGATGCCGTCAAGAAGTTTGGTCAAGCACCAAAAGGAGTCTGCTTCTACAGCATTGATCACTGGTTGCGGAAGCTGGCCAGGATCCATGCCTTGCTCGATATCAGAATCCGTAATGTATGAGCCCAGGAAAACCTGCCAGAAAGGAGTGACAAGATCATTTATTCCTTGGACATATCCACTGGCAGGGTGTCGAATTGCCCAAACATAGAGGATTCGTTCGAGTGACCGTTGTGTTGCCTCGTAGGCATAAAGGGGTATGTGAGGGTTGGTCCGTGGGGTATCAATACTGATTTGATGCCAGATTGCCTCATCAATCCCTCTCCCACCACCTAAATTTGGAGTTGAGGAGGTAGCAGGCACAGCTTTCGAACCAATGGATGAATTACGCTCGAAGGCTTGCCGTACGCCATCGAGATATTCCTTTCGCTTACGCTCTAGTGTTGACACACGACGGTCACTGTTCGCGGGCAAGTACCCGAGCAGTAGTTGCCAGGTCATTGCCCTGACTTCTTCTGGGATACCCGACCAAGCTAGATCACGGAGCTCAGGCAACGATACGGTACTTGATTGGAGTATCCGTTTAAACTTGTTCACTCGACTTATTCGAGTAGAATGAGCTTCTGTCTCCTTTGTACTAGCTCCAGGTGGTGGCGGGGAGTGATTAATTAAATTCAATGAGTTTGCAGGATCTGGTATATCATAATTAGCCAGTTAAATAGGATAACAATACGCATAAAACCAAACGTACCCTTCAATATGTCTTTATACTGCGGCCGGAGTATCTTGCCCTCTGATTTATTTGCTGTAGGATAGGTTAAACTCGACCGTTCCTCTGCAATGTCTGTACTGTTTGCTCGGAGGCGCATGCTGCGCATACTGGGAATCAGGTTTGAAGCATTTACATGGCTGCTTGGTTCAGGAGTGGACTGGGTTGACTTCACCGGAAGGCTATAGCCCGGCGATGGTTTGGCCCGTTGTCGTCGCATGTTGGTAACACTTGGAAGTCCGAATTCGTCCTCATCGTCCTCGTACCCTATTTCATCACCGTCATCGTCATCATCTATATCCGGTACTAAGCCTCCAGATCCTTGGGAAAGGAAACTACTATATGGGTGCTGCGAAGATGATGTTCTTTTGGCAGGTTTTCCACGGTTCGCGTCACGGACCCTGCTTGAGCTAGGGGACAGCGAGGGGCGCGACGGCGTGGAAGATCTGGAACTAGGAGGGACACCCCTATACCAGTTCCCAGGTCAGTATTGAGATTCATTTTCATAGAACTTTTTAACAGCTATATCAGCAATGGGGGCAGAGACATACTTCAACATATCTGTATGGGCGTAAGAAGCTCCGACAACGGTGTTTTGGTTGAACGGAACGTGAGGGCTTTGCGGCCGAGAAGACGACGATATTGATCTCCAGAACGGGAGTCCTCCTCGACTATATAGAGAGTCAGTGGCTGCTATGTGAATAAGAGGATGGCAGTGGCGGCGGGGGCGGGGAGTCGATAACGTACGAAGAAGTATGGTCTGTGGATTATCGCATGTTATCAGCTTATCAGTAATAATTGACTCCCTGGCAAAAAGTCGCAAGCAATAAAAGGATAATTATTGATCTGGGGGTATGGGGTAAGGCATCTCGAGTCACGGACCGACCTGAACCATTTCCTGTGAGCTGTTTGTTAGCTTGAAAGAGCCCCAGCAGACGAAGGAGGGTCATATAGCTAGCAAGCTGCACATACCTGCGGCGTGTGGTGCTGGTCTTGTCGCCCCTTTTTACTCGACATTGTGGCGGCCAACAGGTACAAAATCAATACAGGGAGAGACGCCTAGGCGCCCGCTATGCAACTATGCCTCGCTCCAGCATCTATCCTCCCTCGACGGTGGCGGCTGTCAAGCTGTCTGGCTGTCATCTTCGCACAGCTTTTGTCGTTGACGTTGGATGTTTTTTTAGCCTCCGATGCCACGGCTTAGTCAGCCAAGCCACCCTCGAGGATGAAAAAACCATCCAACCTCGCCGGCTTTCTCTCTGCTTCTAACACCACCTCGCACACGCACAAGAGCGCTGCTTTGCAGCTTCAAGATATCGCAAATAACGAACTGGACTAACGAGACTGACGCAGTGTACCTAGCTGTTGGCGGTAGTCTGACTTTTTACGACCTTTCAGTCTCCTTTCGGTTGCTGCTTGAGGAACCATGACTGAGCCAGAGGACCTCGAAGAGGATCTCTTCGCTGACCTGTAAGCTGCTCTCCCTTGCATTATTATTGTTTTGGATTGCTTGTTGCTGCTTTCTTGAGCTTGCGTGTGGCAGGTATTCTGTATTTCTGACCTGCTGGATAGGTATGACGCCGATGAGACCCCGGCAACATCATCTGCGCCTCCCGCCGCCACGGCACAAACACCGTCCCAGCCTCCTCCTACCACCAAGACAGAGATAGCAGAAACACCCAGTTCTACACAGCCTGCCCCGACTCAGCAGCAGCAGCCTGCTCAAGAGCAGAAACCAGAGCCACCATCAGCCCAGAATGGTGCCCAGGGTACACCTACAGCTGCGGACACTAGCAGTGGCGGACAAGCTTCAAATGAGCCTGAAAGCCAAGGGACAGGTATAAAAGAAGACGGGTAAGTTATGCCTTTGACAGGTTTGAGTTTCATTCCCGTTTTTATTGCCCATTTTACAATACTCTTTACACCATCAAAACCAATCGGCCAGTTGCGTCGGTTGCCGCCGGGAAAGAGTTTTAAAGACATTATGGATCTACTTGGATCGTTGGTAGTCCAATTTTCCAGGGTGGACAATATTTTATCTATATGATTCTCCTCCCTTTATCCGGAAGAAAGGTCGATAAATATCCTCAGTGACTCGCGCCTAAGATAACGAAACGCCTCTCGACTGCCGGCCTATGCATGGAATATGAATTCGATGGCTTTTAAAGGTCGAAAATGTGGTGTGTGCGCGGATTATGGGGTCACACATAGGTGGAAGGGCATCCTTGAAATTTACCCGGAACTTTCAGCTGAGCTTGCTTGACCCTGACATGGCTGCTGCGCAGTTTTCTATTTGGACATTTAATGGAAAGGGTACCAGGGGCAAAAGAGGGTGCTGGCCATAATTCGATGGGGTTTATCAGTTCAGTGGCTGAAAAGAGATCGAGGGTATTTCATGCATTAATGCCTCTGCACGATTCCGCTGTGGAACGACTATAGTATATCAGATACTATATATCTTGTCGGTATATCTTGATAGAGCAGTGCAAGAAGCAGTTATCTACTTAACTGTCTTCGATGTGGAATATCGAACATTACCTAGCTTCGGACATAGAATCAGGCAGAGGATTATCGGAAAAAAGAACTTCGAAAAATTCCAATTCTCAGTTTATTGAAGCTCGACGGGTGCACAATTACAGATCCCACAAAGACCAAGACCAAGAACCACAGATGAGCCCTGCACCTAGTTCCGGCATGAGCGTGTGATGACCCTCCGAGGTCAACATCACATCTCCCTCGACTGTAAAGCGCCCAACAGCACGCTGAGCCCATCTTTTGCGAGAGCTATCACAACTCTCCATACTTGTTACATGACCATGGAGGGAGGAAAGTCGTTATCAAACTTTACGAGATTGTCTACGGGAATGAAGTCCGGCTAGCATACGTCGCCAGCAACCCCCTGGCATTCACCAACCACGACATGTCCATCGGCGCAACATAGAATCTCGACTAATCAGCGCCAAAAAGTCATCAGGGCCAAAAAGTCATCAGGCGCAGAAGCTCTCTTGTCCTTTCGATGGAATTTTCATTTTCTTGAGGGTGCAGCCACGATGTCTCGACTCTTATTTCTTTTTTTTACTCCTTTGTCCATTTTGCTTGATACACCTGCATCGGACACATGCTACACTCTCCATGCATAATACACATAGTGAATATGGGCTAATACTATATACTAAAATAGTAAAATGTTTATTGGTGGATTGAACTGGGAGACTACAGACCGTATGTGCAAGCCTCTTCTCAATGAGCTACACATGCCATGATGTGCGTATCTGACGATATATGCTTTTAGAATCACTCAAGGAATACTTTTCCCAGTTTGGAGAAGTCCACGAATGTACTGTTATGCGAGATGGAGCGTCTGGTCGATCGAGAGGGTTTGGTTTCCTTACATTCACTGACCCAAAGACTGTAAATACGGTCATGGTCAAGGAGCATTACTTGGATGGTAAAATTGTATGACTTTCTCCCACAACATCTACTATCTTACTTAACCAGATCTTTTGCTGACCAACTTTACAAGATCGACCCTAAACGAGCAATACCTCGAGACGAACAGGAACGGACCAGTAAGATTTTTGTTGGTGGAGTGAGCCAGGAAGCCACCGAACAAGAGTTCAAGCAATTTTTTATGCAGTTTGGCCGCGTTGTCGATGCAACCCTCATGATTGACAAAGATACTGGGCGGCCTCGAGGATTTGGTTTTGTTACCTTTGATAGTGAAGCTGCTGTCGAGGCAACCCTCTCAGTCCCTCTGGAGATCCACGGGAAAGCAATTGAGGTAAAAAAGGCGCAACCTCGCGGCAACCTCAGAGATGATGAGGAGAGCCGGCGGTTAGGCAAACGTGGGTTCCGCGATGATCGATTCAAAGATGACCGTGGCAGTGGATCCGATTCAGGCCAGCAAAGCAATACCCAGAACCAAACAAACATGGCGGGTGGCATGACACCACAAATGATGGCCCAATATTGGCAACGGATGCAACAATACTTTGCTCTAATGCAGCAGCAAATGGCTTCTGCTCAGGCCCAAGGCATGAACCCGGCCATGGGAGGCATGAACCCGGCTGTCCTCCAACAAATGCAGCAGATGCAGCAGATGCAACAAATGAATCAAATGAAACAACAGCCAGGTGCTCAGCAAGGAGGAATGCCTCCAGCCTCCCCGACACCCCCCAACGCACAAGGCATGCAAGGAATGATGAACCCCATGCAACAACAGATGCAAATGCAACAGATGCAACAAATGAACCAAATGCCAAATCAAGGCCAAACAGGACCTGGATTCACAGGTGGTGGTATGGGTGGCCAGATGGGAGGAAACGTTGCTGCTGGCCCCGGCCCAACTGGTTCAGCTGGCACCCCTCCAATGCCTGGAAACTTTGCAAACAACAGGGGAGGTCCAGGGTACAATGCCCAGGAACAAATTGCATTCGAACAACAGAAGTATGAACAGCAGCAAGCTCGACGGGCGGCCGATCCGCGGACATTCCCAGGATATCAGCAAGGCAACCAATCTTGGGAGGGGATGTATGATGATACCCCCCAACCTAACCTCCCGACTGGTCCTCAAGGTATGGGCCGTGCTGGAAGCGCTGGAGGGCCTATGGGACGGGGTATGTCTCCCAATGTTGGGAATAAGCCTCCGCAACCAGTTGCATCGCCTCAGCCACAGAGTGCTCCTCCCGCAAATGCTCCTACCGGCCCCCGAAATGCTGGAAGGCCGGGTGCTAACTATCGTGGAGGAGGACGTGGAGCCCACCGAGGCTTCCATCCCTATTCCCGCGGTTGAATTTGATACCATGCTTCTTTCTATGCCATACCTTCACCTTAGCCTGGGTGTTGGAAAGAGGTTCTCGGTGGGGGGACAGATATCCAGCTTCTGCTTTTGCAGGCTGGCGCACCCTATCCGTCTAACTACCTAGGCTCAAATGCTCTTCACAGTATTCCTGATGATCAGGGTTTGATCTGCTTTTAATGCTGTTTATGCTTGTCTCTTCTCCCTTTTCACTGTTAAATCGGGGTCGTGAAACTTTCCTTGGGGAGCGGTTACTTACTCGCCTTTTCATAGCTAGTTACTGTTCTCTTTTTCTTCTACCAATCCCCGCTCTAATGGCTTAAATGGTGGCCCATATCCAGTTTTCAGCTTTGTCTTCGCTTTGTGTTATTCTCAGCAACAATTTTAATCTCATTGTTAAATAAACAAGAAAATGGAAGCGATTGCCTAGTTAGCTTTTTCTCCTTGGGTATGCAAGTACTTTACTACGAGTAGCCGATATTATACCAACTACCTAGTGGACAGCGTTGGCTTCAAATTTCTAATATTTTTGAACGCGCAGTGTCTGGCTCCAATGTGACTAGCAGAATGAATTGAAGTTCAATTATTACATCCACTCTCCCGCACCCCTATCTAAACATATTCAACTCTGCTAGAAATGATAATATATAATAAGGCAAGCAGTTATGAACGAAACACAAGATCAAATGGAACGAGGGGTTTTACTTTGTCCATTAGAAACCAGACTTCCATCCCCAGCCTAGAATTCAACTCCAATACGCCAGAAAACAAGGGAAAAGGCGCCTCAGATATTTGGTATGTAGGCCTGTTTCGCCAAATAACTCGCAAGGTACCTAAAAAAAAAGTAAAGACGCGCATATTCCTAGCTCCTAGCTTGCATGAAGCAGGACTGTCGGTTCAAACGTTGTGTGGTGAACATACCTATGTACAAAGTAAGGCGGTACCAAAAGTATGAGTGAAAGGTAGAGAAGTGAAGAGAGTAAATGAAGAAGAAGCAAGGAAAGGGTAAGAAATAAATAGTAAAAGAACATAAAAGATGGGGCCTCGAGTCCAACACAATAAATGTGTAGAAAACTTGTCAGAATAAAACGGTTAGAAGCAAAGGATAGCAAAAGGAAACAGAGTGAGGAAATGAATGTTTAGTGCTTTGGCTTTGCAGTCCTGCGTCGGAGTCCAAAGTCTTCTTCTTGAAGTTGTCGAATGAGCTTTATGCTATCGGGGTCAACATCGGCTTCTGCGAAGCTAGCTCGGTCGTGTGCCCTCCTTGAGGATGGACCGTGGCCATCGTTTGCACGGTGAGAGGACCCGGGTCTTGAGGAAGTCTTTGACCTGACTGGAGAAGACGGGGATAAACCTGATGCAGAAGAACAGTCCTTGGATGAGCGCTGCTTTTGTCCATCGGAAGCTTTCGTGTTGAGAGAAGGGTAGCGGGATTGGTGGTAGGATATGGAGGTTGGGGTATGAATTGATAAAGGCTTGTCCGTATTTCGATCTCCCTCTGCAGCTTTGCCCTTTTCACCATCCAACGTGCCAGGAACTCCATCAATATCGTCGACTAGGGACGTTGGAGGGGACACAAGGCTGCCAATTGGGAGCATGGACTCTGGGGCAATTGGATGTTCAGAAGGAGCGTCTGCCTCTGAGTTTCCAGCTGGAGGAGACGAATAAAGAGGGCTATCTCGAGGGAAGTTGGACTTGAGAACATGCGCCTTGTCTTTTGAACTGTCGATCTTAGAATCTTGAGCAGAATCTGTATCATTCTTCGTGCCGGAAGATGTGTCTTCTGTGCTGCGTGGTGATTTATTCCCACCACGCTTCTGCTTTTTCGGCGGGCTTGATTTCTCATCTTCAGGACGTGAACGTTTTGTCTTGGGTTGCTCTTGGATCTTGACCGGGTCAACTCGACCGGCTTCATCATGGATGCATCGGCGCTAGTATGTATTAATACATGTGTTTATGAGGTAATAAGAGGGGGGATATACTGACCTTACTCTTCCGACATTCCTCGCAGGCCTTTATTCTGCCCTTCTTACTAGAATTTGATGATCCAGGACTTGTTTCTTGAGGTCTCCTCAACCCGTTTCCGCTCGCGTCCGGAGGATTGGAGCCAGAAATGCTTTCCTGGTGTGGTATGCCATTGCGATAAGGTAGAGCATCTGCATTTTCCCTATCCGTGGAAACATCAGGCCGTGATGTAGTGAGGGTCGTGTCTCCCCCATTTGCACCGAGGGAAGGATCTTTAACAGTTTCTTGATCGGAGCTAATATCGAGACCACCACCCTCCTTGTGACGACATTTGATACGGCGTTTTCGACAAGGGTCACAAGCGATTCTTTTAGGACCGAGGCTTGCAGCTTTAGGAGTCTGCCGTGAGTTGGCCTCCAAGCCTTTGTTCTCAACAACAGAAGGCCTGCGTGTTTCTCCAGCAGGTGTTCCACTACTAGAAGAAGCGGAAGCGTCTCGCAGAGGCGTACTAACTGCAGGTTGGGATCCTTGATCAGACGGCTTCTGGGTACTGTTTAGTGCTGGTTTCGACTTTTGAGAGCCAGTCATAGCACGCTCAGACTGTTTGCGTGGTCGAGTGCTTCGACGTTTATCAGACATGTCGACTTTTACATCCATGACGATTGCTCCAGGACGAGTCCACTGAGGTGCAAGTTCATTGCCCCGTTTCCAAGCTACCCAAACTCCGAATTTCTGAGCAATATCAACGGGATCACCTTGGCCTTTGGGAATAGACCTGCTGATGGCGTTTCTCGTTTCCTTCGTGACGCCATCGACCTTGTAGCCGCCTGCAATCAATGCAGTTCTCAGAATGTACTTGGCCAATTCGGGAAGCCCGTCAATTTCGCTTTGAGAGTAGAATTTGGCGTTATAATAATCCGACCCTGGCTCCTGACTAGCAGCAAATTCCTCCGCTTCTGGGTGATAAACGGGGTTTTCACGATGAAATTGGTAGTTCTCGTCTTGAGCAAAAGAATCCTGAAGCCGCGGCGGTATCGGGTCATCAGCCAGATATTTCAGGACGGTTAGCCACATAATCTTCTGGAAAAATGGATATCGGAATTTCCGCGGGACTTTGGCGTCCTTTTCCATCTTCGTGATCTTGAGCTGCATCGCGTAGTTCATTCTGGTCAAAAAGTTGCCGCCTATAACCAGGCTGTCTTCCGGTGTCCAAACAGCATGGATCCAGCCAGACGGAATCAGCATCGTGTCACCCTCGGACAGGTCTACTCGATAACACTCTTTGGATTCCGTTCCGAGAAAGGTGGTGTCTTGAGCAGGGGAATTACACCATTCGTCGTACTTTTTCAAATGCTTCTCCTTGGGCGGGATAAAGAAGAAGGTTTTCTTCCCCTTGAGTATGTGGTAATATACCGATGAGCCGCCGAAGTCGATATGGAAATCAGTGTAGCAGTCAGCAACGGACATCAGGCAATAAAACTGGACCTTTGGATAGTCTCCAAGAGCCTGCTGTTCAGGTGGCCACACTGAGTCCTGGAGGTCAAGTTCGCGAACCACTCGCGGACGCCGCAGGAGCCGTCCTACCGGAGACTGTGAGACTTCAAGACTTATAACATTCTTGACCATCTTGGTGGAACTAGTATCGTAATAATAATCCATCCATCTTTGCATAGTCCATTTCTTCTCTTCGCCTTGCTGAGATTTAACGTCGATGACTTCGATCTTTTCCTCTGGCCCGTAGATCTCACCTACGGCCTTTACTGTGAGGCCCTTGGGAATGACCATGTCCAGGAGATCCTGGCCGCAGTCAATGGCCTCCTCATAACCGTTATCTTCGGGTATGGTTGCGTCGAATTCTTCTTCGGTAGTAGCTTCGTGGAAATCGAAACCTGCGCGCGAGTTCATATGAGCGGGAATAACAATCGGCTCGATCATGCCAGCTCCGCGTTCAAAGTATGAAGCGGTAACCAAATCAGGCGGCATCCTGGCGAAGTGATCCGGCAGGAATGTTATGGTACCTTGCTTTATGGCAGCAAGATGGATGTTCTCGTTCTCTTCGGATGGCGGTTTCACAAATCCTTGGTTCAGACCTGCGTAATCGATAGCCGTTCGAGGACGAGTGGACTTGCGAACGAAGGTGGTCGGGCCGTGTACTGGGCGACATTTGGTGCAGATGAACTTGTCCACGGTTCGTATCTCATGGTCGCTCTTGAAGCCGCAGCAGACGATATGGAACCACTGGTCACATCCGTCGCAATTGACCCAGGTAACCTCTGCATCGTCTCCTCCGACTCCAGCTGGGGCACGATCCCGGTTACATGCCGCACAGTTCGTCTGGCCAGCAGAGCTGCCATCTTCGGCTGCCTTTTGTTTCGTTCGTGGTTTGGATTTGGTTGGTTCCTTGTCTTGAGACGGTTTAGAAAACGGTACAACGGGCGTCTCTTGGCCCCATGAAGGAGTTGGAGGAGCAGAAGGAGTAGGAATATTCTTATACTTCTTCTTCTTCCTTGCAGGCTTCTCTTCCTCTTCCGGGTCGTCTTCAAGCGCAACCCCCATTGCAGAGGGATAAAGAGGCGAGTCAGGCAAAAGGCCGTTCATGGCCGGTCGGGAGAGTGCGGCAGCGCCATCTGACTGGGATCGTAGCCTGACAGGCGGGACACCGTTTGCACTTCCTGCCATTCCAGGCCAGGCGGGAACGCCTCTGTCGCGCGTGACGTCGCCATGGTCATAGGCAGCAACTGCAGAGGCAGGGCCGCGCCACAGATCGGTGTTCCAGGAGTGAGTAGAGTTCTCTGTAGTGACTCGAGACAGAGGAGTGATGTGAGGGGAGTAGTGGGGAGAGTTGGTCGGTCTGGCGAAGTTGAGCAGCAGCTCGGCGTCTGTTTTCATGCTGTCGAGGGTGGAGACATGGCTCGTTGCTGGCCTGTCTCCGAGTCTCTGCCAGCCGGGTGAGTGCGCCTTTTCAGACTTTGCTCGCTTCGACGGTCTCTCGTCGATGTCCGGAGCAGCTGCCTGGTGCCCGAGAGGCGAGATGATGGGCTCGTCCGGTCCATCGTAGGTGAGAGGAGAGAAGGTCGGGCTGGTGGCTAGCGCTATTGTAGCAAGAGTGTCGATGGTAGACCTGGACCTGGCGTGTCCGCCGGGCCTGCCGGGGGACTGCTGCTGGTTCTGCTGGTGATTATGATGCTGGTATTCTGGGTGTGGTTGCTGCTGCTGCTGCTGTGGTGGTGCTGGTTGTTGTTGTTGTTGTTGTTGTTGTTGATGGTGGTGCTGGAGTGGCTCGACGCCCCGATGACTGTTGCTGCTGCGTCTGCGTGCCTCGTCCACCGACGGAGCAGACCCATCGCCGCCTCGGCCGGAGCCGCTGGCGCCTGGCTTCCCTAGACGGTCACGACGCGGAAGCGCAGCAGGACTGGCCGCAGCGGCAAAGGAGAGACGGGGGGAGAGCGGCTCGATCGCATGGCGAGGAGGGGAGGGAGTGCGGTAGTGCGACGGGCGGTTGGTAGGATGGGCGCCGAACGAGGTCGAGGGCGCCATGGCCGGGCTGGCAGGGCGTCTGGCGGTGCACACAGGGACAGGCCGGGCTGGAGAGCGAGATCAGGCCAGGCCGGGTTGCAGCATCGGCGCGTTGCAGGCTGAGAGGGCTGTTGATGGCGGGGAGTTCTCGAGGGCGGACGGTTTGGCTCGACGGCGGCCGCAAGCATCGACGCAGCGCCGGTGGCCTGGCGGGCGACGTTCTCGGTTCGGTTCTCGTGCTGGCTGCAGGGCGGCCGTCAGCTTCGACGCAGGAAGACGCCCATCAGCGGTCGAGAGGCAGCTTGGTCGGTGGTCGGTGGTGCAGCGGCGGCGCGAAAGGTGAATGTTTGGTCGGTCGTCTTTTTGGTTGCTTTGCGAGTTCGAAAGAAGAAAAAAAGACAAGAAAAGACGAAGCTTTTGGACGGTACGGTACTGGGATTACGGTCTTTGTTACGAGGGTGCCGCGGAGAGTGTGCGGGCTATCGTAATTTAGGCGGTAATACAGATACGGGGCCAGCATGCAGGTCAGATATCCCCGTTTTACGCTGCGAGGAAGGCCGGAAGAAAGGAAGAAAAGGGACTAAAAGGGCTGCGAGATGGCTATCAGTGCTGTCTGTAGCCGGGGAGAGTCAGGGGTTGCTGCGTGGTGGGCGAAGGGGGACGGGGGGAGGACGTCGGCCAGGGGCTACCAATTTTTTGTATTTTGATATCTGGATATCTGGGGCTACCAAGAAGATTCTGATATAAATACGCAGTCAGCGTTAGGTGGGAAGACATGCTATACTACCATCGACCTGGCGCGGGCCCGCTCTTCCACCGACAGCTTGTCCACCACGTCGCCGTCCGCCTGCGAGATCTCCTCCCACTCCTCCTCCTCCATGCCCATGACCATCACTATCTGCGTGCACCGGGCAAAGGTCTCGCGGTGACGGTACCGGCCTGCTCTGCCGCCAATGCTGCCTCCTCGCTCCCCAGCAGCAGTGGCAGCAGCATCATGGTGGTGACCCTCAGCCACGTCTACTGCGGCGGCTATTATCCCAGTGACGTCTCGCTCTAGCCTGGTGGTCCCCAGGGCGTTGACACGGCCGTGGTAAGACCAGAGCCGTTTTTCCAGCAGCCTCGACAACGATGTCAGCGTCACCCCGAGCAAGCGGTCAAAGGTGTTGGCGGTCAAAATGCGAGCTATTGGCAGCATGAGGTCCCGCCAGCCAGCTGCAAACCGCTGGCGGACCAGGCCGTGATGATGCCCGGTTTCATGGTGCATCAGGGCGTCGTCCTCAGCGCCTGGGCCTGCTCCGTACGCTCCATCTTCTCCTTCGCCGTCCGGAGGCTGGTACTCGGCGTCCCGGAAGGCGTCTGCAAGGATAGGACGGAGACGGGACTTGAGCACGTTGTTGAATATGACTTGGATGCCATCGCCGATGAGATCCTGTGCTTTGGACGTAAAGGTAGCAGACAAGGACCGTAGCGTACTCAGGACCACCTGGGCATCGTCCGCAAGCGGGAACAGCATCGATATCCGGGGTTGAGCGCTGGCATCATTGGTTACGTCGGCCCCGGTATCTGTAGACTCCATGTGCCGTTTCACAATGCGCTCCAAGTAGTCGACAGCAACGTCTAGGTTGTTGACGAGCACGAGAAAGGACACCACCATAGCAGGGGGAGGCTGGCCGCCTGGCACAACGGGTCTGGGGTGCGTTTCGTCTCGCATCTTTCGGTGTACCATGCCGATGAAATCAGCACCAAGCACTCGGGCTATCGTAGGCACCACGCTGGTGACTGCCGACCGCTGAGCTGTCGCCAGGGTCTGTTGTATGACTTTGTTCACGATGTACATGATATCATCCACGACTGATGTGATATGGGGTGGGTTAGATACCAATGGCTTCCGAAGGTCCAAGGTGAGATCAACGGGCGGCTCATCCAGCTGAAAGGCCTTTTCCACCGAACGACGCAGGAAGAAGGTTGTCATCGCGTTATACGGTGACAACAGCTTGGTATCTACCTTTTGGGCTAGGGGAGAGCCTGTCAAGAAGGACGGTAGCTCTAGCTCGTCATCATCATCACCATCGCCATTTTCCTGCATTCTGATATTAGTATCGTCTAGTATTGAAAAAGAGTAGTAAACATGATCTAAAAGGCTACGTACCTTGCATTTACTAGCTAGAAACCTTCCGTAGAGAGACCACCGGCCAAGCATGATTGATATCTCGTTTAATATGGAATCAATCTCCTTCATATCGACCCCTTCGTCTTCACTGTTCCGCTGCGGCGTATCCCAGCTCGCCGGAGAATTCGACCGCGGAGTACCAGCACCCCTGGCGGCCGGCAGGAAACTCTGGACCAAGAATGTAAATGCATACGACTTGATATCGGTCAGTTTGCGGTCGACATGACGCTCCTCTGCCCATGACTCCAGGATGATGCCCCCCTGAACATCCGCCTCGACCTGTAGCCGCTCCACCACTCGACCCATCTTCCCCGGGCCGTAGTGTCTTTCAACCAAGGCTCCATGGGCATCCACGATCTGAGCAATGTGTTCGAACAGCCTGGTCAAGGCATTGGCGTAGAAGAAGTCGTCCTTTGCCTGTGCTCCCCCCGTCCCGGCATTGAGGTTCGAGCGAGCTCTTGCAGCTACTCCCTGGCACACATACCGGCCATACACGTCAAGGCCAACATCTGACTTGCCGATTAATGGGAACAGCTTGAAGAACCGAGTGATCTTGGCCCCGTCGTTCTCCTTCACGGCCTGCTCAAACTCCCGTAGAAACAGGGCACAGAGGGACTCGGCTGCGTTCGACAGCGTCACATTGGGGGTATCTGGCACCTCCGTCGTAGGCACAATCTCCGCAGCAAAGGGACTATTCACCACTTCCTCCGGTATCTTGGATGCGCGGTGCATGTAGGAGGCCGCCATCTCCCAGTTCTGCGAGGCCCCCATCGAGCCCGCAACCCCCAGCACGCAGGCCTTGAGCTCTGCAACCTGCCCGACCATGTCTAGTATCGATCTGACGCGGGACTGCTCGAGATCCAGCTTGCGGACGGCGCTCGACAGCGAATGTGCAGACGAGGCCGCCCCGGACAGCATCTCATGGCTGATGGAGCGGGTGGTGCTGGCCTGCGTCCCCAGATGGGCACGCAGCAGATCGAGACGGCCGAGTTCACGCGAGAGATCCTTTTGCGAGGCCACCAGGGCATCGAGACGGGCCGTCACCAGGGCTTCTCGGTCCTGCAGCTGCGAGAGCGTCGCCTTGATGGCCGCCACGGAGCTGGCGTTGTAGATGTCGCCGTCGCCGTCGCCGTTGCTGTGGTCGAGGGTGCCGCCGGGCGTGCTCGTGCTGTGGCCGTTGGCAAGCTCTGGAGACGATAGAGGGCCGCTGCCATGGCCATTGACCTGGCTCGCCGTCGAGCTGGCCATTCTCTGCCTGGTTCTGCTGTAGTCGGGCGGTTGGTGGTTGTTCGCATGGTACGTTGGGCCTGCAGAGCGTTGGATATTCGGAGGTTTCGAAGTCCACAAACACGAATGAGGAACAACTTGGTGGCCGAAGACGCAGACACCACCGGCTGCACCTGATGCGGGCGAGATATTGGGATGAGATATACCGGTGAGTGTTTGCTACTACTTCTACCTGCTGTCTACGGCGGTTATTATCCCTGGCTAACGTCTGTTGTAGGGAGATATTGGTGATTTAAGAGGCCTTCCAAACACGCCCACCTCCCCCGCGCCTCAGCCGCCTGATATATCTACCGGTATCATCGAGTAAATCGAAATAGATACATACAGCCAGACCAAAGGGAAGACGAAGAAGGATAAGAGGCCCGTGAAATGGGGGCAGAAGCCTCCAAGATGGTAGACGATAGTGTCCCGCCGACGACGCTGGAGAAACGCAGCATCGATGGCATCGTGAAGTACATCAGAGAGAAGAAGAACTGCAAGATAGTCGTGATGGTAGGTCTGCAACGTTGCTATAGACGAGACAATAGACACTAGACGCTGACAAGGAAGCAGACTGGTGCTGGCATCAGTACGTCTGCTGGAATCCCCGATTTCCGCTCGCCAGACACCGGCATCTACGCCAACCTTGCGCGCCTCGAGCTGCCCTACCCCGAAGCAGTGTTTGATATCTCGTACTTCCGCCAGAACCCCCAGCCGTTCTACGCGCTGGCCAGGGAGATGTTTCCTGGAAAGTACAGGCCTACGATCACTCACTCGTTTATTCGGCTGCTGCATGATAAAGGGCTGCTTCTCAAGCTATTTACGCAGAATATAGACTGTCTCGAGAGAAGGGCTGGTGTTCCGGGAGATATGATCGTCGAGGCCCACGGCAGCTTTGCAACACACAGCTGTATAGACTGCAAGGCGGCCTACTTGGACGAGCTGATGGCCAAGGCGATTGCAGATAGCGAGATACCGTCATGCAGTGAATGCCAGGGACTGGTCAAGCCAGACATCGTTTTCTTTGGAGAAGCTCTACCAGCTAACTTCTTCGCCTGCCGAGAACTCCCAGCAGAAGCAGACTTGTGTATAGTCATGGGCACCAGCCTGAGTGTGCATCCGTTTGCCAGCCTCCCGGGCTTGTGTCGAGAAGAGATTCCCCGGGTGCTGATAAACCTGGAGCAAGCCGGGTCGCTGGGATCACGGCCTGATGACGTCCTGATCTTAGGAGACTGCGATAGTGGTGTACGCCGTCTGGCTGAGGCTCTCGGCTGGCTGGACGAGTTGGAGAAACTATGGGCAGAGACGTGTCCCGAGCTCGGCAGCGGCAGCAAGCCAGCCTTGGAGCAGCAGGACAAGGAGCCAGCAAGCAAGGACGAGCGCCTCCATGATGAGGTGGACCGTCTCTCGGCAGAGGTAGAGTCGGCCCTGAAGGCGTCTCGCGAGCATGAGACCCGGACAAAGGCCCAGCTAGAGGCTCTCCTGGCCGAGGAGAAGGCGACGAATCCTAAAGCCGAGCAAGAGAAGCCACCTGAAGACCAGTTGGCTGAGTCCATGGCCGCCCTCGATGTCTCGTCCAAGGAGGAAGACAAGATGCGGCCGGTCGATGCAGATTGATATTGATATTGGTAGCTCGCTGTGCGCTCCCGGCTTACGACTTTACGACTGATGGCGGTTCTATATGTATACATCTCTCTCTGTAGTCTATGATCCATTATCTTCTGCGCCTTTTTAACGTCTGCTGTCCGTCTCCCCGTCGTCTTCTTTGCTTCTTCTTCCTCCAGCTTCGCTCCCCCTTTGTCTCTGCTGAGTAACAAAAGCCCAACCAAGACCAAAACCTCCCCACCACTTCCGCTGCCAACTACAACTACTACAACTGCAGCTACAACTACCAACGTCATCCCCATCTCCAGCTACAACATTCGACCCAGAGACAGTAGAGGCAGCAGACAGACAGACTCGCAGACAAGATGGTTCCCGTTCCTCGCAAGCGGCCGTCCCGCAAGGGTGAGCTTCCCCTGCTGGTCCACGCCCAGAGCCTCGCTGACACCGCATAGGATCCATGGTCGACATGCCCAAGGCGCTGCTGGACGAGATCAAGGAGCTCGAGGAGACCTTCACAGTCGACACGGCTAGGCTCAAGAAGATTGTCGCCCACTTCGTCAACGAGCTCACTAAGGGTACGTCCTCACACCCCGGCGGAGAGAGTCGCGGCTGACCGGCGGGTGCACCACAGGCCTCAGCGTTGAGGGCGGCAATATCGTACGTTTCCCACGAGATAAATGATGCAAAGAGGATCAATTCTAACGGTTACAGCCGATGAATGTTACCTGGGTGCTCGGATTTCCTACCGGCAATGAACAGGGTACCTTCCTGGCCCTCGACATGGGCGGCACCAACCTGCGAGTTTGCGAGATTGTCCTCTCGGAGGAGAAGGGAGAGTTCGACATCACCCAGTCCAAGTATCGTATCCCCGAGGAGCTGAAGACTGGAACCTCTGAGGAGCTCTGGGAGTACATTGCCGACTGCGTCCAGCAGTTCATTGAATACCACCACGACGGAGAGGAGCTGCCAGACCTCCCACTGGGCTTCACCTTCTCTTACCCCGCAACACAGGACTACATCGACCACGGAGTCCTGCAGAGATGGACCAAGGGATTCGATATCGATGGTGTTGAAGGAGAGGACGTCGTCCCCATGCTTGAGAGTGCATTGGAGAAGAAGGTTCGCTCACTTGTCTATATACCCAGCTGACACCATATATAACTAACACCTAGACAGGGATTGTCTATCAAAGTTGCAGCTTTGATCAATGACACTACCGGAACGTTGATTGCTTCCTCATACACTGATCCTGAGATGAAGATTGGCTGTATCTTCGGAACTGGTGTCAATGCCGCATACATGGACAACGCGGGCTCGATACCCAAGATTGCCCATTATAACCTGCCCCCAGACATGCCCGTCGCCATTAACTGCGAGTACGGCGCCTTCGACAACGAGCGTGTTGTCCTGCCCCTGACCAAGTTCGACAAGATCATTGACCGTGACTCTCCTCGTCCCGGCCAGCAGGCATTCGAGAAGATGACTGCCGGTCTCTACCTAGGAGAAATTTTCCGTCTCGTCTTGATTGATATCATCGACAACAAGGGCGGCATTATCTTCCAGGGCCAGAAGATCGACAATCTCCGAAAGCCATACTTCCTCGACTCTTCCTTCCTCTCTGCCATTGAGGAGGATCCGTTTGAGAACTTGTCTGAAACCCGCGACCTGTTCGAGCGTGTCCTTGGAATCCAGGCTACCAAGCCAGAGCTCGAACTGTGCAGACGTCTGGCCGAACTTATCGGTACTAGAGCTGCACGTATCTCTGCCTGCGGTGTAGCTGCCATCTGCAAGAAGAAGAACATCCAATCCTGCCATGTTGGTGCTGACGGTTCAGTCTTCAACAAGTACCCCCATTTCAAGCAGCGAGGTGCCAAGGCCCTTCGTGAGATCCTTGACTGGGCCGATAACGAGGACGACAAGGTAGTCATGAGCTCCGCCGAGGACGGTTCTGGTGTTGGAGCTGCTCTCATTGCTGCCCTGACCCTCGAGCGTGTCAAGGCTGGCAACTTGGCTGGTGTCCGGAACAAGGAGAACATAAGCCAGATGCTCAAGGGTTAGATAGAAGCTACAGTTATATGGATGGCGTTGATATTCATATAATCTACTCTGGAGGTGTATTTTGGTTGATAGATTGGTTTAATCCTCTTAATTCCGCTTTGAAAAGTTCTCTCCCTTTTCATTTTTCTTTTAAATTCAACATGCCGTTAAATATATATATAAATAGGCCCTGGAGAATGTCATAGATCTATGATTCTATCTTTTGGATATCTAACACCAACCCAATTCCAATTCCAAATCTACTTCATCCGTGAATCTCCCAGAGACGGATTTTGCCCTGTTCGTTAGCAACGGCAATCGAGTCCGAAGTCGGTGATACCGCAACTGAAGATATACGACCAAACGGCGTATTGGACGTCGGCCAATTCGAATAGACCATACATGAAGGTAGATGGACCAGTCTGAGAGCATCTCTCTTCCACCGACTGGCCATGACCATAAACTGCCCGTCCTGCGCAAACACCAAATGACTAATAGGAGTAGTCAATTGGTCCAACACACGAACTGGTTTCGGCCGCTGCGGTACTCCAGATTGAACATCCGCCGCCTCGTCAAGAGGTTTGTTGGGTTTTCTGCGAGCCGCAGCCGCAGCATCAGCCCAGGGCTTTCTGTCATAGATATTGACAATACCGCTGGAACTGCCAATGGCAACCCATCGATCTCCTCCAAGCTCCTGACGGCCCGTTTGGCCTCCCAGGCTCAGCACCGTGGTACCAACAGCACCTTCATCAATCCATCGAGCAATAATCCGCTTCTCACGAATATTCCATTCGCTGACTTCACCGTTTTTGCCAACCACGCACATTCCCTCGCCATCACTCCACCAGGCAAAGTCAGCTACTCCTCCCTGGCCGTCGATGCGGACCTGCGCCACCCATTGCATGGTATTTGCGTCAAAAACAATAATAACTCCACCGCCCTTTTTGGTCGTTCCTTCGAACCCGATCCAGCGACCGCAGGGGGAGACTTTGAAGTATTCCATGGATTTGAGCTCATGTTTGCGATCCGCGGGGCCAACGACCTTTTCAATCTTGCCTGTATCTAGGTTCCAGACGTGGAAGAACCGTCGACGACCGGAACATAGGATACGGTTGCCAGTTGGGCGGTCGAATGTGCTTGTCCTTATAGGCGTATGGCGGATATGTAGCGAGGTAAGCAGTGGATTGGGCGACGCTGAATCGGGTGATATGTGGTGTAGGAATAGAGTAGAAGCAGGTCCAGAAGAAAGTAGTAAGGGATAGTGAGGGTGGAAAGATAGAGAGTCGATCGAGGACTGCAATGAATATTAGCGCGCAGCCAACATATATATGAAGTTAATATATTTTCTTACCGGCTGGTTCCCGCCAACGTCTTTCAACCGCTGGATATCCAACACACCCTGACGGAGCTTCCTCTTCTTCCCGGCAGAGGTGGCATTGCCTTCAGATTTAGTCAAGTCACCTATGTTCTGCAACAGCTTCGCCAGTGGCTGTGCAGATAGATCTTCCTCTACCTCATCCTCATCCATCGATAGATCAGACGTATCTTCCTCGGTTTTCCGTCTCTTAGCTGCAGGACTGGCCCATTCAGGAGCAGGCTGGAGCCGTTCAAACTGTCTCCTTAGGCGGGCAATGTACTCCCTACCACCAATTACATCCTCGCCCTCATGAAGCCGTAGTTTTCTCAATCGCTCGTTATCAGCCAGGGACACTCGAATTCGGTCATCGTCGCTATCCTCCCAGGCAGCAGGGACGTCTGGCTCCTCCAAAATTTGCAGTTCTTCCGCCGGCTGATCGTCTTTTGATATGGAGACCACCGGAGCCGAGTCTCCAGCGTCAAGGTAGAATAGCTGTAATACCAATGTCAGTGCAGTTCAACTCATTACATATATATCATGAGTAAGACAATCATACATCCTCATCAGGGACATTCGCGAGATCGTCTTCCGATTCACCGCCCTCTCCCAATCCCTCTGCCGAGTCTGATCCGTCTGCCAAAACGAGCTCCTTTGAGCTCGCCTGCTCACGCTCCTTCAGTGCACTATGGAAGCCCTCTGAGTCGCCGAATAGAATCCTTTCAAGCTCGTCTTCAGTCTCGTCTTTCTCCATTATTTCGTCTTGTGCGATGCCATTGGTATTTTCTTCTTCTCCAGCGTCCACGAATGCGACTTTGCTGCGCTTCTTTTGTCGAGATTTTCGTTCCGGCGCCATATTTGCTCAATCCAGGGACAAATCTGGAATTAAACTAAGGAATAAGTACAGCTGTATCCTGCTAGAATATGTATTCTGGCGACAAGCTCGTGTGCACGAAGCTGTTGAGTCTGTTAAAAAGCTTCAACTTTGAATCTCGAAATTTTGAATATTTTTATTTTTTATGCCAAGACTTTTTATCTTTTCTTTTCTCAGCAACAAAACGATTAATGCTTGAAGATGACATCATGTTTGAGCGACAGCGATATCTTATCAAGAGGGGTTGAGTAAAAGAAATTATCCTGGGAGAAGATGGGTGTTTCTAGTAATACATTATCCGGTATATGTAATGATATATATGTAATATTGCTGGCGTGCAAAACAGAAGAAAGGATAACGATGCTAGACCAGGCCGAACTGTACACGGGTATGCAAAGTAGATAACTGAACGTATTGCTAGATGATAGACCAACGCCGATTCACCAGTAGTACATAAGAGAGACAAAACGAAGAAGTAGGAATCCGAGTTCGATGATAGGGGGCATTGATTAGGCGTGTGGTAAGGGAGGCGGCTTGTGGGAGGTGACTTCGCTGTTAGCAGGCTTGGAGCTGCTCTCGTCGTCCGAAAAGATAACAGGTGCAGAATTAAGGACTTCATCATCACTGGCAGGATAGTCGTCCTCATCATCAAGGCCAGCAAGCAGAGCACTGCGGCGATGTCTATCACTATTTATCGAGGCAGTGTCGTCGAAGTCATGGTCTTCCTCGTGTGGGTGTAGCGGGTCATGTTCGGAGGCACGCTTTTTGATAAATATGTCGATGATGTAGTACTGTACTGCATTCATGATGACGGGGAAAAGCAGCATGACGAAGAAGATCTGTACGGCGGTGTTTCCTTCAGTCCAGCGTAGGGCCCAGTCACCGACCAAGACGATGAACGGAAGCCAGTAGATAATGCATAGAACACAGACTTTCATAAGAACGAGACCGAAGAAGTAGATCATCGACTGCTTGAACCACCAGAGCACTTTTGGTGGGCGGCCGTAGTGACCCGACTCAATAGACTCTGGAGGGTTAGCCAGGGGGGTATACAGCGCCGCATGGTTCAGCACTCGCAGTATGAGAATTAAAATGGGGATTCCAAGTGTAGTCTGCTTCATGTTAGTAAAAGTATACTGACGATGGATATTGAGCGAGATAACTTACGTCTATTCCAAGATTGAGAAGATAGTAGCTGCAGGGATTTGTCTGTTTGGCGTCCGGCGATATCTGACCTGCTGAGAGCATGGAAGCAAGCAGGTTGACCAGATGTAACATCGAAGAGCCAAAGACCTGCTTCGATACGTCGAATGCCCATACTTTGACTGGCCGCTGAGGCCTCTCCTTCCACCGCTTATATACCAGCACAAGAAGCGCCAGGGCACCCAGTGACACCTGGATGACCAGCGCAAAGGGGCCGAGCAATTCACATTTACCGTTTCCCGCATCGCCAGGCGCATTAGGCGAGCCTGTGGCCGTAGCCGTAGCTGTTGTCGTGCTTGTTCTTGTTGCGCCGGAAACGGAGGTCATGGTAGCGGCGAGTAACATGGTGGTACTGGTGGTATGGTGGAGGGTCAAGGTGTCGTGGCCTGCCGCCATGGCTGTGGAAGAGAAGGATGGCGTATCTGAATTCCGTCCGTCAAGGGCTCCTCCTGGTCCAAAACGCCTCCTCCTTGGTTGTCCGTGGTGGGATATGGGTGAGAAATTAGCAGTAGTTCACAGGGGCTGTAGGCCGATGAGACTGCAGCCTACATAGGGCGGCTGAAAACCCGGACAAAGGGCAGCACGGGCAGCGTCTGATGGAGACCAACGCAGGAGACTAGCCGTGGCCATCAAAAAAGGGGGAGGATTTTGTATCCTTTTTCCGTCTCGCCCTCTTTCTGCTTCTCTGTGTCCGTTCTGCGTCCTTGTCGTTGCTGTTAAATTTCTTTTGCTCTGGCTGGAGTTGTTTCGAGATGGAACCAGGGCAGGTCGGCTGCGTCACGTGTGGTCTGGGTCTGGGCCGCCTGCAGAGAGTTCAATCGTAGAAAAGCATTGAAAGGCATTTTGAACGAGCTACGAGATACGAGACGGATGATCTGCGAGGTTCGAAGAAGCAAAGTGCAGGCATTCAAGTTGATTATGGCATGAACTAGCCGGTAATAAGTTATATATCGTTGTTTTAACGTCATCTTCCGGCATGAAAGCTGGAACTGCTCCCTCAACTTATCCCCCGGACATGCATGGAGGGATAAGAATGAAAGATCGGGAGCCGTAGTAATAGTAAAAACAGAGGAAGAGTTGCAAAAAAAGAACAAAAGAACACCACCGGCAAAAGTTAAGTAACCCCCAAACGCCTCGACCGAACGAACGGCTTGAACCGCTCTGCCAGGGACCGGGCAGAGATAACGAGGCTCCTAGACCTGGGCTCTTCCGAGGCAGCGGCCGGAGAAGTCGCAGGAGAAGGGCCGTGAAGTGGGATGCACAAGCTGCTGGCCACAAGGGCCGGAGCTGGGCAGGAGGGGGAAGGGGAAGTTCGACATTTCGAGGAAGCGAGCAGCACCTGGTCCTGGGGCGCTTGTAGTCAATCTATGCCGTGTTGCAATTTGAGCCGTTCGAGATTCTCCTGGCGCGCGGCGAGATCTGTTTTTGATCGGATCATCTTCTCTGGCTGGTGGTAGAGGACTGTCTCTCTCCGTTAGTGGGGGGGTTGGTTACACATAGTTACAGACTATGCATTCCTAGGAGCTGACTGACCGACGAGGTAGCGGTTCTGGAAGTTGAAGCCGTTCAGCTTGTCGCAGGCCTGCTTCGCATCCGTCACGTCTTCGTAAACCACGAATGCGGTGCCCTTGGAGTTGGTTGCGATGCCCTGGCGTATTTGGCTGCTTCTCCGTTAGTCCTTAGTCCATTATCGCTCACACAACTCCGTGACTAGTCATCTGCCAGCTGTGTCCTCACCGGATAGGGCCGAATTTGCCAAATAGATCGAAGAGCTCCTCCGCGGTTACGTTGTAGCTGCACGGCACTTGTTAGGACTGGACACCTCAAATAGGAGCGCTTTTTGGTCTCGACAAGGGCGCATCATCTAGAATACCTGAGATTCTTCACAAAGAGGATCCTGTCCACGAGCCAAGTTAGCATCCAAGCCGGCCTAAGGCGTCCATCACTCCCAGGGGTTTGGGGGTTGGGGGGCCACCGTCTTCTCCTCACGCACCTGTTGGCTTCCGGGGCGAGTTTGGCGCTACGGCTCATATCTCTGCAGTTTCTGTGTCGTGCTTCGTCTTCAGCTTGAGTGTTGCTACTATGTGAGCCGTCGTCGTTCGTCGTTCGTTGTTCTTCTTCTCGTCGAGCTTTCGTCTTTTTCTTTTCTTGTTCGGCGTTCGAGATGTTTTTCTTCTTCCTGCCTTTTTCGTTCCTCTTCTTCCTCTTTCGGTCGAACGCACTTGCCAGGTTTACTTTGCCTTTCTGGGAAGGCACGTGAGGCAGTCGCGCCTTCTCACTCGTTGGGTTAAAGTAGAGCCGCTTTAGGCAGCAGGCGATGCTTAGTAAGGCGATCAAAAGCGGCAGAAAGAAACTTTGTTAGTCATCGGTTTTGAAGTGTTAATAATTCATTAGTCAGTCCATTAGTCATTATATATTAGTCATATCCATTAATCATATATTAGTCATATAACTATTAGTCATCGCTACATCAAACTCTCCCTCCTTTCTGGCTCTCGCTTTCTTTCTTTCTTTCTTGCTTCCAATCTTCCTTACGGGGGAATCTTGCTTCTACAGCTTCAACTCCCGGCGTCAGCAGCTTCAGTCTTAAATAATAGTTATCTCGCTAAATGAAATAATAGAAAAAACCAACTCGATCGAGACCGGCGAGCAGATATAGAAGTTCCCTGATAAGCTCCGTGTTCCCGCCACCATCTGTTATCATCCAATCGCTGGCCCCCTGGAGATTTAACAAAGAAGCTTATCAGCCTCTAACGCCGCCGTTCAATGGATACGATGAACGACCAGCCATGATAGACTAATTATATGGCGCGCAGGAACAACAGCCTTATCTCTCCCGAACGGTAGACCCGGGCTGGCGAGTCTGGAGTTCTTATCTGGCTATCTCACTCGCTGTCTAAGCCTATCTCTCGCCTGAGCTGCGCTACTCCTGCGCTACTGTGGCTAATTCTGGGGCTGCCTCAGCCGCTCCGTCGAACCTGTGCGAGCGCCAGGCGATCCTTCGCGGGGGCTGTCGTGTGCCTGGATTCTGATATTCCCAGATGATACCACCTGCGTGCTATACATGTGCAACCCCAAGGATACCTCACCCCTTCAGCTACGATTTTCCATGATCTGCCATGCTCTAAGGGTTTCCCTTCCATTCAATAATAATGGCCGGGGAAGGGCAGACTGTTTCTTCTTTATATCGACGACGCTCAGAAGCCATTCTTTGAGGACCAAGTACAGTCAAAGTACCGATATGACTAAGCTGTCCTCCCTGGATCTTCCGAGGTCGTTAGCAGGTTTCTCCTAAACCTTCCGTGTTATCTATCTGGGCCTCCGAGCGAATCAGGGGCATGTCAATATCAGACAATTTTCAGTCTGATATCGACCTGATGCGAGGCCTAGTCATGGACTACCCTACGTTATCTTACACTTCCCGCTCCTCAGCCTTCGTGGCTGGCCTTCCTGCCTGTCTTCAGATGCGTCTTTTTCACCGACCCGAGACCGAATGAAGGACATCCTCTCCTTTTTATTTTGCATCTCATCCCCCTGGCTGAGATGTCTTTTTTACATTCCTTCCATATTCACTTACTTCTTCTTTGCCGTTAAGGGTTGATGACCTACGGCATTCACATATCTTAGCCCTATATATCTCCCCATACAAATAGATATACAAATAATATTACTCCTTCACTTTATCCCAAAAATCAATACCAGGGTAAGCCGCAGGACTGAAGATGCCGGCTCCTTTTGCCCCTGATTATGCTTCCTATAACTGGACTGGCTCTCCGTCCAACTTCAGCCTCTCCACAGATCCAGTTCTAGGTGGTGACTCGCGTGAGTGCCTACTCTATACCTGAGGAGCTGTGTTTTCCCCCTTCCTTTCTAACACGCAGTGCATAGGAGTTGAAAATGTCAACAAATGGTTTCAACCAGGCGACCAGGCCTATATCTTGGTAGCCTCCGCCATGGTTATGGTCATGGTCCCCGGACTCGGTTTCCTATACTCTGGACTTGCCCGCCGAAAGTCGGCCCTCAGCATGATATGGGCTTGTATGGCGTCTATGTCCGTCATCAGCTTTCAGTGGTACTTCTGGGGCTACTCCCTTGCCTTCTCTCCCACTGCTACAAATGGATTCATCGGAAACTTGCACGACTTTGGCCTCATGGCCACTTTGGCTACTCCTAGCCCGGGCTCTCCCCTTCTATCCGACCTGCTCTATGCTTTCTACCAGGTACGATACAGGGTGCCCACCATTTCTTGCGTTCGCATCAGTTACTAATATGCAATAAACTATAGCTCCAATTCTGTGCTGTCACTGCCGCTATAGTCATGGGTGCCGTGGCAGAACGAGGACGCCTGTTACCTGCCTTGGTTTTCATTTTCTTCTGGGCTACTCTTGTCTACTGCCCGATCACTTGCTGGATCTGGAATCCCAATGGCTGGGCTTTCAAATACGGTGTCATGGACTATGCCGGAGGTGGGCCTGTTGAAATTGTCTCCGGTCTATCTGCCCTAGCCTATTCCCTGGTCCTCGGCCGTCGCCAAGAGCGCATGATGATCAACTTCAGACCTCACAACGTATCTTTGATATTGCTTGGTACCGTCTTCCTTTGGTTCGGGTGCCTAGGTTTCAACGGTGGCTCTTCATTCGGTGCAAACCTTCGTGCTGTTATGGCTTGCTGGAACTCCAACTTAACTGCAAGCTTTGCCGCCATGACCTGGGTACTTCTTGACTGGCGTCTTTCAAAGAAGTGGTCGATGGTCGGATGGTGCTCAGGTACTATTTCTGGTCTTGTTGCTGCCACTCCTGCATCGGGCTTCATCCCGCCCTGGGCAAGCGTCATTCTCGGGGTTGTCACTGGGTTTGTTTCCAACTACAGCACCAAGAGTAAGTCATCTTTCATTCAATCATACACCAATTTTCTACAGCATCTAGATTCTAACTTTCATAGTAAAATACTGGATGGGTATCGATGATTCTATGGACGTGTTTGCCGAACACGGAGTTGCCGGTATTGTCGGACTATTGTTCAACGCCCTCTTCGGAAGTGATGCCATCGTAGGCCTCGACGGGGTCAATGTTGGTGCTAAAAATCCAACCACCGGAACCGCAGTTGGTGGCTGGATCATCCATAACTATCGCCAACTATACATCCAACTAGCCTACATAGTCGCCACAGCAGCCTACACCTTCGTCGTATCCGCCTTAATCGCCTACGCTATCAACATCATCCCCGGCCTTAAGCTACGCGCCTCCGAACAAGCAGAGCTCCTCGGTATGGACGATGACCAGCTCGGCGAATTCGCATACGATTATGTAGAAGTACGCCGTGACTATCTTGCATGGACTCCTCAGAAGAACGATCAGGTACAAGACGTCAATGTGTCCCGAGCCAATCTCTACGGTTGTGGTGAACATAGTGGCATGTTCTCGAACCCTGGACAAGAAACTAAGAGTCAGCCCATTTCCTCCCCTACTCCATCAAAGTCTTCTTCTCAGACCAACCTCCGAGATGTGACTGCAGTGCCTTCGGTTGTAGGTGCGCCTGACCACCCTTCCGCCGAGCATGGCGAAACAGTTGAGACCGTCGATGCCGAGTTAAGTGAAAAGCCTCGGTAGCCTCTCGCTCAGCCGTTCATTAAACATGTTCATGGAGTTTTACGATTCGACTCGAGATACCCTCTATTTTCCTACCATACCACCAGTCAGGCTCTTGTTTTTTTCAGCGTAAGGGGTTAGATGGCGTTTTATCAGCATCGGGTTTCTGTCTCAATTATTCATCGAAAACGGAATAGGTACCATTAATAAATATTCCATTTGTTCTGACATCACCATTATTGACATTAATATATGCATGCCGCTGTGATAAACCACCCTTAATATTTCCGAACAATAGAATAGGTAAATGTCTGTCGCTCTATATGTATACATGCCAGCCACAAAGCCCAAGTATGCCTCCCAATTAATAAAACGTAAAAAAAAGAACTACAGAGAACGAAAAAGGCGAGAAACATAAAGTATCTTCCTGATCATACGGCTTATAACCTCTATACGTTTCCGCTGTACCCAATAATAGAAGAAAGAGTTCCTGTAGAGGATGATGCCGGAACTCCCATGCCGCTGACTTTCCTCTTCCACAGAAGATACTTCCGGACTTCATCGGCCCAAAAGACAGAGCTAGAAATACATACCAAACAAAACAGATCCCAAAAACCCAAGCCTTCTGTCTGGAAGATTCCCTGTAGAATAGGCAAGTAGATAACGCAAGCTTGGCCGAAAAGAGATCCTAGAACTGCGTAGTTGAACATTTTATTGCCAGTCAGAGATATTTCGCCGCGTAGCAGTGACTTTGACTCGGATCGGCAAGTGAGAGCATTGAACATGTCAAACAGGACGAAGCAGGTGAACGTCATAGTGGTATCACGGCGAGTGACTACGCGAGAATGCACACCCGAAATCTCGTCAGTGTGGTCGGCCATTTGGTGAACATATACGGCAAGCGTGCCAACCATGATGAAGCATGCCGAGGTTAAGACACGGCGGATGAGAGGTTTGGTGAGAACACGAGCATGTTTGGACCGCGGCGGTCGGACCATGATTGATGGATCAACTGGCTCTACTCCAAGGGATTGAGCGGGTGGGCCATCCATGAGAATGTCTGATTGAGCTGTTAGTGACGTAGTCCCCGGAATTGTGAGATGAATGCATCATGGCGTAAAAACTCACTGATCCATAAGATTTGCATGGCATTAAGAGGATTCTTGAAGCCCAGTCCAGTACTGAGCAGAACCAGACTTAACGCAGCCACGCTGGTACTCAACTGGAACGTGATGAAGTTCTGAATGTTATAGAATATTCCTTTTCCTTGTTCAATCGCTCGTAATATCGTAGAGAAATCGTCGTCCGTCAAGATCATGTCTGCCGCCTCCTTGGCAACGTCGGTGCCTAATTTACCCATAGATATGCCAATATCTGCCTTTTTCAACGCTGGCGCGTCGTTGACTCCATCACCTGTCATTGCGACAACATCACCGCGCGATTGAAGCGCTTTAACTATCTTCATCTTGTGTTCAGGGCTTGTTCTTGCAAATATCGATGTCCCGGAAATTGTCTGTGCCAATTCTTCAGTGTTCATATGATCAATCTCATCGCCTCGAAGGACAGGCCTTGCGCCTGAGGAGGAATTAATAGGCATCCCGAGTTTCTTTGCAATGGCAACGGCTGTAGTTTCCGCATCGCCGGTGATCATGATAACCTTGACTCCACCCGCCATGAGGCGTCGGATAGACTTATGAACATCCTTTCTAGGAGGGTCATTCATACCGACAAGACCGGAGAATATGAGACCTGTATAGCGCTTCTCGTCATTGCTTGCCGTGTGCTTAGAAGTGGCATTTTGGCTCCTGATCGGCCCGCTGGCAAAGCCAAGGACTCGGAGGCCTTCTTGAGCCATTGATTCCGCGGCTGCTTTGGCGTCTTTCCGTCGTTGCTCATCCAAAATAACTTCGCGTCCATCTTTAGTAAGGTAGGTGTCACATCTTTTTAGAACCTCTTCCACGGCGCCCTTTATATATGCCATATCCGAGCCGCTGTGGCTGATGGCATTATCAGTTGAATTTGCACTTGCTACAATAACTCCCATCCATTTTCGCTCAGAACTGAATGGAGTCTCCGAAATCCTGCCACTGATGACATCGCGAACATCATCCTCACCAAGCATATCTAGCATATCGAGAATGGCAACGTCAGTTGGTTGGCCAACCCATCGGCTTTTCACAGCGCCTGAAGAACTATCCATCGTGGAAGATAGGACAGCAGCTGAGGCAGCAGTTGCTGGTGAATTTGCATGGGCCCTCGATAACCGGCTATTGTTCGCAATATTACCAACCCGCATAATTGTTCTCGCGGCTGGAGTAAGGTTGAGTGCGGTATGTTCCTTGTTAACTTCAAATGGCTCATCGTTATCAAAATGCCACATTTTTGTCACGGTCATATGGTTCAATGTTAGGGTACCAGTCTTGTCACTGCACACGACGTTGACGGAGCCCAAAGTTTCCACACTGGGTAGTCGTCTCACTATCGCACCACGGTTGGCCATTCTCAGGACACCAAGCGCCAGAGTAACAGTCACAATGATCGGGAGGCCCTCGGGGATGGCAGCCACAGCAAGGGACACTCCTATCGTAAACATATCCAGCAATTTTCGACCTTGAATTAACCCAATCACCACAATTATGCCAATTACAATGAATGACATGTAGCTCAGTTCTTGACCGAGCCGGTCCATCGAAAGCTGTAACGGTGTTCTAGGGCTTTCAATATCCTGCAGTGAAGCGGATATGCTTCCAAACTCCGTGTTTGGCCCGGTGGCTATGACAATCCCTTGGCCATGCCCTGATCTCACCAATGTCCCCATAAAGGCTATGTTATGTTGTTCATTTAATCGAAGATCTGTGCCAACCGTTCCAGCGGCGGGCGAATCATAAAAGGGGGAAATTTTGCCATCTTGAAGTTGCTTTGGTGGTTGTCCTAGGGAATTTGAGACTTTGTGTACAGGTTCGTTTTCTCCCGTTAGATTCGATTCATCTATCGTAAGATCTGCTGCAGAGGTAATTCGAACATCAGCTGGTATACGGTCTCCAGTCGAGAATATGATCAAGTCACCCGGAACCAGGGTTGTAGCAGTAACCGTTGTTGACGCCTTTGCAGATGGCCCTGCAGGGTGAGCTGGCGCATTAGTAAGGTTGACCATTTCATATTCTTCCTCTTCTTCCTTGGTTGTCGTTGGCAGAGCGCCAAATCCAGTCGTGGGAACATTGCGGATTAAATGGGCAAAATGGGGTACCAGCCGACTGAGTGCCTCCAGTGATTTCTCAGAACGGTACTCCTGCACAAACCCAACACTGACGACAATAGTCACAGCGAGGGTGATACTAACGGCATCGTCGTAGTTTTGCATTAGAAAGGAAATGGCCGCGGAAGCGAGCAGTAGGAGAATCAACGGCTCCTTGAACTGCTTAAGGAATCGTAGCCAAAGCGGCTCGGGGTCATCATGGGGAAGTTCATTAGGTCCGTGTTGGAGAAGACGAGCATCTGCGTCGGCAGGAGAGAGGCCGTGGGAGAGGGATGTGGTCAAGCGGCTGGCCACTTCTTCCGGAGAAAGCTTAGAATATGTCGACGTCGTCACGGAAGAGACGGTCGTTGATCGGCGAGTGGGAGAAGGAGAACGTCTGCCATTTTTTGGCGTAGAACTGTAGAATGGCAGCGAAGGTGTGGATAGACCGGACATGTCTAGAAGGTATTCAGCGCCAGCGGTGGAATCTGGCAGCCCCCCTTCTCGTCCCCACTCAGGCTGGACCCTTGATATATCTTAGACAGAACGCAGAATCGACATAGAGTGCCTGTCAATGTGCCGGCTTGCTGTGCGGTAGTGAATTATATGTTTTCAGCTCAGGGGCGTACCGCCGGCGTATAAATAGGAGTTGTGGTCAAACTCGAAGGTGAAAAGAGTCAATGAAACAGTATAACTTGTAAAAACCGCGGTTAGACACCGCAGCCGTAAAGCTGATGAGTATATAGGGCGTGTTCCAGCGATATCGACTTGTTATTCTCGTCGTCGGCGTCGTCTGCTGTCTCGATGACCTTTGGAGCTGTTGACAACATATCAACTTGCAAATATTTGATATCAACTTACGTAAGATTACCCGCCAAGCGCATGACCCACTATTTCCCTCTTTGGGACAGGACGGAGAAAATTAATCCCGAAACCTTATCATTAATACCGCTAGTAATTTATGTACTGATGCCTGGTATTAGTACCACTAGCACAGACACGTGACTATCCAGCCACCTGGTTTTTTTTTTCCCTCTTCGGCGAAACTTTCGCCTTTTGGATCATCACAACGCGCTGCGACAGCAACAGCGACAAAGAAACAACAACAACGCCATCACCGCCGACGACAGACCTCGCTGCTACCACTCCGATTACTCGAGATAGCTGCCCGGAAATGGGATTTTGGACTTCTCTGTGAAGTTTGGCTGCACTTCTACCTTCAGCGCGGTGTCCGGCGACGTTTGTTTTGCTCAGAACAGCACCGCGCCCATCGAACCTACGACCTCCATAACCATCCTATGACTTGTGACGGATATTTGGCTGCTCACCACCACCGCTTTGCGCAATAATATACCGGATATATTGCTGCAACATACAGACTAGCCGTGGCATTCTGTTGCCTAACTCAGCACAATGTTTTACTCAGAGACGCTGCTGTCCAAGACAGGGCCGTTGGCCCGCGTTTGGCTGTCAGCCAACCTTGAACGAAAACTCTCGAAATCACACATCCTCCAGTCAGATATCGAAAGCAGTGTCAATGCTATCGTTGATCAGGGCCAAGCACCCATGGCGCTTCGTCTTAGCGGCCAGCTTTTGTTGGGAGTCGTTAGAATATACAGCCGCAAAACTAGATATCTCCTGGACGACTGTAACGAAGCTTTGATGAAAATTAAAATGGTATGTCCTAATATTAGACCCGCTTTTGGGAAGGCCGATGCTGATTACCTTTTCTATAGGCTTTTCGTCTAACTAATAACAACGATCTCCCTACCACTGCACCCCTGCCGGCTGGAGGAATCACCCTCCCGGACGTTTTGACAGAGTCAGACCTTTTTATGAATTTGGACCCTTCTATTCTATTCACGCAACCAGCGCAGGTAGAACATGATCCGAAGAGGCCAGCCTCGTCCCTTGGCTGGTCTAGCCAGCTACTTCCAGACAGCACCCCTCAAACAGTTAGACCCGTGGAAAAACCACACCTTGAGGATGATACTGGCTTAATTTTGGATCTCGGTGAAGACGAGGATATCCCACTTGGCCACGACACAAGCATTGAAGTCGGTCGAGAGGCTCCCGCCCCACGCCCTGTTGGTGAAGATCTGTTTAGCGATGACAACCGCTTATACGATGGGGACCTCAATCTTGATCTTGGAGAAGATGGTGCCCCTCTTGGGAAGGGACCTGATGCGGATGTTACTCAAGATATTGACAATGCCATCCATATGGATGATGATATACCAATGGGCGGCATTGACGGAGAGCTTGGCATGCCCATCGAAGAGGACTCGACTGTCATCCCCCCGCTTACCAGTGACTTCACCCGCGATCGATCAGGCTCGCCACTTTCATCTGTGCGCTCTAGTGTTGTCCGTGATTTGGACGAAACGTTTGCGAACGAAGGAGCCATTCGACATCACCAGAGAGTTAAGCGAAGAAGAGTGATTATGCCAGACGCCGACACTGTTCTCTCTAGTGCTCAGATCAAAGAACAACAGGAAGACCGATCAAAGATTTTGATAGCTGAATCAATTCTTCCCCGGGATCCTGTTCTCCTTAGCCTGATGATGATGCAAAAGAACGGTTCTTTCGTTTCTAATGTCATGGGGGGTGCAAACACCGGCAACTGGGCGCCAGAACTTCGTGGGATGCTGTCAATTGAATCCGTTAGAAAAGCAGGTGACTTGAAGCGAAAGAGAGACAGTGGAATTGCCGATATGGACATTGATGCTGGTGCCAAGGTTCCTCGACTTGATATTGAGGGAGAAGAAACTCTATTACAACCAGAAGAAGGGCCAATCCTAGGAGAAGATACCACCTTGAACCTACAGCCAGAAATCCAGGTTCCCGAAGATGAAGAACATGCCAACCCCCGAACTGGAGATGACCATTTCAGCGAAGATGAAGGCCTCGGTCAACACCCAGAAGAATACGATGAACTTAGCAGCCTAGTTGAGACTGGCCCAATTTCTTTGGGAACGAAACACGCTGTTCACGTTCTACGGGAGCAGTTTGGCGAATCTCCATCCACTGAATCACCAACAAAAGGCAAAGCTGTTGTCTTCCAAGATCTACTCCCTGAGCTCCAAACAAGCAAAGCTGATGCTACAAAGATGTTCTTCGAAGTCCTTGTCCTAGCAACAAAGGACGCAGTCCGGGTTGAGCAAAGCAGCAAAGATCTTGGAGGCCGATTACGGATTAAAGCAAAACAAGGCCTCTGGGGCGACTGGGCAGAAACTGAAGCTGGCGGCGAGATTGCGCCTCAAGAGGTCGCGGCCGCATAAGTTTGCCGAGTTATTGTATTGGATATGAACTCTTATCAATTTTTGAACCCACGCACTCCTATCCCCGGCTCCTCACAAAACCTCATTCCATAAGCACGTTCTGGGTTACATGAAGAGTAAATGTTGGTGTTTTGTCATTACATATTTTGTTTCCCTTGTTTCTTCCTGGGTATATGTCTGTTTGAGTGTTCTGCTGCCATTTTGGAAACCTTCCTTTGGACAGATTTTACGAAGGCCCAGAGCAGGCGTTTCGCGCCGCCTATGCGTGTACTGAACCTCGGCGTATAGGAGTTATTTGAGCTGCAATGGCTAAGGTACGGAAGGGGGGTTTCTTTGGGAGGCGGTTGAGAAACAGACACAGTTGGGGATATCTTTGGCCGCGCGGTTGTGTTTTTTTGTGATAACCACTTTGTACTGAGTAACTAGCAAGCATAGTAATATATTTTTGTCTCAACAGTTCTTCATCTTGGAAAATCTTTTCGCCGGTTTATTTTTATCCCATGAAGTCATTTTTCTTCCGCACGCCGCTCGTCCCCATCTTGGCCGTGGCTGTATGGGGAAAATTCTGATGTGTTTCATGTTTGCACCATCACTTGCATTCTGATATCCTACCACTGGCCATCACATCCTGGCCGAATGCAGGCCTTGAAACATCCACCCCACTCGAATCCCGGATGAATAGTTCCGGCGGCGAGGCGTCTTCAACTATTAAAAGTATCGACCAAGGAAGGTTCAGCAAAGAGGCATCCGTTGCCGCTCGTTGCTCATCGGTGCGCGCCAGATGAAGCAGTCGATGTGCAAACTGGCTCGTATCACGGCGTTGATCGATGTGAGGGACGCGCCGTGATGGGTCCCGACTTTACAAGGAAGGAAAAGAGGGACATCTTCTTGACCTCTCTTTTCACACTCGCCGTCTCCTTTTTCGAATATATCAACTCACCACCCACCACTTGAAGATGATAGTGGCCATGCATCTCTTCATCTTCCCCCCTACTGCGAAAGCTCATTTCTAAAGGTGCTGGTCACTACTACTCTCTTTCACTGGGTTTTTGTTTTATCTATACCCCAACGTACTTCCCATTTCGGAGCTGGACTCCCCACTATATCAAGATCTAAGCACCATGTCTTCAGCGATACGGCATTTGATGAAGCTTCATCCACAATATCTCCAGGAACTGGTTTTTCGTTCATCCTGTACGGTCTTTTCTCTTATAGCCGTGGGCTTTTTTGCGGGGTGTTTGCGTATCAACGAGGATGTCCCCGTTCCCTCAATATCCCCAGTAAAGGGAAGATGGAAAGATGGAATACCAATTTTACCGGTATGGTGACCATTTCTCTTTATTCATCCACGATCTCCTGACCACTGTACTGAGAAGTTCTAGCTCGGGATTTCCATCCTGTCCTCTATTTACATTGTATACTACACCGTTATACGAAGGCATTCCCCCCTTCTTGCCGTGCAGCTAGCACTCGACATGACAGTTTTGATTGGGCTGGTCCCAACTATAGCCTTGTCCGCATTAGGCTCGGCCTTTTTGCTCTGGACTCCACTTCCCCCTGACGTTCTCGACATTGTCTGCAACCAAGAAAACAAATTCACCCGACCCTGTTTCCCAGAACTATACAGACTTGGCTCCCTAGAGCTAGCTGCTATCATTTTCTCTTGCACATGCGGGTACGCACCATTATCTAAATTGATACAAGCGGGATGCTCACGTTCTATCTTAGGCTATATCACCTATTTTTCACGTTTTATACGATGTATGCTGTCCGTGTCCATGGGTGGAAGCCAGTTCACAAGAAGCGACGTCGCAGACATCGGCACCACGGCACCAAGGAACGCATATACGTACACCTTGATGATCCAAAGACCGAGAAAGACCATCTGGCTTCCTACCTTCAAATTGTCAATGAGGTATCATGTCCGGCTGCAGCAGCTACCAAGGACAATCGATTTTAAATATGGAGTTGAGGATGTCACTATCTGGTGTGTAGTTTGATATTACATCGCCAACCACTGTGGTTATGCTATATTTTTCAGCCAGCATGAAAGGAGATAGAATTTGTTTGTATACACCAACAACCCTGAAATATGATGAACCCTTATGAATAATGCCTCAGATGTTGCATAGGAGCCACTATCTAGTGGCTCATCGTGATACCAACTTTAACCATCATTTCTGGTACCCCAAGCATTCAATTGAAGGCGTTACTGTGTTTAATTGTATCAATAACGCCCCTTTTTTCATAATAAATTCATATCACAGGTATTTGGCTATATCAATCTGCGGGCAGAGTGTTACGTAGTATTAAGGACCAGCTTTGCACTTAAGGTATTTTCGTCTGATCTGTGGCTTGAATATTCAGGATTTCAGGGGAATTTTGATTACATTACAGACCGTAATAGAAAGGATATGCATACACTACCACGACTCTTTCAGATCATAACTGATAGCAATTCTGGATGATGGAAAAAATGGGGGCATCAACTTCGTGAGCCTCCTCAGCTAAGCGCCGGGAAGTGGGGCAGCGCTTAAGTAGTTACAGTAGTTTGCTAGAACTGCTCCATGAAGACCCACAACCTAAAATCCTCCCATTGACGATGTTAAGATAGAACATTGCTATTGAGAGCATAAGAGTGTATTTTTGAATACACGGTTATTGGTAATAGACTGTTGGCAAACTGTAGAATTAAAACAAATCAGGTTCTGGTTGACTGAAGGTATGTTTATAACTTGATTACTGATAACTGGCTCCCAAGGTGATTCTCCGTCCAGTAATTTCACATAGAGGTGTTTGTACATTGAAATAGCCCGTCACTAATTTTGAACAGTGTATTTTGTATAGATACTCCGGGAGTCCGTGTTGTTTCCTTGCTAGTATACTTGTTCTTTCAACCAATGGCCAATCCGATATGACGTTAGTAGGTACTTGCAATGACATCATAGGGTATTTTAGTTGAAACCAAGGCATATATAAAGGTTATATACACTTAAACCACACTCAAGGTAAAATAATCATTGTATGATATCAGTCAATACTGTATTTGGTCTTGGGTATATCGTGTTGCAATCAGCATAAAAATCTTCGTCATGTCAGGCCCAACCAAGCCCGGAGACTCAGGAGTTCGAAGTCAAGAAGGGGTCGTCTCGAGGCCTGAAGGGACAGACTCTGAGCCAAAGCCAATCACCGAGACAATACCCGGTAGGATGCATCATGGACACAGCGAAAAATCCCAATTCGAACCGTTCACGAGCCTCGCCGACCAGAAGAAAGCTGGAGAAAGGGAGTATGGATATGACCAGGGACATCCTGTTCCGGATAACCGGAATAACGAAGATTATAGCTTTATGGAGAGGAAACCTGGAAAGAAGTCTTACTTTAGTGAACTCCTGGAGAAGTATGGTAAAAATCTTCGTATATCAGTTTCATTTCTGCTGACGAGATTCTTCCGAACAGTTTCCGCTAGGTTAGCTCCATGCCTTTGTACGAATAAACCGCACACCTCCCCCTGGAAAAATGGGGTAATAAGATCATCCGTATCAAGCTGATGTCTATGACGGAGTTTGCGGGCAAATTGTCTGTGTATGATTAAATTATGGGAATTCATAGGCATTAGGAATGATATTCCTCTGAACGATTCCGCTCTCATGCTCATTACTTGACTGGAAAACTGGACCCTACATGTCAGTTAACTGGTCGAAGCGTACGGTACGCTTAACGGTAAACTTGAAATTTTATTGCTGGAACGTAGCATGTTGCCTTGCCGGTACCGAAATATCCCGTTAATTGGACTAAATAGTGCAGAAGGGGTGGTGTAGAATCAAAAGGCTGGATTTCCTTAAAAATTGTCAATATTTGTGAAACCCTCAGAAGCCATAATCGATGAAACTTACATATTACTATGTGATGGCTGTCGTTGGTTATTTTATTTTGAAACGGTAAGTCTGATCCATGGGTGTGAATTAAAAGACCCAAAGTGTGAAGCGACGTTGTACGGGGCCTAGTCGGCTGACATAGTAGTGCAGCTTGAATTGGGTCAACCCCGACATCAGCGGTGAATCTAAAACCAGCAGCTAAATCTCCGGGCAGTGCCCACCCTTATCGATGGCATTAGTGCATCAGCCTTGAAATACCTACATCTATCAGCCTCCGAAAGAAAGGCTTGACGATGCCTCCACCAATCAGCGATTCAATCTCAAGTTTGAGGATCCAGGAAATATCAGCCCTTTCACGAAAACCATTTACCAAGATGGGCTTCTAGCCAGCCAGAGTGAACGATGCTGGACTACAGCCTCAAAAATTCTAGATCTTTCACCTGGTAGTCCGTGTCAGCCGCCGCTAATTCCCGAAGATGTGCCGAATCCCAACTTTCGGCCTATTTCAAAGCAAGACGCAATGCAGATATCTGGAACCAGGGATACTTATGAAGCGGTAGCCCGGGATGTCCCATAGACACACATGAGCTCTCTATCGATACTTTTTCGTCTTTGGTAGAACCTTGTCAACATCTAATATAGGCCTTGCGGAGGGTAGAACAACAATTTCTTAAAGGAAAAGCAATAACTTGTTGGGGAGGTCCCTCTACCGATCTCAGCTACCCTCCCTCTAATGATGCCCTTATTTCACTTCTATTCGTCAGAACGAATACATTTTGACAATTTTCAGCAAGGCTACCTGCAGAACATCAGTGACGATCGCATAAGAAAATAGAACCCCCTCGTTCTTAGTGCCAGATGATATATAATTGAGGTTGCTTTCACTAGTCCCAGCAGGTGAGGGGCTTTGGTAGCCTCCTCCCAGAACGATTGTGGGATGAAGCAGCAGCAAGGTCTCTCCAGCAAACTGGGATATGACTATGCTTTGTAGATGCATCTCCTGTACCCCGGGTGGACCGAGCAGATCTTTTGGCTTCTCGCTTTGGCCGGGGATATCAACCGACATATGCATGCGCGATTTCAATCCTCGAATCCTGGAATACACAGCAACGAGGACTGGGTAGCTACGGCTAGAGACGCGGGGGAATTTGGTGAAGACGCAGGTTTCAATCTCTAGGAGATAAGTCAGTGTCAATGTCCCCCAAAGTGCACAGCCAATAGGCAATACTTACCCAAACATCTTCTTTAGCGGGATTGTGTCACAGAGACGGCATAAACCATGACCAAATAAGTAGTTAGCATGAACTGAGAGGCCGCCGTGGACACAGGCTGTAGCTAGTGATGTGTTTAGTAATTTTGATAGTGGCATTTTGGTATATAATATTGGCAGATTGTGCCAGTGAAGTGCTGAGTTGCCGCTTTGGGCAATTCCAACGTCAGGCTTCATCTTCAACAACTTCCACCGACACTTTTTTTTTCCGATCCTTTGAATATCCACAAGAAACACGAACAAGCCTCGATCTGTGGAACAAAAGCGCTCCAGGAGTCTGTATCCCGGGACGGCACAAGACCCATGGGAACGAGTTCATGTTACCCGGGGAGCAAGGTGTGTGCGACCATGGACGCATAGCCGGTCCTCTTGTCTGCTGCGGCGTTTTGACACACTGAAGAATAGCAGCAAACCCTCCTTTGACGACAGCCACAGTAGTTACCGTTGCTGGCTGGTTGTGACCTCTCAGTTCGATCTCTACCACGGATCGGCTCTGCATTGGAACTTGTGCGCTCGGTTCGTCAAAGCGTCGTCCGGTATAGGCAGGTCGCCGATTTACTTCCGTGATGTAACAGGGTGAACCAGGCATCTTCCCCTTTTCTCACCTTCTTGCCTGAGATTCTCGATGCTAACTCTGGAGCAGACCCCGTTGGTGCGTGACATACGCTCGCTGGGGGTGGATTCTACTTAGGTTCCGCAGGCTGCATGGGGGTGAAAATACTATGGAAAGACTGCTGTGTCGATCGGACCGCATGGTTGAACCGCGACCTGCACCCTGTTGACGAAGCTGGTCAAAAACCAACAGATGCATCAATACGAACTACTGTGATCAGACATGTTGCCAATTCGCGCGACGGTGCAGTTGGCATTTTCGGCCATCGAAAGCTGTTGAGCCTAGGCAATTGGATAGCCGATGCTAACAAAAGCCCTAGAATGTCTAGCAAATACGTGTTCCTGTCTGGGTCGCCTTCATGGATCGCGCCTTGTTATAGGTATATTTGTGGTGGCCAACCCGGACCCATTTCACAAAGAATGATGCAACCACTGCTTCACCGCAGTCATATAGAGTTAAACATTTTAAGGGGGGGATACACCTGCATCTTCAGACTTACTTTTGTCCATAATCGAGGACGGTTGCAGTGCTGTGAAATTACGGCGAGGAATATCTGAGAAGACCTTGCTAGCTGGTCGATATACAAACCTCTGGACGGGGACGTCTGCAGAGCAATACACTTTAGTTACCAGGAAAACCCCTGCCGGCAGCCTAAAAAAAAGACTGGGAAAAAGAAAGGACTGATGTACGTTTCTTTTCTCACTTAGCGAAGCCGGCAGTTCCACCTTGGCGCAAAAGTCGAGTCCTACGCCCTGCAACCACAACGGATATGAGTGCTGGCTTCCTTTCGTTCAGAAACGAAGGAAGAGGAAGTCGCGTGAGGGGAACCCATCGGCCTTTTAGCCGTAAGTCGCTAGCTAGAGACGATTAGCACTGGGGACATTGGTGGGGATCCCTCCACAAAGACCGAAGAAGAAGCCAGCCCGAAAAGGAGTGCCCTCGGAAGACTGAAGAAAAGGGAGAGAAAAAGTAAAGGGCAGAGAGGATTCAAGCCGAATTGACGCTGACTGGGCCTACGCTCTTATAGGCTCGAGAGTCGAACCGATTCTAGGGAGACCCCCATTATTGCAAGCAGTCATCATCCGCCTTACCTTGGTGATAGTTATTGTCACAGGCCAAACCTATCAACTGCCGTTTGCTACCATATTCGACGTTTTTTCCCCACTGGGAAGAAACTTCTTGGCTCTTCCTTTCTCTCCACGACTTTCGCCCTGTCATCGCCAATATCAACGATCAACGACCACCACCACGACAATAGACGCCGATATATTCTTCGCTGACGTCCCATATTATCTCGTTCGTTTCGATGTATCCATGCCAAGGTCATTATATGCTGCAGCCAGGCTCTCGCTCTTCAGACATCGCTGAGAACCCCAGCTTTCGGTTACTCTCCCATCAACACCCCAGATCTGGCCAACACTCGCGCTCTTGTACTTACAGGATTCAGCCGCCAGCCTCGTCCTTGCATACGTGAAAATACGACGCGGATGAGAAAGGTACCCTCTTTGGTCGAACGAAACCCCCGCGCCGAGTCTTGCTGTGTACTCCGCCAGTCGAACAACAAACCCCCTTCTGACTCTTGACTTGCATTGTTCGACTTTACAATACTGCGGTCTGTGCGCTGTGTCAGCTTTGCAAGCTTGGTTCAACGACTTCAATCGTCACCAGCCGGCACGAGCATGTCATTGGACTTTGAGCTCTGATCTCTGTTTGGATTGAAATACCTTCAATCAGCTTGCTGCATTCGCGTTCGTCGCACGACCTCCAACTCGAGCTATACTCGCCACGGCCGCGTGATCCATAGCAGTCCCTTCCTCGACCTTCATACCTCCCAAAAAGGGCGTCGTTATTTTTTTCCCTGCTGTGAAACCTCAGCTTGACCCTTTACTCGTGCATTAGCGAACCAGCCAAGCTTCGCCTGGACCAGTTGAATCCAGGGCCGTCGTTGTGGTACTGCGATCCCACATCCTGAAACTCACAATTTGAAGAGGAATAATCATCTTTCTCGCGCCAGGTAGACTATCACACTTGGAAGGGGAAAGTTGACAAGACCTGGACCACTGAACGTGGGCATCGATCGTCCCGAAAAAGAAAAATATTCAGCACACAGACTCTGCTCGTTGGACAGTAAAGCCTTCTTCCCTCCCTGACAGCGCCACCACAGCTTCTGAGTCCCCTCACACGCGCTCTCACACACACCGTTTGTTCTGATAATACCCCCCGGCCACTCACACGCAATACCACGCCGACGTACAGACACGTTTTCTTGGATTCCGGAGTTGGCGGCGTTTCATCCACGCTCGTCCTTCGTTTTGGTGCCTGTTCCTTCGGGGGAGGAGGCGCCGTGCCGTTACGTCCCCAATTAAGGCCTCCACATTATATAAATAGCTATAGCGGCAGGCTTTTATTATGACGACTAGCTCCCGGGAGTGCTCAGATACCATGTCCCCGCACCAAACTACTGGCCAGGAATCTGACAACATGACCGTCAATGGCGAGAATGCGCAAGCTTCATCTCAATATATCCAGAGCAATGAGGAGATGACCAGTGCTATAGCGACCGAGAAAAAAGCTTCGACTGCAAAGGCGGCGAAGGACCCTTCAAGGCCTAAGAGGAAAAAAGCCAAGCGAGCTTGTTACGCCTGCCAGAGGGGCCATCTTACTTGTGGTATGTAGGCATCGTTATGCTATCATAAATATCTAGAACTAACCAACCTCTCTTTTCTTTTCTTTGACTGTATTTAGGTGATGAGCGCCCATGTCAGCGTTGTATCAAGCGCGGATTCCAAGATGCCTGCCACGATGGAGTACGAAAGAAGGCCAAATACCTTCATGATGCGCCAAATGAGGCACTCATGGCTGGAGTGGGAGCAACCCTCTATAACCAGAGAAATGCGGCACAGAACAATGCCAATGGATCCAATACTTCGCCCGGCGCTCCTCAGCAGATAACCTCACCCAATTTCTACAATACACAGCAGTCACCGGATTATAATGGCTTTCCGCAAAATAAGACCGAACTGCAGGACAGCACAGTAGGCCCTGATAATTATGCCTCCCAGTCACCCGTTTCGCCCACGTATCAAATAAGTCAAGGATTATCAACCCAGGGCCTTTCTCCATCCCTCCCGCAATCCACAAGTGAGACACCATCAGCCGCAAATCCTGCCCCGGGCCAATTTAATTCTGCCTTTTTTGATCCTAGCGATCCTGCGCTATTCAATTTTGACCTCGCAAGCATGAATTTCGGAAACCATTATGGTGCTTTGGAATTCGGAATGCTGGGACATATGGCGACCGGGGTAGGTGACACACCACCTAGCGAGAGCGGAGCCCAGCGTGGTTCAATTGGACAAAATGGCTCCGGGACATTCGGCCTCACTGGATCCAACTTTTCTGAGAGCCCTAGCAACCAGGCCCCCTATTTGTTTAGCGAATCTGGCATGAATGACTGGACGCAAACTGCACCTGTCAATAGGAGGAGTATGTATGGTTCAAATGCAAACTTGGTGGCGGGAAATATGTCGGACAAACCGCATGCATTCGCCATTGAAAGTGCCCCGGCCAATTTTGCTAGCCCTGCTTCCAACGAGAGTCCGATGATGACGACCAGCTCAGCAACATTTGAAGACACAACAAATTCCGGGGCATTCAACTCTAGGCAAAACGTACCTGTGTCTCAACAGAGACAGCAGCCAGTTGTATCAACACCCCAACTTAAGCAACAAAATTTGAACCTCGGCAGCAGGCGCAGACATAAGAATGCGTCGTCTATTTACGACAGCGTCAAGGACCCGTACTCCTACACTAGCGGATTCCATTCTTTAACGGCATTCATCCAGCGCCGTTTCTCTCCACAGAAGACATTGCGTATTGCCAAAGCGTTGGCATCCATTCGACCGTCATTTATTGCGACTACCAAAACTCTAAATCGGGATGATCTAATATTCATGGAGAAATGTTTCCAACGCACACTCTGGGAGTACGAAGACTTCATCAACGCGTGTGGCACTCCGACGATAGTCTGTCGACGAACCGGCGAGATCGCTGCCGTGGGTAAAGAGTTCAGCATCCTCACTGGCTGGAAGAAAGAAGTGTTGTTGGGCAAGGAGCCAAACCACAATGTTAACACTGGTGGCTCTTCCGGTCTGATGACAGGCTCAACATCACGAGGAAGTTATACACCAAGACCTTACAGCTCCGAGGTATACAACTCCAGTGCAACAGCTACGCCGCGCACACAACCTGTCTTTCTTGCGGAACTGCTGGACGACGACAGTGTGATTGAATTCTACGAAGACTTTGCCAAGCTTGCCTTTGGTGACTCTCGTGGCAGTGTGATGACGACGTGCAAGCTGCTCAAGTACAAAACTAAGGCTGAGAGTGATATTCTTGCCGGCAGCAACGGCGAGGCGGACGCTGGGTTGAATGGTGAAGCCGCCAGTAACGAGACAAACGAGCTCAACGGCAGCCTTACCAACGGAGCCACTACGAACGGGCGAGGACAACGCCGGTGGGGCAAAGGTGAGATTGCTGGTGAAGCTGGCATGAACCAACTTGGATTCCGCGACGGCAAAGTCGAATGCAGCTATTGCTGGACTGTCAAACGGGATGTCTTTGACATCCCCATGCTTATTGTGATGAATGTAAGTTGTCTGTGTTTAGAACCACTGAGCGAGCCATAACTGACATCAACTAGTTTTTGCCATGCATATGAAGGTTCATCCGAGCTACCTAGTTCGGAACGGTTTTATTCATTTTCTTGTTTTTACGTTCACCTCACGTTCATTCAGCTGCAATTATTATGACGGCGGTTAGGAAGGAAAATGGAGTGTAACGGAACGAGGGTATAACATACAGCTGGGGGGAAACATGGCGTCACACACTTTTTGGGCATTTACAGAGCGGACCAACCGTCCCTCTTTTTTCATCTTTTTTTTCCCTTTTTGTTCTCTTATGACTTGTCCTCTCTATATTTCCGCCTTTCCCTTGTTCCCTTGAAGGGGGGATGCGTTATTCTCCTCCGTGTTTCCTTCCCGTCCATCCCCAGCATCAATGCCGGGGAGACGGCCAGAGGGATTCACCCTGGACTTAGGAATAACGTACGGCGAACCAACCAACAAACCAAGCTTTTAGGGTCCTTGCTGGGGATCATCCAGCGCCACGGAGATACATAGAAAACCAACCAATCTATCTCTTAAAAAAATGTCTTCCCTGCCTCGTTGCCCGTATTTAACTAGGCCATCACCCCTGCGGCTGCACAAGGGAGTCGCAACACCGACGAAGCCCGAGGTCGCCGACTAGCTTGAAGCTATCACCTTGGAATTGAGGCTACCAAATGATATATAAGTAATTAGTTATAGCTGCCGCGTCCTTAGTTTGTATTTCCCAGATCCTCGGCCCAGAGGAAGCACGATCAATTCTACGGCAAAAAGGTAGCTACCGAACTAGCACCATCCCACAGACCGCAGCTAGTTAACTGAGAGAGCAGAGCTATCAAAGCCTAGCAAGCCAGCCAGCAACCCGACGATAATATTAAGCCACGCCGCAGTGACAATGTGTAGACCAGCTACCTGCGAGGTTTGCGGTTCGTTCTCACTCCTCTTTCGTGCAATGCACCAGAATACGAGAACGATGGCGGGGGAGGGGCAGCGCCTGGCATCACTAGCTAACGGTTATCTGATTTGAACAGCCCAGAAGACGTGGCGAGGATGCGGTCTTCACGTCCCCAGCGTCCTGGACAGCGTTCCCAAGGACGAATGGTGTACCTGCGTGCCGAAGAAGACGGTCAACGACCAGGAGTATCCGCCGATGGTTGGCAAGGGGCATAAGGAGGGCGAGGAGCCGCCAAAGCAGGGCGAATGACTATCCGGCCTTAGGGGCTTCATCAAGAACATCTTTTAGAACACTCCTTGTCGCCACAGCTACCCATATAGAAGGCTTAAATCACTGAGATTCTGTTTCTGCTTCGTCCTCCTCTCTTCTTCGTCGTGTCTTCGTAGTTTTTTTTTTTTGATATCTAAGTCCTCGCCGTCCCGTCCAGGCCCCGCCGGATGTGAATCACATGACGGGAATTTTGATATAAAAAGCACCTTGAAGCCTGAAGAACGACATCTGCTCAAGAGGAAAACGAAGACATCGGTAAACGAAAGAGGGAAAAAGGGAGAGACCGTACGGAAGACTAAGCACTGCTCGGATAGCCGCTTTGTGCCTGATCGAGGCAGCAGGATGCGACCAGACGGCCCAAGGGATGACTTCGCCGGGCCCGATACTGGGCCAGAGTCCCCGTTCCCCATCCGGATGTCGGGGCCAGTGATCAAGGGCTTCGGAAGAGGCAGCAAGGAGGTGAGAAGACGCCCTGCACACTTATGCTTCTGCCCGGTGCTTTGGCTGCTGTTCTGTATTGCCGTCTGTCATTTTGATATGCGCCACTATCAATCAGCCTGGCTTTCTGGAAATACCCGTGGATGAGGCCACTAATCCCATACAAACCCCGCTGAATTTTGATAATACAGCTCAACTTGCTCGGTACAATGCTAACTAGCCATGTAGCTTGGTATTCCTACTGCAAACATCCCCGCTGAGACGCTGTCAGAGTATCCCGACCTCCAGCTTGGTGTATACTACGGCGTTGCGGCCCTGGACCCGGCACAGTTCAAACATACCCGTACTGAAAGTGATGCTGCTGATGAGCCAGCGCATACCGGCACTGACATCTTTCCCTGCGTACTGAGCATCGGCTATAACCCATTCTACAAGAATACCGTCCGCTCAGTGGTACGCATACATACCCTGTTACTTCTTCCAGCTATGATTAACTATCAATTGCTAACTGAGTCCCAGGAAATTCACATCCTGCCTCATCTATCTATGGAGTCATCTCCGATTGCTGCTGATACATCTGGGCAACGTCCGTTATTTCATCATTTCCCTGATTTTTATGGAACGGCTCTTAACTTGCTTATTCTTGGCTACATCCGACCTGAGTATGATTACGTTAGCCGTGAAGCCTTGATTGACGATATCCGGATCGACTGTGATGTGGCCAGACGTAGTTTGAAACGAAAGGCATATGCTGTCTTCTTGAACGACGTTGACTCTTCTGACGAAAAAGCCAACGAGGCAAGGCAATGGCTTAGGAAGTTTTAGACCGTGTTTGATCGTTTATGAATTTTGTATGAACCTCGTGGTAAGATTTTTTTTTTAAAAAATATTTCTTTAATTGTCTCTATGGCAATTACGAATGGTGGCTATGAGCTCTGTGCTAGCAGAGAAAGATAGTGTAGGAAGAAGGGAAACCGAGACGGGAAAGAGAATCATAGAAATCTTAGGTCTAGTTTTAGGAAGAAACTTAGGTGAAAAGGGGTATGCAATATATGAGGACACGCTTAAATGCTAGGCAATAAAAAGGATAGACAAACACCACCCATTCGCTAATAGCAGATCACAGTTGAATGAGGTCAACCTCCGAGAAATCAGGAGGACTTCGACTGAATATGGCTCGACACTTGCCATCCAACGCCTGGTATTCATTACTAATCCAGATGTGCTTTGTGAGCCGCTGAGTACGGAAGATCTCATCGTCACTAACGCCCATGTCATCTCGTGGTATCCAGATGACTGGGCGTCTCATACGAAGAGCCTCGTGCTGGAACGCCCTCTGGACGAGCTGATCACGCTCCTCGGGGGTTAGATCCTCAAGTTCATCGTGGATACCCGAGAACAGGGACTGGCCGATAGCATGCGTTGTTGGGGCTTGTGATTCAGTGTCCATCGCAAGTTTTTTGCGTATAGCCCGGATAGTTGGCATGCTAGGATCAGAGCGTCCACCGAAGAATGGCGAGCGGGTGTTCGATGACCTGTCCGCCCAAGATTTGCGCCTCTGCTCCTTCGGCGAGCTGCTGACGCGGTTGAGTCGAGACCCGAGGAAGAAGGGAGAAGATGGCTCCTGCTGTTGATTATTACCCATAGCACTGAGTTCGATCGAGCCGTCCTTTTCACCATCCTCACGCTGGCCATCCTTGTCCAGCTCATCATCGTCATCTTCGATTCCGCGTCTGCGACGTTGGGCACGAGCAAACTCTTCGTCACGCTGGGTGGCCTCATCCTCCAGGGTGATAGGCAGGTAGAGTGATAAAGGATTGAAGGCCTCGTTAAGGAAGTACTGGAAGAGAATAGTAAGAATTAGGACGATTATCATGCAGATTGCCTGGCCTTCACAGGCAACCTCTTTTTTCTCATCTCTGACAAGGAAGAACATTCCGATAAGGCAAATCTCCATGACATAAAGACCGGTAAAGAGCTGATTTATAGCTCGTGGGAAGAGCAACCCGCCCGTATCGAAACGGAATTTGGTAACGTAAAGAGTGTTGTACCGATAGACAACCCAGAAAAGACTGAATGTAAGCACATTGAATACCATGATCAACGGTGAGATGATACAGTAAATCAAACCTGGTCGAAGGTTAGCAGATTTTTCAAGTCAAAGTGTTAAATAATAATACAACGTACCAATCGACGCTAAAGTGGTGTAAACAGGGAAGAAAGTCCCCCATTGCATTTGGTTAAGGTTGGTTGCCCTCGCCCACTTCTTCCTCGCCGTATTATCGAGGAGAGGCGCAAGAATGAACCAACTGATCAAGGCAAAGATTTGAACCAACGCTCCCGCGCTCACAGACATGGCTTGTAGGACCATATAGGAGAAGAAATAGTTGCTAGCCTTGGGTATATTCTGGGCCAAGAGATCAGGTACACTCAGGACGTTCTTCAGCGAGTCGATTATGGTTGAAAAGCCAGAAGAAATTGAGACAACAAGGAATATCTGGACAAAGAGAAAGGCAAAATAGTAGTTTTGCACAGTGAGTTCAATAGCCATGCCTGTATGGACTCCTTGGTTCCGGGACAAGAATCGAAGAACTAGAGGCAGGAGAGCCATCAGGATTGAGAGGAAAAGAGGGGGAAGAATTCCCTGTATAGCAGATATCAACCACTGTGGAAGCTTTCCAAGCCATCGCAGCCATGAAAAATGGTTCTCTAGGTACGACAGCTGTGACAAGAGACCGGTGAAGGCTACGGGAAAAGCCCAGCCGATAACCATAGCTCCGACAATTACCATGACACCAAAGGTTCTGATATACCGCTCCCACCATCTGATAGACATATTGTCCCAGATAACGTCGTCGGGAGAGATTTCTACCATGCGAGGAGTCATCTGTTTTGGGATATGATGGCTGACACTTTGGCAAGCCATATGAGCTGCAACCTGGTGGTTGAACTGCACAAAGGCCGAATTCATTAGGGGAAACTTCTCCGGATGCTGTTGGTCGATCTCGATTTCGAGATTCAATCGGGCAAGCTCCTTTCGACAGTGATATATGGTGTCGACCTTCTTACCTAGAAGTGGGAGCGAGGGCATCCAGTCCCAGCCGAAGATAGGCAAACGCATGGTCTCTCGATCCTTTTCACGGATGTACTTCTTCCAGACGGGCTCGCCATAGTCGTCCTCTTGGTATTCTTCGTTGTAAGCCACAGGATACTCCTTGTCGACGTCATATTCGTCCTTTTTCTTGCCATTGCCGGTTTGTTCTGGATCAGGAAGAGCCGGACTGCCACCGACATCTGGACTAGGCGCTGTCAACCGGCGACCATCATCGTGACGGTCGAAAACGGTCCCATCCATGCCCATGGGGTGATGATTGGGATTGGCCTGAGACGAGTTGGAGAGTCTGACATTCGCGTCATCGGCGACAGGTTCCGTGTTACCCTGGGTATCTCCAGGGTGGTGACCACCTGGGCGATGAACGCTTCCACCAATCTTCTTCAAGCCACCTACAACAGTGTGGCCTACTTTGGCACCGACTTGTTGTACTTTATGACGTTTAGGGTGGAGGAGATCCTGAACAGTGTGGGCTGTCTGGTGAGGGTCTCCAGAGCTGACACCGGCGCCTTCAACGAGCTGAGCAGTTCTGCGATCGTTTTCAGCCTGGATCTGCTGCTTGGTCTCCTTTGACTGCTTCCCTTCTTTCCTGGCTTCGGCCTTGATCTGTTTCAAGTGAGCTCGCTTGCATTTCTTGATCAGCTCAGTCTGGGCAGACTCGAGAGTAAAGGCGAGCTGATTCCGTAGCTTGATTTTCGCGTTCAGCTGGTCGAGGTCCCGGTTAAGCCAGATATTACGGACACCTCCGGGGAAGACGTCGAACAGAGAATCGAGTGCTTCAACTGATAACCATCTGCTGGGGATAGAGGTGACCAGCACCGTAGTGGCTGAAGCACGCAGACGATGTTGGGGAGATGTCAAATAAGACTGTCGCAGGCGTATATAGCCCCTGAACTCGTCGAAGAAGATGCCGCAGACGTAGACGACCACAATGACGGCGAGAATCAGGTGTGCCCAGTACCGCTGGCTGTGTTCAGGCCTGACATTCCCCCATGCCAGCTGGTCCAGCCCGGAGACGTTGTACCGGGTCATAAAGTCATGGTCCAGCGGGTCTATGGGGCTTGTGTCTCTGCCACCGACCTTATTGATGGGGATAAGGATAGGGAGGATAACGATCGAGAGCGGGATGAAGATCTTGAGCAGCATCCGTAGATAACGCAGGAAGAAGTAGGCGTCCAGGCCGCATTTCTTGATGAACTCCGAGTTCGACGTGCGGAATACAGGAATAATCCATCGAAACAGGCCAGCTGGCGACGGTGCAGTCCTCTCTCGCTCAGGGACTAGATATGTGCGCGGTTGACTATAGCAGAGGTCAACATCGTCAGCAACCAGCACCAGCACCAACACCAGCAACGCCTACACACACAAACCAAGGAAGAGACTCACTAGATTCTGGTCAGCTTGCTCTTGAGGATGAGGAAGATCACGAATTCGACGGCGAAGACGATGATGGCCGTCGCGAGCGAGGCGAGAAATGTCGAGATCGAGATGCCGCTGGAGCGCTGCCCCGTTCCGCTCTGCTGGTCGATGGCGTCTCCCACGCCGGCCATCCTGCTGGTTCTCACGGAGACGAGCCTGGATAAAGCTGCTGAAGCGAATTTGAAGTGCTGCTAAAGAGAGAATCCGCGTGTTTGCTGGTGTTGCTAGCTGCACATGGTGGTGGGTTTGAGGTCTAGGTGGAAGAGATGAAGCTATAAAGATATTTCAATGGACGCAGAAATGAGAGTGAAGCAGAGAAGAGGACAAGCAAAGAACCCGCCAGTCACTGCGAACCGGGCCAGCAGCAAGAAGACGTCTCTTTCGTCCTCGTCGTCCGGCTTCGTCTGCGCTGGCTGAGATGAAGGGACAAACAATATAAAACACGCCCAAGGATCCAGGGCAGAAGGAAATCACCACCAAAACGAGACCGCAGAAGACCGCAGGTTAAGGCTCGCCGCACCTCAACCCGGACGATAGCTGGCTTTTCTTATACATATCCCTCGAGCCCGCCATGACGATGATGGGAGATGTGTCCACCGGCCTGTACGACGGCACGCTGTGGCAAGCATGGTCGGTGGAGATGCCAGCGGTTATTGGCCTGCCCGCTGCAAAGAAAAAAAAAAAAAAAAAAAGACCCTGCGGCGTTCAAGCGAAATACTGGCTCCATAGGAAAAAAGAAAACCTCCACAGGCGGCCGGGATGACATCAAAGGCGCCTGGTGAAACCTCGGCGGCTTCAGGTTGGGCCTGGTGGGCGGCCGGGGAGCGGCCTGAGAGGACGACCAATGCTGCAGGAGAGCCGCTGTCAGTTGGTGCCGGCGCTTACGCTGATGCACTTGTTTCTCAGGGGGTTCTCACTGCTGGGTTCCCTGCTACGGCTACGGATTGGATAGGCACTGGTTACTGGCAGTGTTGGCTGCTGGCTGGTTCCTGGTCTGGTGCCTGGTAAGCCCTATTCCTGGCTGTGGCGGATGGCCAGTTTCGTGCATCACCTTTTGATACAGGTTATCAACTAACTGCTTACCAGTGTAGGATCATGTCTTTTCATGGGACGACGGAGTACGACGAGTCAATCTAGCAATCGGCAACTAGTTAACCAACTTAACTAGCACTTACTATTTGATTGTGGCTGAGATGTCTGTGACCTCGGAAGATCTACATATACTGTGCAACCGGCCCATATATATAACATGGAGAGAGCGGGTTAAGCATGCCCGAGCTAATTCCTGAAAGTGTCTCTTGTAATAGAGGTACTATTCTCGTTATTATAACACAATAACTATTCATTCAGAGCCTCGATAAGTGACAGTGTCCTGGTTTGTAGGTCCTTGCCACTGTTGTCTGAGCAGCAGAATGTGACGAAATCTAGACAAATATACTAAATCTGGCCGTTTCGCTTAACACCTGGTCTCTAGATGTTGATTCGGCACTAGAATTGGCCAATATCTCAACTGGTTGTGCTGACTGACTGTCCTTGGATATCCACATCCTTGCCCCTGGAACTATGACGTTGATATACAAACTCTAAGACTCAGCTTGATATCCTCCAACTAGTTATGGAACGAGTTCTACCCCGAATTCTTGAGCCGACCCTCAGGATGCTAAAGCCCTTAAGCAGTCATGATGCATCTGTTTCCCCAACCTATCAGCCCCCGTCAACCAAATAATCTCACTACATCCTGCCTGCCAACCATGAAGTCACTCGCTGCGAAGGCTCTCCATCCACGGCGCCATTCGCTGCAGGAGAAGCACTCGACACGATATAGCGAGCCGCCGGTAAATCATAGCGAAGTTCGTTTTTCGTGGGATGAAACGAATCCGAAAATTGTCATTGCTGCTGACAGCATCGGCTTCGACCCTTTGATATTCGATCAGTTCAAAGAAGAAGGCTTTGATATTGCATTTTTACCATACACCGACAGTCCCAAGAAGTTTGATTCTCAGCTTCAGGGCTTACAGGACTCAATGGAGTTTGGAAACAGATATGCTATAGTCGGTGGGTTATCAGAACACTCCACGGCGCATCTGTGACATGATTACTAGATGCTAATGGAATACGTCCTACTTCCAACATTTCACAGCGTATGGTGAAGCTGCATCTCTTGTACTGCAGGCTTGTGTGAAGCCGATGCCTAGACTATGTGCGGTCGTGGCATACTATCCCACTTATATACCCGCCTTTGAATCCAGGAGTATTTCCTCCCTCAAGCTCAAGATACATCTAGCTGGGCCGCAAGCACAATTAGGCAAAGAGAGATGCTATGTCTACGCCAATTCCGAGGTGGGATTTGCCCAACACGATTTACCACAATATGACCCAGTTACTGCACGGCTAGCTTGGTCACGAACCGTATCCTGTCTCAGAGAAGGATTCGAGATGACTCCAGACCTAGAACCAACGTGGGAGAGACATCTTCTCATGAAGTATGCGTCCAAAGACCTTGAAGGAACTTTGGATTCTTATGCAGACGGGGCACGTATTAATTACGTCCCTACTCGAACTGGAGGTTAGCATATACTTGCGAGTTCCTCTTTAACTGAATACCCAACTTATACCCCTTATACTTATACTGGAAATCAAGTTTAAATGACGTGCATTGTTCTAGGTATCGGCCATGATGAACTTCGTCGCTTCTTTGAGGAAGAATTCATCCCCCGAAATCCACCCTCACTACAGGTTCGGCTTATCTCCCGGACTAAAGGCAGTGACCATCTTGTCGACGAAATGTATCTGTCCTTCCAACACACACAAGAGATCCCCTGGATTCTCCCGGGTATACCACCAACGAACCTGACCGTGGAGGTAGCTATTGTCAGTGTGGTAAGTTTTCGGGGAGGAAAAATATGTCATGAAAATGTCTACTGGGATCAGTCAAGTGTTTTACTCCAGGTTGGGCTGCTGGATGGAACCTATATACCGCCGAGGTTCGATCCTGTTACAAATAGTATTAATGGTCTTCACGGTGTTAGGAAGTTACCTGTGAGCGATGGTAAGAGTGCGAGGAGTATCTTGCAGGAGTAAGAGTAAGTGAACGGGAGTTACCATACTATATCTGTTAATAGCATGTATTTTTTTGTAGCTGAAAGGGCATTAGCTGCTACTTGGACATAGTGAGCCGAAATTATTACATATTTTTCATATTATCTACAATACAAACTCCGGGATCTTCAAGCCATTGAGAAAAATTACAAGGACTCAAGTAACGGAGCGAGTTGAGATATCTCAGGGCTCACAGAATGCTTGCTCTTCATCGTCATGACGCTGGCTTTCTGCGCTATTGGGATCACATCCTCTACCCGTACTTCGTGATCTCGTCCACCTCTTCCAAGAGCAGCCATAACTACGCCGAGTAGGGTATCGCCTGCACCGTTGACACTGACAATATCACTATCCGAGAGTGTTTCCTCTGGCGGGAATAAACGCATGTAAACCCCTCCAACAGGGCTATCGTCTATCTGCCCCCGACCAAGTATATACGGAGCGTATTCTTTCATGGTCAGTCGCTCATCTCCAGGCCATAGTATCTGAGTCAACAGCACTCCCTGAGAACCCAGTTTGGTCAGTATGCATGGTATCAACGGAAGAAGCTGTATGGTTTGCTGAGGAATTCCCTCATTGACAATCTCCGCGTTTGTAAGTGAGATCAAACGGACCCTTGATCCGTTACTGGGTAGCTGGAGGGCATCAATTATCCGCCACCACTCGGGGCTATCAAAGTGGCCCGTGTCTCGAGCTGCAGCATGCATAGCTGCCAATTCATACCGGTTCGGAGCAGCGAGGTCAATAACATGGCTATCTGGAGCCATATCGGTCGCTCTTATAACCGGAACATGACTAGGGGTATCATTCTGTCGGTAAAATAGCCTCGCGGCCTTTGGTGCGGACACAGGCTCCAGCGCAATTTTGATACCCTGGCGCCTGCAAAGCTGTATCCATTCGGTAGCAGCTTCAGATCCCCAGTTTGCGTCCACAACAGCCCATGAAGGTGGCACCACTTGGTCCTTGACCAATGGTTCCCAGTAGGCCCGGAAGTTCAGCTTGCTCTCGGGCAGTTCGAGGATACTCATATCTGCCATGGCGATCATTAGGTCCTTTTTGGCATCGTTGACGGCTATGTATTGCGCTGTTCTGGCGTCAGGAGCCGACGGGAGTAGCTGGATGCCCTCGGACTGGAAGAAAGGGTTGTATGTGTCTTGTATTGTGTCCAAGGCACTTCTTCCGCTGATATCGTCTGCAACCACGCTGCAGAACATCACGGAGCTCCCCATATAACTTGCTGCAAGGGCTACGTTGTGTCCAACACCTCCTAGGGTCTGGGTTATAACCGAAGGATTTGAAGTCTGTAGCTTGGGTGAACCATCTGAAGGGCCATTTGACAGTGGTGTATAGTCACAGGCTAGGTCAACTGCAAGAGAGCCTGCTACCAGCAGTTCTGGCTCTTCTTGTTCAACTTCCTGTGTTGAAGGAGTATCTGCAGATTCAAAAGAGGATCTGAGGCTATCTTGACTCTCTTCGGCATGAGCTTGATTTATTGGTATATTGCCAGCTACACTGCTATATCTAATAAGAAAACGAACATAACAATCAGCCTGCTAGTCCTCGTAGCCCCCAGTAAAGACTAAAGGAGTGCCAGCTCACCGATCCACATCTTTGCCATTTTCTGATTCCAAATTTGCAAGCTCGATAGCCACTTTGGTGCCGACCTCTACGTTATATTCGACGAGTGCTCTATTTGTAGCCACGCTACGTCCACCACTAAGCTCTTCAATCTTAGCCAAGACGAAGGGAGTATTATCACTCCCCTGGATGCCTTCAATATGGGCAAGTTCAATAGCTCGAGTGATGATAGCATCCATCTCTGGCTTGGGGAACGAGTGCTCTTCTGGCACCGGATTGGTGAAGAGCATTCCAGACTTAAGCTGCAGCTGTGACTGAGCATCTAGAAAGAAGTTAGACGGAGCAAACTTGATATAAGATTCAAAGACGTACAGATGATAGCAGCGGCATCCTGAGCATTCTGGATGACCCTGGGTGCTTTAATACCACTGTCACGAGTGAAAAATGCTGGGAAATCAATATCTCCCTTGCGTCCGTCTGCAAAGGCAGCAACAACAACACCTTCGGTCTCTAGATACTCAAGAGTCCGCTGGATGTCTAGGAAGCTCTTACAGCCAGAGCTAACCACAGCAACTGGGGTACGGCCCAGTTCAGTGAGGTCGGCTGGTACAATGTCAGTATATCAGCGTTGTATACTGAATTGGAACAACCTCACCTGAGATATCCATGGTAGTTTCTCCTCCACGGTGTACACCGCCTATATTCATATTAGAAATACTCTGTAGCAACCTATATAGTCAAGCAGATGGCCTACCTAGTCCTCCGGTAGCAAAGACCTTGATTCCAGCCAAATGAGCCAGAATCATAGTTCCAGCAATCGTGGTTCCGCCGTTCATCAGGTTCCCCCGGATGCCCTAGGATAAGGGTCAGCATCAACACCGGGAAATAACCACTGCGTACAAAGGCCACCCTTACAGCTCCACAGATATATCCAAGGTCCCGGCGGGATACCTTGTGCACTTTTGTCCTTTGTGAGGTCGACGCGAGCTCTGTCAGCTCCGTCTGGTTCATCCCAACGCGCGCAACGCCGTCGATAACTCCGATGGTAGCTGGCACGCCGCCTGTCGATCTCACTATGGACTCCAGACGCATGGCAAGGTCCACATTATCAGGGTATGGGAATCCTACCGCCACAAGTTAGTTTACACTCATCGTCTTGTAGCACATAACTAGGACATACCGTGGGTGTAGATGGTTGTCTCCAGCGCAACGACCGGTTTTCCCGTAGCAATAGCATCCTCAACCTCCTCGGACACCTTCAGGAACTTGTTTAACCCCGCCAGCGCCGGCCGGCTATACTGACGAGCAGTTCTCCATGCCGGCGCTCTGAGAAAGCTGCGGGCGAGCGCACTTCTGGCGCGCAAGACGGGCGTAGACATGGCAGATGCAGAGTAGAGCAGCGAGACAGCCAGCCAGTGACCATATCAGAGACCTTTTTCTTCTCGTCCGGATGCTTCCTGCGGCATTGCCGGGTCTTTTATACTGATCTTCGCCCTGCTGTCGTTCCTGGCCGCTCGGTTGTTGGTGTTTCGACCGGAGTTTGCCCGGCGCCGCAGTTAGTGTCGACTTGAAGCCAGCTAAGTGAGTTACTAAGTTAGCTTCACTGGACGATATCAACTATAGAAGAGACAACACAACGACAGCGACCCAGCATCAACAGTATTTGCTCGACAAGTGGCAGGCCTCAGGTGGCCGTTGGACGCTCACAGTCGCCGCGATGAAGCTGCTCGCCGCGCTGCTGCTCTCGTGCGGCCTCGTCTCTGCGACGGCCGCAAACACCACAGCTACAGAGCCCGCCATCCAGGTCCTACCGAAGAACTTCAGGCCGCCGCAGGTCTTCCAGAATAACAACCTAGTGCGCATAATCAATTTGGAGAAGAGCTATGTGCGGGAGTCGATCAACGTTGTGGTTGAAAATGTCGACAAGCGGCCGCAGTCAGAGTACTATGTGGCCTTTCCAACAGACACAATCGACAAAGTCGGCGGCCTCGAAGGCTGGCCGAAGGACTCGGAAGAGAAGAAGAAGTTTACAGTAACGTCGACACGGCAGATTCCTTCAAGGTGAGCTCTATTTATTGGGAAAAGGATAGGAAAGAAAAGGGTTCTGACAGCTGGCTATAGCTCGCATCAATACTTCATCATACACCTCCATCAACCTCTCGAACCGGCCGCAAAGCTGACCCTGACTCTGTCATACCATCTGCAATCCGCTCTTACTCCTATTCCGGCTGCAATTGAACAGGATGGCAAGCAATATCTCTCCTATACCTTCCCGCAGTTTGTTCCGTCCGCATACACCACCAACAAGCAGAAGACGACCGTCAAGTTCCGTGGCACAGATGTTCCAGACTACACTCGACCTACCACTCTCAAGTCCGAAGAGGACCCTAAGCGTGAGGGCAGCACCTTTACCTATGGCCCGTATGATATGGAAGTCAAGCCGGGCACCAGTGCACCCATCACCGTTCGCTACGAGTACACGAGACCCGTGGTGACCTGCACTCGCCTCGAACGTGATATCGAGATATCCCACTGGGGCGGTAATATGGCCACTGAAGACCGATTCTGGTTCAGAAACGACGCTGCCAAACTGACCAAACAGTTCTCCCGAGTCGAATGGACCAAGAAGCAGTTCCACAATGCACAGAGCGTAGCCTTGAACTTGATCAGAGTGCCCCTTGCTCCAGGGTCTGTAAACCCTTACTTCATTGACGACATCGGCAATGTCTCGACCAGCCGATTCCTACCTGCTACAGAGACTCGTCTCGGCCTCTTGGATTTACGCCCGCGTTACCCCATTTTCGGTGATTGGAAGTACAGCTTCAAGATCGGCTGGAACAACCCACTCTCCAGCGTCTTGCGGAAACAGAAAACTGGCTCTGGCGAGTCATACGTTCTCAAAGTACCGTTCATTGACGGGCCAAAGATTCCTGAGGGTGTTCAGTACCAGGACTTGGAAATCAGAATCATTCTGCCTGAGGGAGCTGAGAATGTCAAATATGAGATTGTTGATGGATTGGGTATTCCCAACCATATCCGCTCCGAAATTTCATACTACAAGACCTTTTTAGATACCAAGGGCAGAACTGTCCTGAATCTCTCCACCACCAAGGTTGGAGATGAGGCTAAGGATGGATTCATCATCGTATGTCCACCCACCCACCCCATTATACGCTTTGCTTGCGTATCCAAACTAACCATAGCAATTAGGTAACATACGACTATCCTTTCCTCGCTGCCTTCAGAAAACCATTGAGCATTTTCGGTGCTATGCTTGCAGTTTTCACTGCCGCATGGGTCCTGGGTAATATTGACGTTAGCATTAAAAAGAGGTAGACCCTCTATGTGGCTCATTTTATACCTTGAGTCTTATTGTACACTCCACCATCTAGATTGCCCCTCGCAATTAAAAACCATTACTTTTATGATGTGTATTGGAATAAAATTGGTAAGACGAATTGTATTTTATTGCTATCCAAAATACGCTGTAACGCCAAAGTCGATAAGTGAAATATTATCAAACCAAAACACAGATAGGAACATCAAGCATCAAAGTCAGGCTATATAGGCAACAGGTATCAAATCAAAAGGAAACAGGAAATATGGATACAGAAATAGATAGAGGCGCTTTTCCAATAGGACTGTGACAGTGAGCATATATAGATGCATCATAGATCATCATCCAATGCTTGTATATGTATGAGTATATTGATCAGATGCCAATGGTAAGCCCACTACTTACTGCTGGCAATCACTAGTGTACCGGTGTTGTTGGCACTTCCACCAGGGCCGAACAGTCCGCCGGCTTTGGCTCTTAGGGAGAAATTAATGATGACCGAGACGATCACACCGAGACAGAGGATAGTTGGGCCCCATTTCTCATGGTACACGTTCTTGACGTCTCGCTGCTTACGGATCTTATCGACTCGCCACATGTATAATAGGAAGCTGTAGACAAGGAGTAGGCAGGCCATGACGGTGAACGCCCAGGCAGTGATGATGCTGATTTTATCGTGCCCGAAGTTGAGAAGCGTGAGAGCAATGCCGCTCACCCAGATAGAGAATTCAAGCCATGAGAGGAACGTACGTTCAACGGCGAAGAACACCTTGGGCTCAACTCGGACTGGAACATGGATTCCTGAAATGATGTTAGTAGAGATCCAAGAGAATGGGATGGTTCGCAACAACTTACTCTTGCCCTTGGGAGCTTTGAATCTCTTAACATGGATGTCATCTCCTAGAATACGACGGTTGCGGCCACCGCCAGCACCTTCAGGTAGCTCAGTAGGTTGGGGGAACGGGCGGAGATAGCTCAAGAACTGGATGGTATTGCGCCCAGCAGATTTGAGGTTATATTTGGTAAGCTTGTAGTAGTACTGCAAGCCACCAACCTGTCTGGCCTCCTCCAACTCGTCCTGAGCATTAGATTCGTCCTCGGAGTCATATAATGGGAAGTCATTGCCACCAAGAAGGCCGTCAGCGGCTATACGTTCTTCAATATCAAGCAGGTTACCAGGAGCAACCATGTTATTGGTATTGGTCTCATTCGCGGCATATCCGTTGGCCTCGTTGCCTTGGCTGTCATGGTACTGCATACCATTGCCAGCAGCACCATTTGTCTGAGCGGTTCCATCAGTACCATCTACCCGGATTCCACCTTCATCGTCAGAATCATCATCCTCTAGCATGTCATCGCTGGTTGACTGGTTCGATTGAACGGGACGTTCGATACCAAATCCTGGAGTGATGGGCTTGCGGATATCAACGTCCATCTGGGGCATCCAAAAGGGGAGCAGATTGATACGATCTGGCATGAGGGTTGCAGTTCCATGAATGAATTTACTAAACTTGGGCACGGCTTCAACTAGATGGCTTGAAGTAAGCTCCTTAATCCACTGTGGAGGCTCTTGGCCGGCTTGGGTCTGAAGCTTGACTTCAAGCACGGCGTATGGGAACCGCTCAATATCTGCGGCAGGGAGCTGTTTAAATGGGTAGTCAATTCCAATATCCATTCGGCGCCAGTTCTGACCACAGCGTTGACGGCCATCGAGGTTGTCTTCTCGGATCATAGTCAGTTCAGTGTCGAGGGAGACACGAACTCTGGCGTCACCAGGAAGCTGGAAGGCGGTTCGATGGTAGAACGATCTGTTTACGGGGACGAGTTGTCGGGTAATAACACGGTACTGGATCTCTCGAGCGAGCTGTTCCCAGTCCGCGATCTGCTTTTCGCTCTTCTTCCCTTCCTTGCGTGCCTTTTCAAAGATAGATTCCACAGTCATACGCCCTTCCAGGTAGGCGTTGACGTATTTCTCTTTAATCGGGAATCGAGCCTTGACAGACTTCTCTCCAGTCCAGTCCTCGCGATGTGTCTTACGCTCGACGAAGATTTGATCATTCTCCATTCCGCCATACCATCTTAGGCGAATGGCTTCAGCTCCTTCGGTTTTCTTCAATCGCCCAGTATAGAGTTCCCAGGTATCAGGATTATCATAGTATATTGAAGAGATGGCAGCATCGCTTTCTTCGAATTCCTTTGACGCATTGAAGACAAGAACGGGCAGATGCTTCAAGATGATAAGCTTGAGCTCTGTAATGTTGTCTGGGTGGACCCAGTATTTGGTGGTTTGGCGGACAAAATTCTGTTGCGACCCACCAGCAGCGCTGTCTCCCTCCACAGGGTGACCTTTTGTCCTGACCAGATCATACAGCTTGGACAGTTTGACCACAAAGGCATCGTAATTGTCCTTGAAGAATGGCTTTGCTCTTAGGCGAGTAGCAAAAACCGGTCGGAGACACCAACTGGTTTGTTTCTATTCACGTTGGCCCACTGATCAGCAAATGGGAAAAAAAGCCCAATTAGGAAAAAGAAACACTTACATCGTGCTTCTTGATAATTTTCTGGAAACCAGTGTAGTTCAGCTGGGTATACTTTGCAAGATCGTGGACATCTGCAATAATATCACTGAGGTCTTCCTCGAGCAGCAAAAAGTCATCGTCGGAGGGAGGAGGCTGGCGGTTTCTCACTGACCCGCCGGAAGCGGTGGCCTGGTCCAGTCGCCCAACCACCTCGCTCACCTCTTTATCGCTGGCCTTGATACGCCGAACGATCTCATCGCTCTTCACTTTCTGGAAGGTAAAAACCTTGTCCAGCTCGCTCTCCAGCAGAGCGACGAACCGTCTTTCATCCTCTTCGGTCCATGGCTTGCGTTTTGGCGAAGGGTTTTCGGGCGTCGGTTCAGTCTCAAATGGCGTCTTCAACGCATCTTTAAGGTCCTCATAGGCAATGTAATGCCAGGCGTACTCTTTAATCAACGACGAACGCAGCTGCTGCCCGAACCTATCGTCAAGGAAAACAGATACAATCAGCTATTCAGGTCTTCTTCTTCCATCTCGTCTTTTCTCTCTTTCCAAGGAAAACAAGCACCGAGCGACGGCTGGGGAGAAGGAAACGTTAAAATACGGGGATAAGAGGGCAGCAAGCCGAGCAGACGTACCTCATCGTAGCTTCGAAGTGACGGCTACGAGCTCTCCTGGATTGGGGTTTCTCAACGAAAGACTGCACGGCACGGCGATGAAGAGAGACGGGAGGAGGAGAAGGTCCCGGGGAGAGGAGAGAGCCATCTCGGCAGCGCGTTAACACTAGGATACCTTGCGCTTGGTTGATTGCACCAAGCTTACCTAGCTCCTCGCAGGTAAAATGTCTCCACCGCCGCCTGTCGCCACCAGGCGGGACGACTCAACACGAGATCGTGCAGCGAATCCGGCGAGACCACGAAAAAAGAGGCGAATCGAAAGCGACGAAGATGCAAAAGAAGTTTCTGCGATAAGCGGGTCAGGTGATGTCCACCAATCGGGATAAGTCTTGCGGTCACGTGCAAACAAGGTTGCCGCCCGGCAGGCACGGGCCATAGTTTATCCGAGGTTAACTTGACGTCAATCCTGATTAGTAAGCACTCATGCGCGTGTACAGGGCGTCTACAGAGTATATACAGAATGTACTAAAAGAGAGGTGTCGGTTGTCGCTGGGATATGGAAGGGGTGAAACATGGTAAAAAGATATCGTCTACTCTATGGTCTAGATAGTCCCCAGGACACGGCGGATGGTCCGCCTGGCACCCTCGCCAACAACATTGACCAGTCCTTCGGTCTCAAGCGACTTAACAGCCTCCATAAACTCAGCCCCTTCGACAGGGACGGTGCCTTCGTTCAGCTTCCTCAGCACATCGGCCCATCGAGCCCCTGTACCGCGTCCGCCAAGCTCGTCCACTATTGCCAGGATGGCCTTTTTCATGTCATCTCGCAATCTTCGCTCTCGTGCAGTTGTGCCTTCTGTCAGTAGGCTCATATCAATTAGGCCTGTGCGAGCATCTGTAGCAGCTTGCTTCAGGGCAGATCGGATGAGTCTGACTGCTTCTTCGACATCGTCCGCCGTTACTTCTTCAGAGAGCCTCATTCTTGCATGAGCCTCGGAGAGACGGATCATAGACTCCAGTTGGCGTGTAGTAGCAGTGATGCGGCGTTCCGCTGCTCGGATGTCATCTCCTAGCTTACGCATAGCAACATATGCGTCGGTAAGCGCCGCGCCTGCAGCGGGGGTGAGCTTGGGTGAAATGTGCGTCTTTGCATAGGTGATGTAACTGGTAAGGAATTCGATGGGCTAGCGACTAAAATTAGCACAGTTTCACATATTATTTGGACGGGGAAGGGTCGAATCTTACCAATATCTCCTCAGACGAGCCTGTCTCAGGCGCATCTTCTAGGTACATCCCTACCATATGTTTTGCCAAGCGGCGATCATTCTGCTCGTCCACGCGGTCGAGGACAAGGTACACCAAGTCGAATCGGGAAAGAAGAGTGGGGGGTAAGTCGATATTCTGGGGTACAGAGAGATTGGGGTTGTATTTGCTTCCAATTGGATTGGCTGAGGCAAGAATACTAGTTCTTGCGTTCAAGGTGGTGATAATGCCAGCCTTTGCAATAGACACGGTCTGTTGTTCCATGACTTCATGGAGAACTGATCGAGTAGCGTCGTTCATCTTATCGAATTCATCGATACAACAAACGCCTCCATCAGACAGGACCAGTGCACCAGACTCTAACACCAGCTGTTTAGATTCCGGGTCTCGAGTCACATAGGCTGTTAAACCAACTGCAGAAGAACCCTTGCCGCTGGTATATATACCTCGAGGTGCAATCTTATGCACATACTTAAGCAGCTGTGACTTCGATGTTGAAGGGTCTCCACAGAGCAGAACATTAATATCTCCTCGGTATCTGGGGTTTCCGCCCTTTTCGAAAGTCTTGTTTGTCCCTCCAAAAAGCTGTAGGAGGATGCCCTTCTTAACATCTTCCATCTCGTAAATGCTGGGGGCCAACGACCGAGCCAGCAATTCATAAACATCTGGCCGAGCTGCAGTCTGCTTGATTTTCTCTTCTTCTTCCTGTGAAATCTTCCGCACTTGGTCGACTTCCCGGGAAAGATTTTGTGAGAGTTCCTGTTCCACTGTCGACGCATCAATTCCAAGCTTCTTCTTGTCTATCTTTTGAACATGCAAGACATCGACATAAGTCTTGAAAAGCGCTTTTGTGCTTCGTTGTCGCGGGTTAACTCGAACTGGGTTGGATCGGAAGATACCAGTGACCTCTATTCGATCACCAGCTCTACACATGTCCACCAATTCATCATATGCACAGAGTGATACTGAATGAGGTGTTTGGCCATCTGGGATCGAGTCTGGTGTTTCTTGGAGACGGATGATTTGTTTGTCGGCAAATATGCAGCGGTTATGGATCAACTGCATTGAGTTCTGTGCATCACAAAGCTGTCGTGGGCAGCGCGTAGGTTCGGCAATTTTCCCCCGATCGATGTTAACTCTGACACAGTGGAAACATACATCGCATCGGAAAAATGCTGCAAAGTTTGTTAATATTAAGAAGTTTACGGTAAAATGGATAGAATGATATATACCTTCTTTCATATCCGGTATGACGGGAGTTGCTCGAATGACAAGGCCCTTTACACTTATAAGGCGGTCCAGATCTATTGATAGTCAGATATAGGAGTAACATCTGGAGGGAAAAAGCTGAAACATACCACCCGGATCCAAGTCTCTCATGTTGATAGACTTATCCAAGCCAAACGGAAAGACCTTGTATGTTCTGCTTTCAATATCTGCCAGAATACTAGACAAATCCTGTTGAGCAGGGGTGTTTCCATTTCCATCGGCGTCTGAGCTAGGAAATGCAGGAATAGAGCTAGCATCTCTCGCAGCTGCCGCTGGTCTTCGCTGATTTCTTTGTCGTGCACGCTCTATCTCCTCCCCAGCTAACCCAACCATGACATCCTTGATGCATTGATCCATCATTGGGATTATTTCCTGAGGATAAGATTGAACTTGATGCCATAGTTTGGTGGTGGGCGGAAAGGCCTTGAGATTTCGGAGATCAAGGTTAAGGCCAGTGACACCAAGCTGTCGCATTTCGTTCAACATCCTGATATATTCCTTCTCATCGGCCGAAGAGCCTAATTCACGGATTTCGGCTTCAGTAGCACCATCGTAGATCATACGGTGTTTCCTAGCAAAGTTGTAAAGAAAGTTTCTGAACGATGACATAGTGTCTGAGACGGCTATATTTGTACCCCATATTACTCGTGTGGAATTCCCTCCTAGAATTTCAGCCTCCGATGTGTCAGGGTTGAGATTGGAGAATGTAGCATCAGACAGCGGCTCACGGTTGCGGACCGGCAGACCACTTTCATCAACAAACAGTGTCCTGCGCCCGGAACCAGTGGTAGAGAACGTATCTGAATGGATATCGCCTCTTCGTGTAGTAATGCCATTGGGGTTAGAAGAACGGATAAATAAGCCACTGCTACTGGTGGGTATATCATTCCGTCGGGCTTGACTGTTTCCTGGTTGTCCTGGACTGGAACTCGACATGTACCTTATAGGCGAAGAGTCTATGTAGAAATTAGTACAACTATACAACATTTTACATAGTCGGCAGGACAAACCTTCAACTAATGGGCGAGTAGGCCGTGGAGTGGTGTCACGATCGCCTAGAGGAGAAGATGGCATCGGCGAGCTTCGGTCTGGCGCGGCATTGGCTGCAGGCCCGGCCCCGGCTGGAGACGACTGGAAGAAAATAGGCGATGAAGAAGGGATCCCATTGTCAGCTACTCTCCGGTTGCGAGGCGTCGTAGTCTGGTCAGGATTGTTCTGAGTCTGGCGAGAAGGGGCGGGGCTGGAGATAACCACCTGCGGCTGCGCAGTGCCCCTGGACGGAGTAGAGTTAGCAGACGACCGCGATGGACGTCCACGGCGACGAGACGACGAAGGCGTAGACATGATCAATTACAATAACAGTAGAGGACGTTCAACATGAAGTCATTCCGGTCGTGAAGATGTGGTTGGTGCTTTCGCCGGCGAAGAAAGCCGGGAGGTTCAAAAGATTTTGTTTGATGCGAAATCGTCGCGTTTCTTCTTTGGGACGCGAAGCGCGTTAAGTGGTTTATTAGGTAAGCGCGCGCCAACAAGCGCACGCAAAAAGGCGACCTCCAGACGATGAAACCAGCCTGGAAAAGAGACGATCAGAATAATTCTTCTAATGGAAATAATAGAAGCCATAGTCGAGAAAATATTAACAAGACAAAGCACTAGAGAAAAACAAAAATACCTTAAAATAAAAAACAAAGGAAAAAAAAGCCCAACGCGGGGCTCGAACCCGCAGCCTTGTGATGGCGAACTAGTATAAACTTGTTATAAGAGTATAAGAGTCACACGCTCTACCGATTGAGCTAGCCGGGCTGACTTGATGTGAGGGAGGCCGCCTACTTGCTGTTCACCAAGAGACCAAGGTAGGAGCCCAAAAAGACGCTGGAGGAAGCAACCTTCGATGGCTATAAACAAAGATTTAATCAGAGTATCTACACAAGGGCAGTCTGTAGTTATCGACGACCCAGTACTTCCTCCTGACGCCCTCCCACTCGCCCTCCAGTGAAGGCACTGCAATATCCGTCCAGTCGATATCAAATCCAGCCTCCATCAAGTCCATCTCCACCACCTTCTGGTACACATCATAGCTGATCTGCCTGTCAGCCCCCATGCCGTTGAAGAAACTCCATCGTCCCTCGGGCTCGAGCAATGCTATTACATGCTCTGAAGCAAAGTCGCGGAAGTCCGAGTACGACTCAGCAAAGGTATCATAGTAGATGGCGTCAAACATCACTCCCTCAGCAGCGAGTTTGGGTAGGATGTCTTGCCACCTGCCTTCGTGTACTGTCACTCCCTCCTTTTCATGCCATCCCTTGCTCTTCATATCTGCTACCACAGCTGGATGTGCCTCGATGATATGGTGGGCACTTGGTTGCAGAGTCTGAAGAATTCCGTCAACGATTCCCATGCCGTGTCCGACATTCAACACTCTAAGTCCTGGCGTAGGGAGCAAGGCTTTGGCTGACTTTTCCATTATACCGGTTTCCCACGCCATCATCACTCCGTTCTTATCTCCATCTAGCAGCCTATTCTCCTGGAATGTCAATCCGGAACTCAGGTAATGCTCATTACTGACACTTGGATCTTGGACAGCCCCTTCTCCAGCCGTCGTATCAGCTGCCTCAGCCGGCTTTTCACCTTCAGCTGCATCATTCCCCGCCTCTTTCCCTTCTGTAGTCTCAGTTTCTTCATCCTCGTCTTCTAGCTGCTCGTACCCCTCCAACCGGTTCAATAACAGCTCTGCGCGCACTCCAGCATCGACCATTAGCTGGTACAACTCTGTAAGCCCGAGCCTTCTGGCCATACACCCGGGGGTTTCGTCATTGGCATCTAAATCGTTCCATATAGCTCCTTCTAGAAGCAAAAATTTCACCGTCTTCACCCCGCCTTCTATCGTCTCCTGTTCACTTGTCGTATGCTCGCGTGTATCGCCATTTGTAACATTGGTCTTTTCAGGTTCACATGCTGCTATAGCTGCATGCAAAGGCGTATATCCCGTCTCTGGGTCTTTCGCATTGGCGGGGTTCTCGTCCTTTTCATTGCTGCGGATAAGCTCGCGCAGTTTTGCAACATCGTGCTGTGATGCAGCCAGCAGTATCTCCTGGGTATCAAGATCGACATCAATAGAGCCAATGGCCGCATCACTTGGGTCTTCCATTTTCGAGAGCCAATATTACCAATTAATAATATGGTAGAGTTGATGCTGGTGTAAATTTTTTCGTTGTTGAATTAAAACTTTGGGTTTTATTTCCACCACTTGGCGATCGAGCGAAAAAAAAGTGTTCAGCCTCCGAATAACTAGTTAGTCAACTTTATTTCAACTTCACGTATAAACAACTATTTGCTAGATATAGATGGTTTGTCTTATCTACGATTCTGAGTTCATTACATGCTGGCAATCTGAGTTTAATCTTCATACTTAAACTACTTCACTGAAATGCCCAAACATACTAAGAAACCCATTTCAATACCCCCACCCCTAAAGCCCCTTCCTCGCTGCTCGGACAGCGCAAGCATAACAAGGACCTCCAGCCTTCCTTATAATTGCAATTTTGCCTCTCTCTGCACACCATGCGCTGGCAAGTATCTCAGCATCTCCGGTACCCGTGGCTTTAATAACCATTATATGAATGGCATCTTCCTCAGACGGGGTGCTCGAGTTTCCGACAATGTTGTTACATTATGAACATGCTGTCGGGAGAACCGATGCAGTTCTCTAAAGTGGACTTTATGTTTCTCTCCGTGGGGTCCTGGTCTGCATGCTGGGGCGAGACCACGTCTGAAATTTCTTCTTATCGTGGATTGCCCAGGCTGCCTTTTTCATTGATGCACGAATCTGGCGTTCATTCACAGTGAAACGAAGATTTAATACGCTCTCTTAAAAAGGGACTCAAAAGGAAGCTCGGGTTTGTTCGGCGTGACTATGCTCAGCGTATAGCCATGCCTCTAGCACTGTTGCATCCCATATCTATCCTGGAGTCGAGATCCGCATTTTTTACCGCAATCTATCACATCAAAAATTTCAACACTTTTTTTCATAGGATTGCTATTTATTCCAAGGACAAGCCTAGCTACTTCTACCATCTTGTAAGGACACTAGACCTGCTGGAGCTGCTGCGGGTATAAACAGGATAAGCAGAGGTGGCACCCCCATCCAAACAACAACACACCTAGAGATATTTGGAATACCGGTCATCTTTTCGTATTTTTATCTCCTGGACCGCTGTAACGTGGGTATAACTTTTCAGCGCGTGATTTGGTGCAAAGTTGGGGGTATATTTGGTGGGACACGAGTATCATTTTTACACTTCTCATAAATATCCCATTGGCTAATTGTCGCTGACTGCAGTAATGGTATCATCCGGTTTTCCTTGCAATGAAAGTGGTCAAGTGGCTCAATATTCAAAAAACTCCGGCGTGAGGCTGAAAGGTTTTGGGGGTTGGCTTATGAAAAGGAGTGTAACGATAAGCCAGCACCTAATCTATTTCTCTCATAAGGTAAATGATTACAAAAGCGAACAGGATCGTTTGCCTCAGGGCATATCTGTAGTATTCATGCAGCTGTATTACAGAAGATTGAGGAGATTTTGAACATGTAGTAGAGTAGAATAAAGTGGTACAGGTATTTATACACAAGCTTAAAACGGAACCAAACTTCCTCCCTTACCTCTGATGAACGCCGCAGACCAGCTATGCAGAGGCTTCAGGAGACCGTGCCATGCCCAAGAACTTAATCAGACGAATCACCATGAGCTGTAACATTCAGGCCCAGACCTTCGGAATCAAGGTACATCTTGTTCTTTCCACCAGCTTCCTGAAGGATGTGGGCGATATTTCTGGCGTTCTCGATCTTTCGTAGTTCAACATAACTCTTGCTCTTCTTGATGGCGTCTCCGATAAGCTGGGCAGATCGAGCTTCACCCTGTGCTCTGACGACAGTGGCCTGTTTCTCCTGGCGAGCCTTGTCAACAATGAAGGCGGCTCTCTGGGCCTCTTGTTGGGCAACTTGTTTGGCTTCAACGGCAGCAGTGAACTCGGGAGAGAAGGCAAGATGCTGTAAAAACAGTTAGATTAAACGAGTTATGGGGAAAAAATTGAAATAAAGTAAACCATACCGTTAGAGAAACGTCATCAAGCATTATATTGAAGCGTGCTGCACGTCTGGCCAAGTTTTCTCGTACAAGACGAGCAACGCTCTCTCGCTGTGTGATAAGCTGACTAGCGTTGAATTGGGCCACCACACTCTTCAAAACCTCGTTAACAATGGATGGAAGAACTCTCTCATCAAAGTCAGTTCCGAGGGTACGGTAAATCTGTGGAAGAGCCTCGACTCGCGGTCGTGATAGCACACGGCAGGTTATATTGACCATCTGCAGATCCTTGGTGCCTGTAAGAGACGCAACATTGCGCGGTTTCGCTCGGACATCGTAAATTATAGGAGTCTCAAACCATGGGATTTGGAAATGTGTTCCTTATGGCATATTAGCATGGATGTATTGTATATTGAGGCGCCATGAGAGCTTGCTTACCTTCGTTGTATATCTCTTTCTTCACACCACCTATTCTTGTGTATTTGATTGCTCGGTGACCACCGTCAACTGCATCACATGTCGCAATCAGCCTGTGTCCAACAAAACACCTCTCAATCGGCGGAACATACCGTTAAACAGAGAATTTGAGAGCACATAGCCTCCAAGTCCCAGCGCAATCAAGGCTCCGATACCACCAGCAGCTCTTCCGCCAGCCGGTCCGCCAGCGCCGAACCCTCTCCGTCCTTGCTGCTGGATAGCGGTCTGCAGCTTCTGCCAGGTCTCGCGGGGGTCTGCCATGGTGTTCTGATATAAAGGCGAGAAAGACCAAAGGCGTTGCTGGTTTTCCTTTCAGTCCGTCCGTTTTGTATCTGCTTCTGCTGCTGCTTCCAGAGTCTGGAGAAAGTGAAGAAGTTTAGCAAGGACGCGCGCTAGTCCCGATCGGGGAAGCTTGGACAGACGACCAGAAGTCGAACTTCTTGCGCGACGACGCAAGCAAAAACAACCATCGACAAGACAACGCGGCGGGACTCCAGGAAACGGCTGCTCCTCGGATTCTGTTGGTTTGGCACACTGTAGAAAGACGAGAAGATGGCTCCAGAACGGTCAGGAAAGAGTGTGTTCCTCGGGAATATCCCATACAGTGAGTATTTGGCCTCGCTCCCTCGATCTCTCTTTAGCTTCCAGCATCTCGTGCTGACGGGTTTGATATCTTAGATCTTACCGAGGAACAGGTGAAGGATATACTCAGTTCTGCAGGGACGGTGACAAAATTCCGGCTTATGATAAACCCCGAGACGGGGAAGCCCAAGGGATATGGTTTTGCAGATTTCGCCGATGCAGATGCCGCCGCTTCTGCCATTCGCAACCTGAACGATTACGAAGTTATGGGACGGAAAATTCGAGTTGACTGGCCTCACAACAATGAAAAGGACTCAGTTCCCCCGGATTATTCGCAGCAAGCCCAGCCGGGCGTTTCGAGTAGCGCCGGGCAAGATGGGCAGAGCTCACAAGCCCCTCTGTTACCAGCCCTGCCCCCCGGTGCCGATTTGCCTCCAAACCTGACCTGCCCCAACGCCATATCACAGACCTTATCCTCCCTCCCGGCTCCTCAACTACTGGACGTTCTATCGCAAATGAAATCGCTAGTCATGGCAGACCCCGCGCGGGCCACAGAACTCCTAAGACAAGCCCCTCAGCTTGCATATGCTATATTTCAAGCACTCCTTCTCATGAATCTAGTTGACTACAACACGCTAGGCTCGGTTGTAGATCAGGCATCCCAAGCAGCTCAGCAAGCACCGCCCCAGATGCAGCAGAAGTACCAGCCATACCCCCCGGCTCCAGGCCAGGTTGCAACACCTCCTCTACATGCCACCCCTTTCGCTCCTCCACCACAGGCTGCACCTCAGCAACAGGCACCTCCACCGGTAGCACAGGTCCCTGGTCAAGAAGAGTTACTGCAGCAAGTATTGAACATGCCGCAAGCGGCAATCGACGCTCTTCCGCCAACAGAACGCAATCAAATCATAGTATTAAGACAACAACTGCTTCAAGGGGGAATGAGATAGTCTACTACTTGCATGTTTTCTTTGATTGTTGAACTTAAAAGAATCTGGACGGCATAAAATGGTTAAGTATGCTTCCTTGTTATACATGTATAACTACACCAGCTATGACTCGATTTCTTTGGCGCAACGGTGGAATGGGCGGTTTTATACTCTAGCATTGTCATGATGGTGTTCTTGGAGTGATATTCAAAGGTTGAAAGCTAGATTATCATAATGCTACCTAGGGTGCCTTTTGTGTACCTACTTTGATCACCATCACCATCCACTCCTCTGTCTATTCCTTCCCTTATATTATATCCATTACTCCAGTTTCAATAAAATGAACTATCCCTTCTGTTAATTTAGCTCTCTTTCTCCCTACTTAATTACTGTAGCCTTTGGCCATGTCTATCTCCCTCATAGCTATGTTCACGTGACCGTTATTTGGGGGCCTTAAGATTTGATATCAAAAAAAACAACTTCAGACTGCTTTAAAAATTTATAAACAGAATAATTAACACCACTAGTTGAGACAATACTACGGTTCATCCATCCAATAAGACTTGATTGGATTTAACTAACTAGAGACTTTATGTCTGTCTTATATATCATTTCGGCAACCCAACGGAGCTATATAGATGACTATTGGTATCAAGCTCATCACCAATTATCCCATACTCTATAGAATAATACCCTTTTGGTATCGTCAAGAAGATCTAGCTACTTCTCGACATCTCTATACCAATATTCTGGAGGCTCAGGATGATTACATATCCTCATTTCCATATAAAGGGCCTAAAATCAAACTTATCAACAATGATATTGTTATATATCCAAAGAATAATTTCATTATATGGGTTTACAGATGACAAACTAGAAACTGCCTATACACAGTCGTTTAATACCAAACACCCCTAACAACAATATTGGCAGCAATGAAATACTCTTAGTGTATTTCCATGGAGATCTCCAGCTAGGTTGCTATGAGCCTGCATTACAGCATATACTGTGCGCCGCATTATCTCGGCTTTCACATTGCTTTTCTTTTACTCTGAATCACATATCCATCTTGCTCATATCACACCTAAACCAATTTTCTACAACTCGAACTTTGGGGTGTTTACGCGCTGTGTCCCGGATTGACTATATTTCAAGGCCTTACTCTTTCTATTAGCATGGATATAGCAGAGGGAGGCAGTTCTCCGAGAGAGACAGACGCGTCTAACTCGATATCTTCTGTGTCAAATAGCAGTATACCTTCGCCCCGAACCTCTGATACGGATATTGAATCACTTCTTGACGCGTCAATTGATTTTCCTTCGCGAGAGAAATGCCTGGAAAGCCCTCCTAATGTCCGTGAAGATGTCTCGGAAGAGGTAAGGTCTCTACTGGTATCAGTGCCTCCCGAGATACTTAGAGGGAAGTATACCATTTTGCCTGGTGAACGACCAAAGCCCGGGCTTGATAGATCTCTTCCTCCGATATGCAAGATTGAAGATATTTTTGAAGACCTCACTGCCCAGGCTCTGGAGAATGGCTTCGATTCTTTCCTCAAACATATTGGCTCCCGAGAACTACGCGTTGCGACCATGTGCTCTGGCACTGAGTCCCCTCTCTTGGCCCTGGAAATGATACAAAGCAGTATGTTCAGCCCGTTTCCTCATGATTCATTGGCTTATTATCCGAATTATAGGTCTTCGACAGCTTACTGGAAAAACATTCCGCCTCCACCATCTATTTAGTGCAGAGATAGATGCATTTAAACAGTCCTACATACAGAGGAATTTTTCTCCAGAAATTATTTTTAGAGATGTCAATGAACTCGTTGCAGAAGAAGCGTATGTACTTACCCTATTGCAAATACGCTTGAATGGATATTGAAATTCTGAATAGGACTACTGCGTTTGGATCAGTAAAAAAGGTCCCTACAGATCCTGATCTTCTTGTTGTTGGCTTCTCCTGTGTTGATTTTTCTGCTCTCAACTTTTACCGAAAAACACTCGAGGAGATGGGAGAGTCTGGACACACCTTCTATGGAGTCATTCGATATATGCAAAGGTGCCGTCCAGCATTGGTTGTCCTGGAGAATGTTTGCTCTGCCCCCTGGGAGCAAATCAAAACCATCTTGCAAGAAATCGATTACAAAGGCTATCATATGAAAATTGATTCTAAAAACTATTACCTTCCACAGACTCGGGAAAGAGGATATATGATTTGCATTGATCAGAGAAGGCTGGTGACAGAACCGGTGGGGGAGGCGAAGTCAAAGAAGTTATCCGCTTTTGCACAGTTGATGAAGAAATTGGAGAGACCCGCAAGCTCCCCAGTAACCCAATTTCTCTTATCCCACGACGATATCCGCCTCCAAGATGCAGTTAACGATATTTCGGCTAATTCAAACAAGGAGCGTCAAGCAGTTGATTGGACCAGGTACAAAGCGCGTCATCTAGGGTATAGAATGAGAGAAGGGCTCGGAGATAAGCGGCCTTTGACCAAGTGGCAGGAAAATGGCACATGTCAGATGCCAGATTTCTATTGGCATGGATGGAGCAGAACGCAGACGGAGCGAGTTTGGGATACCCTTGATGTCAACTTCCTAAGGACCGTTGCACGGGGATATGACATTAACTCTAAATCCCGCGTCATTGACCTCTCTCAGGGACTTGATAGAGAGTTGGACCAGAGGGCTTCCGGTGTTGCTGGATGCCTAACACCCCGGGGGCAGCATTTCATTACTTCTAGAGGTGGCCCGCTTTTGGGAATTGAAGCTCTCGCCTTGCAAGGAATTCCAATCGACAGACTTTTGATTGGTAACGACGGTCAACGCGATTTGCACGACTTGGCAGGAAATGCAATGACCTCAACTGTAGTGGGAGCTGCTATCATCACTGCATTAACACTTGGGTATCAAGCATTGGCTCTTCCCACCGCTCCTTGTGACATTGACAATTCAATTCTCATTGCTCAGCAACGTTCAATTGCGCCAAACCACACAATGGTGCCACTATTGGCGAACATTGCAGACGATAATGGCATCCTAACAGGGGAATTGTACCAGCTTAGCCTCAGAACCGCACGTCTTTGCTACTGTGACGGCCATACAGGGACAAGGTCTGATATTATTTTGATCTGTGTCGCTTGTGGTCATACAGCATGCTCGAAATGTGGTAAAAATCCCCCTCATTGCTACAGACCGGTAGAAACGGATGAGCTGAAGCTGCGTCTGCCACCAATAGAGTTTGAGACACAGGTCAAAACCCGACTGCCCATGTGCCTCCAAATCAGTGGCTTGAGCGTCGATATGTTCCAGGACCTGCGAGAGTCAGATATGCCACCAGATGTTAATAATGCTTGGGATACGTTCATAAACACAATTGAACATTCTCTCAGTGATGTTCTTAAATTCCAGGGGGTAATGAGACATAGTGGTTGGACAATCACTTATGAAGGCACAAATTCGTTCCTCAAGCTTACTTGCACTTCAATCGGACTACAATGGCTGCTCTATGTTATACCCAGTAAATCAGAACCAAGCAACTCGCCTCTTCGACAAATGCTAAGCCGTCCCATTGCCAAAATGACACCAAGTGGCAGCAGCTTATTTGATGGGACATGGCTAATTGGATCACCGATTAGCTCACAATTTGACCTTCTGGTTGCAGGTGGTGGTGATCTGGTTGATTCTTTGCCAGCCCGATCCGGCTTGCAACACCCAAGCTTTAGAAACTTGAAAACATGGTCTATTCTTCATATTGATGCAAAGACTGAAGAAATGAGAAATTTGGAGATAGACATCCGTGGCGCTTATGAACTCCTGCCTGACTGTGGTGCTGCAAGCGGAAGCTTGCGGAAGCGGCTAAATTCCTCAGGCAGCCCTGTTTATTTATTCTTGGATCCAACAGAAATTGGACCTCATCAGTTGGATTCTTGGGTTTTCTCACTTGAACATGAGCGGCTTGGTTTTGGACAAGCACGCAATACAATAGCCGAAATTCGGCCAAATTGGAGCCCTTTGTATCTCAGCCATGATCAAGTTACTGTTCCATGTTGGTACCGAAAATGGAGGGAATCAGCGAGTGTTGCGTTGAGTGTCTACCAAATATCACCGCCTCCACAATTTTCCATTCCAGGTCCTTCAGAAGTTCTTGCGTCATTCAGCTGCGCCTGTGACGGTTCTTATTCCACTATACTTCAATGCTCAGTTCCAGCTGATTTGTCAGATTTAGAAGTTGTCCCTGGAATGGTGAAGAAGGAGAATTTATTGGAATCTGCGTCCATGCTCAAAAAATTTGGATGGGTATTACAGAGGGCAATTGGTATTACGCAGTTTGAGAACTGGGAAACAGTTCAAATATCCTTTCCTGATTTCAAACTAAACTGTTCAACGTGTGCCCCTGAGAAACCTCGTCTAGCTTGGGCCCTCGATGAAAAGGATCGTGTATATGCATATGAGAACCCAGAAGATGCTGCCTCCTTCGAGAGAAGCATAAAGAGCCGCCCAGCACCGTTCTTGGGATTTACAACTCTTGATGAAAGCTCGATTCTTCACCTTCAGATTTGCCTGAATGTTTTAAGCCTTCTCCACAGGGCAGCCGGTAACCTGGGTGTTAAAGATAATGTAACTTTGCAATGGCGCCTGTGTATAGATACAACAGGATTCATCCCCCGTCGGCTCTTCAAGCTTTTGGAAAAGAATAATAAACTGGATACTCCTCACACGCAGCCTCCAAATTTTAGACGACACTATTTACGGCCGGAACAACTACGTTCACTTCAATGGATGTGCAATCAAGAGAGCGATCATACCCGAATTTTTGTGGAAGAGGAAGTGGTTGAAGCTCTTTTACCAATCATTAACTGGAGGGCGGAAGGCAAAGCATCAACAGAGAAGATGGTCCTCGGAGGAATTCTTGGAGACGAGGTTGGATATGGAAAAACAGCAATATCACTTGGGCTTATTGACGTACAATACGAAAAAGACGGTGCTACTATTCCAGCGTCTGTCAATGGCCGTATTCCGATCAAGGCAACTATGGTTTTGGTTCCTGGCCACCTCTTTGACCAATGGAAGAGAGAAATACATAAATTTTTGGGGAATACCTATAGGATTTTGGAAGTCAAGACGAACTCCTCGCATGGTTCTACTACCATCCGTGATTTCGAGGAAGCCGACATTGTCTTGGTATCTACATCGGTTTTGAAAGGAACTGCATACTATACTATGATGGAGTGTTTTGCTGCTGCTCCTGAGGTACCCAAAGGAGAAGGACGAATATTTGTTGAATGGCTTCATGATGCCATCGGCTCATTATCCGATCAGGTAGATCGACTTCTTACTTCCGGCGCCCTCTCAGTCTTGAAAAATATCGAAGATAGAAAAGAGGAGCTTCGGCAAGGGAACGGCCTATCTAAGTACAAGCCTTCAAAGCGATTGAAAGGGCAAAAATTTCAAGAACATCTTCAGAAGATGCGTCAAGCTGCTGGTATCACTGACCTTCATGAAACAGCAGGGAAGGATACGGCAGGTGGAAATGTCGATTCTATTGATTCAGCTGTTGAACTAGGAAAACGAAAGCGAGACGCCTCCCCAGTTTGTCAAGTTATGGAGATACAACAGGAGTCCAAAAAACCAAAAAAGGCTGCACAAACCCGCAAGGATGGGGGAAATATTTCTGTTGAAATATTCCATCTCTGCCAGTCAAGCACTGACTGGAGGAATGTTCGTTCTCCGCTGCTACATATGTTTGAATTTAACAGAGTCATAATCGATGAATTCACATATTCAAAAGACAGAAATTATGCAGCTGCCCTGGCTATCTCTTCGAGGAAGAAGTGGATTCTGTCCGGAACTCCCCCGCTAAACAATTTTGCTGATGTTAAGTCTTTTTCTCCCTTCCTCGGTATTAACTTAGGTATCGATGAAGATGACGGCCGGAAAGTCGAGAACGAGAGACTGCGGACTATTCAACGAGAGAGAACAGGTGTGATAACTCTATCAAAGGCTTTCAATTATAGATCGCTAATGTGAACAGAGGTGGAACAATTCCAACCTTTAGTTACCCGACGGAGTACTGTCTGGCATGAGAGGAGACATCAGGTCGCTCAGGGATTCTTGGACCAGTTCATGAGAAAAGTGAGTCTCCTTTATTTAAATGTGAGTATATGCTGACTTGAGCAGAACATACCTGATATAGATGATATTCCCTGGACCGAGCATATCATTGGTGTGTCCCTATCAGCAGCTGAGCGTGCAGTCTACCTTGAGCTCTTCATGCAGTTAATGTCACAGAACCTGAGGTTGAGAAAACATGGACGCGGGCTATACGACTCCGAAGAAATAGCTCGTCTAGATGAGATCATTGGAAATAGCAGTAGCCCGGAAGAGGCATTGTGCAAACGCTGCTCATTGTTTGTCTACAACGACCCTACTTCTTCCACCGATGCTGCATTACTGGAGGAAACAGATGAGATGAAACTGGTGGATGACAACCCTCTCATCCATACTAGGCGCAAACAAATAAGCAGTCTTGCAGCAGACATTATGTCCAGAGTAAGAAGGGGTCTTTGGCTCCGTGGCCAACTAGACGAAGGCACAACGCATTTTGATAGGTTGTTGGAAAGTATCGAGCAGGATAGGTTTGGGGATTTACTGGTTACTGCTGGTATCAAAATGCTTTTAAAAAGAGCCAAGGCAATATTTGATCCAAACGATGGCAGCATGTTCTACCTTGCGGCACTTGAAGTAAGAAAGGCCTTCAATTTGAAGCCATCCATAACGTTTCTCGGTGCTAACTTCTCTAGAAAAAGAAGAACCCAGACGACCCGAGACCTGAATTCCCAAAGAACCAAACGGAGCTTATCAGTGATCTTAATTACTGTACAGACAGCTTGCGTCGGCTAGTTTATGAAACAATAGCTCATACTCGGGCCCTACGACTATATCATGCTGTACGATGCTTCCAAGATCCTCCTCCAAGCTCAAAGTTCATTTGCTATAGCTGCAGTTCAGAGAGGGAAGATCCTCGGTCACTCTCTATTTTAGGAGAATGCGGTCATAGTACATGCGAATCATGTATTGAGCGTTGCCAGCTTCATGAAAGATGCTTACTAGAGGGATGCAGCGGAACAGTCCATGAATATCGGATCATCAAGTGGACTGACTTGTGCCACTCCGAGCGGCATACACCAACAGACAAGTTGGCAAAATATGGCAGCTCAAAATTCACAGCAGTTATCGATTTGCTTGAAGATACAGAGAAAGTCCCTGCGGATGATCAAGTTTTGCTCTTCATTCAATTCCCTGAATTGATGGATGCAGCATCAAAGGCACTGCAGTCTGTAAGCATACCGCACACCGTTATTCAACCTGGAGACCGAACTCCAACCAGCAAAATATCCGAATTTCAGAACGGCAAGGAGTCAGTCAAAAGCAAAGTTTTGATATTGAATCTTGGAGACGTTACTGCATCAGGGCTGTAAGTAGACCCCATGCCATTGGGATATCAACACGTATCTAATTAAAGTGGTACTTTAGGAACCTACAAAATGCAAATCACATCATATTTTTTGGCCCCTTGGTTTCCCGATCACAGTATGACTATGACTCCGGGATGGCACAAGCAATCGGACGCTCACGACGATATGGTCAACTCAAACATGTTCATATTTACCATGTTTTAGCCCTGAGAACAGTTGAAGTAAATATTTTTGAGCAGCGCAGGAAGCAGTATCTTGCAAAAAGGGGAGATCATTTTATTACAGTCCAGAAGAGCGAGATCAAAGAAACGGATGAGGTTGACTGGAAAGGATTCCCGTTGGAAGGGTCAAACGCAGAGAGCTATCAGGATGATTTTGACGATAAGTAGAGAATTGCCGATTCTATGTCTTTCTATGTCTTTGTATGTGTTCCATGCTAGAAGCCCATATTTTGATACCTCTTGTCTTGAGTCTACTACAATCGAGCCATTTTATGCGTTTACTTTTACTCTACTTAATCCGTATGACGACCTGTTCTTTGTGAAAGATATATTCTCCAACAGCATGCGGTTATGATAACATCTTGGGAGCACATGAATTTAGATAATCTTGTCAATTAAGTCCCCGTCTATTTAAGGGCCCACTGCAAGTCGAAGGCAAAGTATATGACTGCATAACTGACCGGTACAAGATACTGTACAAAAAGTTGAAAAGAGTAGAAAAGCAGCATGAGAAGCAGAATCGCCTACTTTCATCTAGGAAGATTCAGCCCTCACAAGGCTCATCATGGTGTAATGAAAACACTCCTGGTCCGCACCTCATCCCAATTTACAATTCCCCGTCTTTTCTCAAGGTCTCATTTCCCCAGAGTGGCTCCGTTAAGCTTGTCAATCCAGCGCTGTTTTCACAAGTATGTCTGCCACTCAAGGGTCCTGGTGGTGGAACCTTTACGCTGGACTGTGTTCCATTCTCAGCAGCAACGGCACTGGCTTTGAGGGCATCAAGTAGCTGGATAGTGGATTCGGGTGTGAGATCCTCGTAGTAGTCGTCGTTGATCTGAACCATTGGCGCATTCACGCAAGCTCCGAGACATTCGACTTCGAGAACGGTGAAGATGCCATCTGGGGTTGTTGCACCGTGCGATGATACACCGAGATGTTCCGTTATGGCCTTGACGATCTTGTCACTTCCACAGCCACCGAGCTGGCATGGTGTCTACGCACGCATCAGTGTTAGAAGAGAAGGACGTCATATAATGTCTATACAAGGAAATGGAAGACGTACGGTAGTACATATCTGGACAAAGTACTTTCCGACTGGCTCACGGTTGTACATGGTATAAAATGTAGCAACCTCGTATACTCGCATGGGTGGCATCTCCAGCATGCGTGCAACCTCGTTCATCACGCTGATGCTGGTATATCCGTGCTGCCGCTGTCCAAGATCCAATAGAGGCATGACGGCAGCCTTCTTATACTGGGGAGGATAGCGCTTAAGGATCTCATCGATGACGGTAAGGTTTTCCTGGGAGAACTTGAAAGGAATGGTTGGGTTATTGGTAGGAGTGTTTCGGTGCTAAATCCCCAGAATACAGACATCAGTATCCATTGAACTTCGTCATTGCGCACACTTTCCTAGTCAAGTCGGCTGAAGAAATTCGGATCGCAAATCAGGTACTCACGACGTGGAGAACATCGCTCATGAGAGGCGATGCGGTTGTGAATGTTCGACATTGCCGCGAAGAGAACTGTGGGAGAGACTGGCGGCCGGCCTGCCGGAGGGTGAAGGGGAGTATTTTGGAAGCCATCCCAGCAGACAAAGATCAAGGCAACTCTCAGAAGGCCGCTGGACAGTGCAGACGCAGACAATGGCTCTCCTCGCTGCGGTTTTGTGCTTGAAGATGATGCTTGCGGTCGACGTTGAAGTTGGTGATGGACGATGTCGAAGAAACATGGGCGTCGCTTTTTGTCCCAGCCAATCAGCGTGCGTAGAATTGAAATCCAGCAACATCTCCATTTTTTTTGCTGTTGCGAAGAATCAAGAAAAACGTGAGAAATCCGCCATATTAGGTGACCATGCGGTTTACAGAGGGAACTCAGCAGAAAGGATCGGTTTGATTGAAGATACTAAGTATTTAACTACCTAAAAATACTGGTTGATAAAGAGATTCATTATTCATCGCAGGCCCATGGACAGACGTGATGATTTAACTAGAGGCCGACGACTTCCAGGCCGCTCGGGATCTTCGCCTCATACTCAAGGACGAGTCTGATATCGACCGTCTTCTGCAGAGTGATCACCCACTTAACCTCGCCGTCTTTGCTAATGTGGACGGTGCCTTTACCCCAGTCCTTAGCCCTCTTGGGGTCGATGGAAACATCAGCTCCGATCTTTGCAGAATCTCCCTTGTCAAGCCCCTTTGGCTCAATCAGGCGGACTCGGATCCGCTCATCCTCGCTGACGGGGATTTGATCGAGGACGACCAGGGATACCGGCGAAGACTTGGTGTTGTTGATTCGGCAGACACGTGTGAAAATGGCACAGTCTTCCTTATTGAAGTAGCCCGTTGTTGCGCGTCTGACCTTGGGCTTGGAGTATATCACTTGGATAGCCGGGTCAACTCCAAGGTTGAGGTTGAATGGCACTCCAGGGTTGCAGTTTGGAATGGTAGCCTTGCCCAAGAAAGCATCATCGACAGTTAGACCAGCCTTCCCTCGAAGGAGAGGAGTGGTCGACGTATTCGTCACTCTCGCCTTTAGGAAAGCCGCTGGCTTCAACTTTGGAATGATCACATGCGAAAAAGTCATGGAGGAGAGCTCAATTTCCGCAATTATATGCCGTCTGACGTGAGAGGATGGCTGCAGGGTACGTGATCCGGGCACGTTATATGTGGTGGTCAGTCCATAGTCATGACGAGACGACTGCCTGAATGCCAGAACATTGGATGATCCCTGGATGGTTGATGCATCGTCATCTATCTGATCATCATCGTCGTCAAAATCTTTGTCTTCGTCATTATTAGCTCCATCAGGATGGGATGCTGCCGCATTCCCAAAACCGAAAGCAGAGGTGCGTTGGTCGTTGTTGGCTGAACCACCGAAAAGCTGATAACGCGGTGCACTATGTGCGTGAACTTGTTGCATCATCTGCTGTCCTTGCACCTGGTGTACTGTCAGCGATTGTCGTTCAGTTTCGTTGGCTCCAAAAGGTACCGCGGAACCGAATAGCCCGCGTGCCACGGGTGGAGGTGCCGCGGGCAGCGGTTGTGCGGAAGAGTTCGTGGGCCAGGGAGGAGGATAGCCTACCGGCGCATTGTCATTCATAGACTTTAACTTTCTATGTTGTTTTGCTTCTACGCCTTCTGCGCTGGCTCTCAGCGCTCCGGTCCAGTTGCTCATCTTTTTAGAGGGCATTGTGTCTGTTGCAACTTCTAACTCCATTACTTCATGTTTCCTGAGCGCCACATTCCATGGCAACAGAGTAGGGATATGTTCATCGACTCCTGAGAAGGTCGTCTGAGATGTGGAGAGAATAACGTTAGTATCTTTCCAGGTCTCACAACTCCTGTTGTAGTATTCGGCCCGATAGACCAAGCTGCCAGATGAGGTTGGCGTGCTTAGCATCAGGTCATATCGTGGAGTCCATCGAGCAGCCGAAGTAACGTATGTCAACGATAGAGTTATGTCATCGTTGATATCAGGCTTCTTGACGGAGGAGGCTGAGTGTCTTCTGTCCTCAGGCAGAGTCCCGTCGCCATGCCCTTCAATATGAACAGTAACACGGCCGGTATAGATATTCCAGAAGCTCGAGATATCAGCTCGGGCCTCTCGCTTTTTCTTCTCTTTCAATTCCTTCTCTTTCAACTTGGCCTTCCTCTCCTTACGCGATGGCTTTGCAGCGCGGTCTTTCTCCGCTTCGAATCTTTCCTCCAGCCGCTCTTTCTTCCGTTCTAATTTTTCTTTCTTTTCATTGAACTCGGCAATCTGCACCTCCGCTTTCTCATAGGTCTCACGCAAGTCGGCTCGTTTTTTCTGGTAGACGTCGATATATTCTGCCACTTGGGCGGCCTCAAGATCCTTTGCATGCATGCTTCTGCCATAGGAATCAAGAAATGCTAGGGACTGAGTCGATGATACCTTGTCGTTATCAAGATAGGCAAGTTTGGCAGATATTTCCTTGATCTCAGCTATGACTGAGTCCAGCTCTGATCTGTCGACGCCAAAGGTATCATCTGGGTCTTCTGAGTCAATTTCTTCTTCTGTGCTGTCATCATCAGGATAAAGATCATTGAAATCTTCGTCACGAACAACCACCGAGGTCTGGATATCAGTGATAGTGGCGGGCCCATGGCCTGTAACTCGAAGCGAGTCAAAATCGACTCTATTATCAAAACCAGAAATGATGATCTTGTTAGGGCCAGCCTATTATCCATTATTAGTAACGCATCGGACGACAGCATGAAGAATCAATATTTACAAGAGGGTATTGACTTACTTTAATCGGCACATCAGCTAATTCACGAACAATGGTAGCCCGCTCCGGAGCAAGCGTCACGGTCTTTGTGGGAGTGCCCTGAAGGGACAGCTCGACGGTGTTTACCTCGTATGATGACATGGCTATGAGCCCGTATGAGTTTACTGGGACTTGCAGGAGAGTAAACAGCAACCGTTTCTGTGTTTGATGCGCTTCAATATTTGATGTGTGCCGATACAGCAGCTTGAGCAGGAAGAAATGGGAAGAATAGGGAGAGGGAGATGAGGAAGAAGAAGAGTGTAGGAGCTGAGATGCAGCAGAAGGCGCTCGCTTATATACTTACCCCCAGTGGCTGATGCGGCTCAACACTGCTGCCTTGAGGTTTAGATAGTTACGGACTCCACCAATAATCGGCTTCACATGGGGAACACCCTTCACCGAGTTCATGGAATGATTTTCTAACGTCGCACTTCAACGTATAGAGTATCTCAACTAGATTTATTCGTTTCTCTATTAATTAGCTATTCTTCATTTTTTATTTTTATATTTATTTTTTTCCCCCCCGAATTTATTGTTTATTTTTTATATTTTTTTATACTGTTTAAACTTTCAAAATTGAGTTTACTCACGATGACATAATCACTGACATGACGTAATCAACTTTACCTTCACGTGACAGGGTTCTCAGGCAGCAAAGCCCATCTGGTACATTTTTGAAACAGGGCTAGTGTGTATGAGCTAATAGTTCATCGTATATTTTGATCAATCCTATAGCGCTCAGCTAGCAGTATATCATCTCAATCCTGTAATTCGCTTTCTACCATATCTTTGTTACTCCTGTTTGCTCGTAGGTGTTATGCGAGGATGTCTATGACGTAATTATTACGTAATAGATTTATCAATCACGTGATAGATACCAAACTTTAACTGCCTCGCGAAATCGATAAGAAAAAAAATATCCGAGATGGGCCTGAAGGTCACAACCGCTACGAACTCCTTTTGTTAGATACTCCTCTTTATCTCCTCTCCATATTCGGTTAAATGGTACATGACCTTGACTTTTTGTTATGATATAATTATTAAATACACATTTTCAATATTCGAATTTGCTCAGCACATCACATATTTTGCATAATCTACACAATAAACTGTGACTCAGCCTGCAGATTATTATTGAAAGCTCCTTCAACATATACCCATATTCTTCAAATTATTCAAGGATCCATTTAACTTGACTTTGAAGCATTACAGGGGGTTTCTTGTCGCAGTCACGGCTAAATCCACTGTTTTTCGTGCCCTTTGCTCTTTTTTAGAACGCTGCAAGGGGTCTGCAATCAGGTTACATAGCACCACTGCCAGCCCATTGTCGCTGGATGATAATATAGTAACCATGCCCGAAAAGATAGACCACCAGATTGATGGAAAGGTTACTCGGATATTTCCCGTCCATAGTTTTTCAGAATGCTCGCCGTGTCAAGATATTCTTGAGAAATGGGCCGCACATGTTGACAAAGGCGGGCCTGAAGTAACAGCCCTTCTCAAGGCCGCCGAAGCAATACGGACTAGTGATATCCCTGTAGCCTTTCCGACTGAGACAGTTTATGGGCTAGGCGCAGACGCAACTCGCAGCGGAGCTGTTCAAGGAATATACAAAGCAAAACAGCGGCCCTCAGATAATCCGCTGATCGTCCATGTCAGCTCGAGGGCTCAACTAGAAAGACTTCTCGTGGACCCTAAGCAATCAAATGGGGCTATCAAATGCCATTCTACGTCATCTATTCCAAAAATCTATGAACCCTTAATTGAGAGATTTTGGCCGGGGCCTCTGAGCATTATACTTTCCAACCCATCGCATTTGCCTTTAGCTCCAGAAGTTACTGCAAACCTCCCAACCTTTGCTGCTCGAATGCCTTCATCTCCTCTTGCACGACTTCTTATTGCGCTTGCCGACAGACCAGTGGCTGCACCGTCTGCAAATGCGTCTACAAAGCCTTCTCCAACTACTGCACAACACGTATTTACGGATCTCCAGGGACGGATAGAAATGATTTTAGACGGCGGGCCATGTGGAGTGGGCGTTGAAAGCACGGTAGTTGATGGGCTCAGCTCGCCCCCTGCTATTCTTCGACCTGGTGGAGTTGGAATTGACGAACTACGAACTTGTCCGGGATGGGAGGATGTTCAAATTGGATATAAAGACGGGGCTCTGCAAGGCAAAACTGCTCCACGGGCACCTGGAATGAAATATAAACATTATTCCCCCAAAGCAAGAGTCGTTCTTTTCGAACCTGGCCAAGACACCACCTCTGTTATGAACAGAATAATTGCCGATATTAATAAACAGCCTGAGTGGGCAAATGGATCAGCTGCTATCGGTGTCGTCCGGACAAAGACCTGGAAGAAGGGACTAGGAATCTCTCAAGTATCGTTTTCCAATGGTGAAAGCTGCGAAGCTACGACCTCTGCTATAGGTTCAACCCTCGATCTACCTATTGAATGCGACTTAATTAACCCGTCTTCACACCGTATCAATATGCTTGATATTCATTTAGGGCAAGACACCTCATCAATTGCACGGGGCTTATTTTCTGCCCTACGCAGTCTTGATGAGAGGAACGTACCTATTATTTACGTTGAAGGAATATCAGACACCGAAGGGGATCTTGCAGCCGCTGTGATGAATCGCCTACGAAAGGCAGCAGAAGAAGAAGTTAAGGTGTCCCATTGAATAGAGGAGGGGGGAAATACACGGTTACAAAGGCACAATAGGGAATTATAGGTTAAAAGGCACTTAAAATATTATTTGACCGGTTGGTTTGCATATCATGGGAATAGACGCAAAGAATACACTCCACGGCGTAATGATACTTGTTATTTAACCCTTTCTCAAATCCTATCTATCTAATGCATATGCTACCATACGAAAATGCAAGGCCTGTCTATTTCTTTTTACCACCCTTACCAGGCTTCTTCCCTTTGCCTTTCCCTTTGTTTTCCGTGTTCTTGGGTCCAACACTTGCGCTCGAGCTGGCAGCACCAGCCACAGAAACTATAGTGAACCCGCCAACAGGCAACGTATTCATGACCTCAACATCCCTCCAGGCTTTGATGCAATCTAACTCCATAGAAAGCAGCTCATTCGCATCTTCGACTTTCTCATCAGTTTTCTCGTTCGTCTCCTTAGTTTCGTCAGAGTCGCCCGTACGTGCAGCTGGTTTCTTCCCACCGGATCGTGACTGTAAAACAGTTGCATCGTGAATCCATTTACCAAGGATATCTTTAACTGCTTTTCCCTTCTTGATCTTTCCAGGTTGCAATTTCGCGCGGTACTTGTACTGTCCCAGAGCTGCCCAAGGAGCGCACACGGGGATGGCGGCTTCTATCTCATCGCCGTCCACAGGAGTACCGACCAGAGCCGGGAGTATCGAGAAATCAAGTTTATGCTCTTCTCCAGAAGCATCCTCGACGGAGTTTCGTGTAAAAGCCTCTTGCTGGCGTTTTACAGCCTGCAGAGCGCGTTCATGTTGAGCTCTTCGTCGTTCTTTTTGTGCTTCACGTTCAGCTTCGATGTCAGCCTTTGTTTTTGGTTTGGTGGTGGGAGTCGAAGGCCCAGCAGCGGATCCTAGTAAACGGAGCGCCAGTTTCCTATCTTCTTCATCTTGATCCTTGTATTTGGTAGCCAGCTTCTTTGCCTTTCCTCGCTTACCACGGACTGGTGGCTTGGATTTCTGTGTCCCTGATGAGCTGATAACTGACGGTGTTGATGACCGTGACTCCCGAGTGGCAGAAGGAGTAGCCAATCTAGATTCATCGTCAGACTCTCCAGAATCCTCGGTCTCCTCTGCATTCCCAGATGGACCTTCTACAGGCTGATTTCCTGCATGTGAAGCCTCATCCTTGTCTTCTTCATTAACTTGCGCTGGATTTGAATCTAAGGAGTCCTCAACATGTATAGATTGCAGCTGCTCTCCTAGGGGCGCAACCCTCTCATCGCTCATATCCTTTTTGGCAACCTCGGACTCTACCTGGTGTTCATCCTCTTGCTCTAGAGGAACATCCTCTTCTTGATCCGCTTGGTTAGCTTCAGGCTGGTCCATATCGGTGGTGCTGGAAATCGGTTCCTCATTAGTTACACCATCTTCTGGAGAAGATGGTAGAGATTTTGTGTGGTTCTGAACACTCCGATTTGAAATTTGGAATAACACGGCAAATCCGAGTACTATCTGTCCAGGGGGTATGTGGTTTTTCTCGCCTTTTATCATGAAATGGCCGGCCTTGAGGATGTCGCCTGTAGAAGTCATCTTTGACACTTGTGACGCATGAACCCACCATCCTCCCATGGCTGCCTTGGTATCCCAAGCCTTTGATGAAGCTACAGTGTATGCACTTGCCTGTGAGATTGTGTTCGGGGGAATGGGGTCATCGGGGGTATCAGGTTTATTCTTGACAATCAATGGAACACCTCCGTCCAAGTCGGTATGCACGTATATATCTCCCTTTTTCATGTATCGTTGAAAAAGTATCTCGTCTTGCTGATGGTCTCTCCCTCTATGATGTACATCAGTATAATGGCACAGGATAACTATTAGAAGATCAGGTGCTTCTACTTACCCTATAACGAGATAGCCATCTGAGGAAATGAAAAAGAAAAACTTCTCAAACCACGTTGGGTTTCTGGTCCGACGTAGGACTGGCTTTTCCTGCTTCAGAGCCATCTTAAGGTCTGCCTTAACCTTCCTCTCAGTGCTTTTGATGGCTTTTGTGGAAGCCTTCAGCGTCTTCTCTTCCTTCACAGCTGCAATTTTCTTCTCATCATAGTATTGTCGGGCATTGGCCCAGGGAGAAATTCCCAAGTCGATATCGATACTTAGCCGGGTATCTTTCTTCTCTTTCTTCTCCTTTAGGGGTTTCGCCGAGTGTTTCTTCTGGCTGGGTCTCTCATATTCATCGTCACCATACCCATCATCATCTTCTTCCTCTTCTTCCTCAGACTCTTCTTCCTCTTCTTCCTCGTCATCTTCGGTTCCCTCTTCATTCAATAACACAGTTATTGTATTTTCGTAGAGTTTAAGAGGCAACTTGATAGACTGCGCAACAGGATTGCCCTTCCCCTGTTCCATCTCGATCAGCCTAGCAATCTCGACCCAGTCCATACCCTGTGCCACTAGACCATTGACAGCATTCATTGCTTCCTCTACCCGAGGTAAATTTGTCTCGATAGCACGAGCTTTTCGAACATGAAATTCTTGTTTTTCCTTCAGAGCATTAACCCTCTTCTCATGTTCCCGTTTAGTACTTTCCAGTTTCTTCCTTGCAGCATCTTCTTTCTCTGTCAAGCGAGATTCGAGTTTTCGAGCTTCTATTGAAGAGAAATATCTATCGACAGCACTGTTGAAATTTTCAAAGCGAAGTATGGTTGTGTTTGGGGCTTCTTTCGACTGACTAGGTTCAAAGGGGTGGAAATCTCTAAATTCGGTCACAGGTGCCGTCTGTGTGCCACCCCCGACATCCGAAGCTGCGGATGCAACATTCTTCGCTATAATATAACCGGCCTGTTGAGTATCAGATGATAATGCGGTATTGACTCGATCTGCCTCTTGAAGTACCTCCATGAGTTTCTGTACCAAATTATTATCTGTCGATATTTGCGCTGGTTGAAGTTTTGAATCGAACCCGACTACATTGAAGGCATGGTCAAGAAGCGTAGGTGGGTATTCTGGGAATCCGAAGTATAGACTGCGCTTCAACGGTTTCGAACCGTTATCCTGTTCAAGGGCCGACTTGAGCCTTTCGATGGTCAACGGAGGTATGCCATTATAATTCAGCTTGCTCTCTAATCTGTATGTCATGCCGATTTTCACCTCCTCGATATCGCTTCCGGGGGCAACCTGACGCAGAAGGGCAACGATTCCATACTTTGCGTCTGTCAAAATAAGATTCCCTGCTGCAAAGAACTCGAGGTATAACCGGAACAGGCCATCACTAATCTCAAACTCAATGATGCGGTCTGTTCCTATCTGGCGGACACCGGTGATTCGTCTAGTTTTGAGGAGTTTTCGGAGCCGGCTAACGAAATGAGAGGGCGCGTCTGCGGTCGTGCGTGATGACTCCGTAAGGTGACAGTGGAATCCAGCGTTGATGATAAGCTGCTTTTTTATATCGGGGAGGGCGAGCTTGAAAAGGAACGTGCGCTATACAGTAAATTAGCAATCAGAGCTAAAACGGATTCCTCCAGGGCTTTGGGGTTTGAGCATACTCCGGAGATATCATAGATGTTTGCGATTCTCAGGCCAAGGATATTGGCGGAGAGCTCACGGCTTATGACCTACGAGCAGTTAGCATAGAAGGCGTAGGGGAATATAGTGGTGCGTACCTTTACATCCAAGGAAGAATATCTCTGCTTCATTGTTAATTACGTCTGCTCGTCGTAGTTTGCGCAAAGAAACGCCTTTGGTACCAATGGATGAGCAACCACATTGAACAAAATAAATATTAGTTAAAAGTGACGTAGGCGGGGCTGACAAAGCACACGACCAAGTTGATACCGAATGAAGGATCCTAGCAAGAATTCGCCATATAGATCTAATATCTCTAGATGGATTTTGATGATGATGTGCAGGAGGTTAGAACCTCTCTTGTGGTTCTTGTGGCCAAAATTAAGATAGTGTAGAAGAAGGGAGTGGACCAAAGGAGACAGAATATGAACCAAATATGCCCGAGGGACACATAATTATAGCCGTTGACAAACATACACGCATTTTTGTGCGAGGAAACATGTGGAAAAAGACATCCATTCAGAATCAGCCGTTACGCCGTTATGCCCACCAAAAGATAGAGCGTCAAAAGAGAAACAGTACACAGGCAAAGAGAAAAAAAAATCTATGCCGAACCTCCTCAAGTCATGAAACACAGAGACAAAGACGAAAATCAGGGCAGATTTGCTATTATAGACCCTGTCGTAGCTGTTCTGCAAGCCGTCTCTTCCCAAACTCCCAGGCGTTCAACAGTCCCTGCTCAGACAGATCTATGTTCTTCATGTTTGGTGCATCCTGAGCAGGAGCCTTGCTGACACGGGAGGCAACCTGGACAGGGTCCGTCTCGAGGATAATGCCGTCGTCAATAATCTCGTCAATTGCAAGGGAGACAAGGTCGTAGTTCTCGATGATGGTGCGCTTATCCGTTGAGCCCCTATATACGTCTGTTAGCTACATTCACATCCCTTTGTGTAATGGCGAGCCAATGCATACCCTAGCAGTATACTGAGCGAGTCTCTGAGAGTAACAACGACATTATAGAGCATGACTTCGTTCTCTTCTGCGCTGCCCACGACGTATAGCATGACATCGCCCTCGAACTTGAAGACGACCACACGGTTGTCGTACAGTATTATATCGCTCGACTGCTTGTTCGTCTTCTCCAGAAGGCCCTTTTCGAACGACTTCTGGTCTTTAACGGCTGGGTAGGGGTTTGCACCGGGGTAGTCTGTCGAGTCCGCTGCTGCGCCAGCTGGGGGGTGCGGCGCAGAGTAGTACTTTGCGAATATCCGCGAGCAGTCGTCGGTGGCCATGATCAGGACCGCATTGACGGAAAACAATGAGAGCGGAGCGAGCATCTTGACTTGGTGTCTGCAATCTTTCCTTTGTCTTCGGCTTCTTTTCTTCTGGTCTTCTTGTCTTGTCAGCGGCTTGTCTGGTTGTTCGTTGCTTGTTCGTCTTCGACTTGTTGGCTTCAAGATGTGTCACGTGATATCAACTTTTCGCGAACTACAAAATAACACGACGAAGACGATGACGACGAGAAAGACAAACGAGTTGATAGTGGAATACGTGCTTGTTGTATAATTCTTATTACTATACCTGCTATAGTAGTAAAACAATACCTATTTGTATAGCCGGATACACCACGGCTGCAACGGTTATATCTGCTATATTGTTATCACAGCGTCTACCTTTTTACTACAATGGGCTAGCTACCAGGTTGGCTATAGCAGAAGCCTGATTTCATTAATATGAAAGGTTTTGTTAATTTCCCCGGCCTACTAGTTCCAGGCATCTGTTACATGCCCTTGAGCTATCCAAGACTGCACTCAAGACAGCTTTTGCGATCTCTTCTTCATCCCCCCTAAATCCGCCAGCATATCTCCGCAGCCTATCTGGATGCCATCTCAGCTTCTCCTGCACCATCTGCGCTTTCAGTGCGTTCAACTTAGCCCGTGAAGCTCCCCGGATCCGGATATCAAACACTATACCCTCCCGTGGCTCTTCAGGGGCAAGTGTCTCTCTCCTGACACTATCTGCATGCACATAGGTTGGATACAGACCAAAGGCCTGCACGAAGAAACAAAAGGCATTCCACTTCCTGAGCTGAAAAATATCCTCGCTGATTTCCTTCGGTAATCGGCGGTGTTTCATGAGTCTGTGGCTTGGTTGGGAATTTCTGGATAGAGGACTAGACTTGAGGCTGCTAGTCGGCCATGGTATGATCGAGTGTTGACCATTTGCTGTGTCCTTTGTGTCAAACACTGCTTTCCACGCAGTGTTATACTCCTCGATAGCCGCCCTAGATGAGCTTGGAGTTGGGGTGTCCATGCTAGGCTGCCTTGTCTGGCCTGTATATACTCCTCCACTGAAGTTGTGAGCCCGGGATCCTTGCTCCCACTTATTCTCCCAGTGAACATGCCTCTCCTTCGCAAGGTATTCCATCATCTCCGCAACAGCACCGTGTAGGCGCTCAAACTCGAGTTTCTCACGTCTCATCACCCCTTTCAACTCCTTAACCTCTTCTTTCAGTCTCTTCACGGTTTCATGTAGAGGTTGATCCGCATCATCTTCCTTCTCCCCGGCACTCTCTCCCACATTCTCAAACAATTCCCCTAGACCTGACTCCTGGTGGCCCCCCATAACCGTCTCAGTACCTTCCATCTCCTCTGTAGTTGACACTTCGTCTTCTGCGTCTACTTCATCCACGTACTCATCACTATCCTCGTCAACAGACATATGTTCGCTGGCACTCGTCTCCCCCCAGCCCGGTACATGTCCATTCATAAAACGGGGAGTACTGTTAAACTGCGGAGCGAGAGGTGGCTGGAAGCTCAACGGCACCGTCCTTCTACCCCCTTCATTCAAGTCAACAAAGACAAAGGGTTCTGTGGTATAATTCCGGCTCCAGGATGGTGTATCGAGCGGAGGGGGCGGAGGAGGCCCCGGGTCGAGTACATGGCAGATATCAACAAGTGTTGGAGTGTTGGTTGGCTGTATCCAGCTGGTAGCGAATGGCCGTCTCCCTCCGTGGTGATGCTGTCGTTTATAAAACGAAGACGGGTGTCTTGCTGAAATATAATCCTCCAAACCTGGTAGTCCATCCCACATCGTTTGCCTCCTATCCATTTTCAATAGTATCTTCTTTCGTTCAGGGGTTGTCTGTATTAAAGCGTGTTCAATATGGCCTGCCAAAAAAACGATGCGATGAATGTTTGAACCGGCATACGCCTTTTGAGCAACTCTCGAAAGGACAGATTTACGGCTACATGCCAATTTACTACAATGCGGCCTTATTGTTTGCTCAAGTCACACCCAAGTACGACTTGTGTAATGTCAAACAACGCCCGACCTGACTCAGCGGCTTCGAAAGGCGCCGTCTATTGTGGCACTGCATCAAATACATGTTTCATCCATCATACATGTATCTACAAGGAACGGGTGCTTCTGCCGGGCAAAGAAGACGAGAACTGCCGTTTCATTTTCCACACATTGTCTTGGGAATGTGCGTAGTAGGTAATATGCAAAACTGATATACCAAGAAAGTAACGTGCCATATGAATGGAAGCATGAAAGGCAATGCGATGCGATGAGATGCAGGACTAGCAACCAACGAGAAGAAGGATGGGGGGAAATGGGCATGTCATGGGTATAGATATAGGTAGATCAAATTGCGCAGCCGAGCTTGCATTGCAGTCCTGAGTCAAAGGCATTAGACAAGAATATATTTATGTGAAAATGGCATCAGGGGGGGAGGGAATAGGACAAATGAAAGACGACGAAAGGAAAAAGGGCTAAACAAGGAAAATGACATAGTAAATGACATAAAATCGGGGGATATCTAATACACTATTTTGAAATAAATCTTTATCTCAGGTCAAGACGAGGTAAGGCATAAATCAATAGTGGCTGCGTGGATAGATGGATGGACGGAAAGGGATCAAGATGACGGCCGCGAGTTGCTGGAATCAGACATCGTGAAGCTGCCGCGGTTGAACCATCCTGCCCAACTGCCTCTATTTGCCTTCTTGCGGGCAGCTTCATCAGTCAAGGGATCAGCATCCATCTCCTGGTTCTCCTGCACCAGGCGTAGTGGACGCAACTTGTTCTGCTGCATCACTGCCCCAGTATAGTTGTTCATTCCAGGGCCGGAGCGAGGAGGACTGGCTGATGCAGCGCCGCCTTCCATGGACCCAACGTCTCCACTTCTATCGCTGGTCAAGCTTGCAGCACCGCTGAAACGACGGTCAGCACTGCGCGTGGAGATGGAGGTGCCTGTACCGCCCGGTGCAGTGGCGACAGATGAGCGCTTGGATGCCGCGCCGGGAGCGAAGAACGGGCCGTTGTTTGACAGGGTTGGGCTGATGCCAGGGCTGATCGGGCCTGTGGATGGGGAGCGTCCGCTGGGAGGGCCGCGATACATCTGGCTGATTACGCTTGCCGTTCCAGCTGCAGCGCCGGAATTGTCCAGCTGGTCTGATCTCGTTCGACGGTGCTGGACCGTGCGAGAGCGCCCAAGTGGGATTCTAGGAGCAGTGTCGGGGTTTTCATGAGCGGATGGGGTAGGCGGTTCTCGGGGGGAGGACTGAGGAGGGGAGTGAGTAGATGTAGATTGTGTGAGTTGGCTAGGTGGTCTCTGTCTGTTGTTAGAACGGGCAGGTTGGCCGGAAACAACAGATTTGGCACGCTGAAGGAATGATTGCTGTTGCTCTGGTTCTTCGTTTTTCTCAGCGGGAGGCGGAGGAGGAAGTTCCTTGTCCTTGTTTCCGCCCTTGGGTCCTGTATTATTATCAGCGTCACTCTTGTCGAGGATATGTTCGAAGCCTTCGTGCTGTAAAAGTCTGCCAATGATTCGTTCAATGTAAAGACTCAGAGCCTTGTTCTGGTCCTTGTAGCTCTTCAGCTCGCTCTCCAGCTTGCGTTTCTCGTTGTCTTCACCTCCCTCGCCGACGGAATCCAGCTCGTCGGCCAGAGAAGAGCCACCGGTCCCGTTTGCGTTAGCAGGCGGATGGGCGTCATGCATAAAGTCTCCCTTGGTGAAATCTCCATTCAACGTCCGCTCGCTGAGCAGAAGCTGATAGCTTTCGTTGTCTTCCATTAGACGGGCGTTGGCCATGCGGGCTTCGAGGAGTTCTCGTTCTAGTTCCTGCTGACGGCCTCCTCCCAGGCTCTCCATTTCAACGATTTTGATCTGTGCTTCAGCCAGCTCGAGCCGTAGGGATTCGATGAGCTTGTCTTTTTGCAGTATCAGTTTCGAGTTGTTTCTGGATGGACTGCGTTGAAGCTGAGATGAAGATGGAGCAAATTGCCCGTTTTCTATGTCTGGAGATGAGCGGTTACGGAAACTCGCTGCATTTCTGTCAGTCATGTAATGGGTAAAAAAGGGGAGCCAATGTAAATGGATACTAACGAGAGCGAGATAGGTTGCGTTCGCCGTCAACTCCCATTCGAAGGTCCTTTTGGGCAATCGTCTCCTTTAACCGCTGGATGGAAGCCTCGAGCTCTTCCTCCCTCTTTGCTTGGTTCTCTTTATCTGCCATCATCGACTCACGCTCGGTCTCATGCTTTTGCTCCAAATCCCGGATTTGTCTGTGAAGCTCCTTGATTTCGTCACGCAGCGGGTTTATCTGGCCGTCTTTCTCATGTGCCTGTTCCTCGAGCCTGGTCTGCTCGCTGACTGCTTCGTCGAGCCTCATCTGCAGCACCCCGAGCTGTTTTCGATACTGGTCCGCGACAGTCTCCGCCTTCTGGACTTGCTCCTTGAGATCTTCGATCAGGGCCGTGTTGGCTGCCCGGGCTTCCTCGTCCTCGTTATTATGGGGGTAGTTCCGTGGTACGCTGCTCATGCTTAAGTTGGATCGGCCCAACCCAGCCCTCCTTGCGGCTGCGGCACGGGCTGAGACTGGACCTGGTGACCCTTTGGTCGAGGGGGAGCGGCCAACGCCATTCGTCGTCGCGCCAGGAGACTGCGAGGAGACTCTTCGCGGTCCGCCTGGGCTCGTTTGAGCATCGGTCGAGGGCGTCTTGTGGTTAGTTGGCGTAGGGGACGATGGTTTCTTGCTCGCCATGATGTTCTTGAGTTGTACCCAGTAACACGAAGCACGTCGAGATAGGTCACGTAGCGGGCCAACTCAGGCCGGTTCGAGTCTGGAGGAGCCCTGTACCTGATTTTTTAGCAGTTGAGACGAGACGGACAGAGAGGCTGCCGTGTCTGAGGCTGTGATTCTCGTGTTTATTTCTGCAGTTGCTGTATATTTTATATGTATGCGGGTGCCCGTCTAGGAGGCGGCGGCTGCGCCGTGCTGCTGGATGGGGACTGGAAAGCTATGCCGCCATCTCGACTCGCTGGCTGCTCATTGCGTGACTCGCACGTCTCTTTGTCTGTCTGCTGGTCCGCCCGTCTGTCTGTCGTCTCTGCCAGCGTGAACTTCAACGCTGCCGCTGGCCTTTTTATCCACCTCCTGGCTGCGTCTTCGTAATTAAACCCTTTGAAAATCCGAAGATTAAGCGTTTGGCCGCGCCAATCAGAGACGGCATAGAGCACCGCTGACTAAGCGAAGAGATGAAAAGGAGACGCCGTTGAAGCGGCTGAACTTGGCTATTTTTATATTCAAAAAAATATTCAAAATGGAGGCAAGGACGAGGATTGAGAGGCAGACGATGCTGCTGGTGCATTGGGTAGAGAAGAAGGGGCGGCGTGAAGGTGTTATGGTGAAGAAGATGGGCCCTATAGAGGTAGTTGGCTACAAAGGTGGACTATGGCTACGACTGATAGTTATTGATGGCATAGAAATAACTAACTAATTGGATCACGAACTACCAGTTATCAAAGTGGAAGGGATAGCCCCTCAAAGTATTATTCCTTATCGACAGCCTCTCATGGTTTCCAGCCTGTCCTCCAGAAGCGTAGAGGAAACACCCTAGGTTGCATTAGGCCATAGGCCGTGGAATCCTGAAAGTCGATGATTCGTCAGATTCAGGAGTTCCAGGCGTTCCAGGAGTGCCAGAAACACTAGCAGTATTAGTGCTATCTGCAGAGGTTTCAGCGGCGGTGAATTGAGTCACTGCAGTGGCAGAGAGCTGAGCGATCCTGGGGGCGTCAGGCCGAGGATTCTCCTCAGCAGTTGCGGTTGTAAGGACCCTTTCGAGCTCCTTCAAATCCTTCAATGGATTGTATGGGAGGGTCTTTTTGTGTAAGGGATCGTTGTTGAGAGACTCCACATCCACATGGCAATCTTGGTCTAGTGTCATCTTACCCCGGGCAATGGGGGTGTCAAGGTTGGTGAGCAGGCCCGGCCCGAAGGCAATGGGCGCATTCGGGTCCCTGAAGACCTTGACCTCAAACTCCTTGCCTGGGCGGAAGAAGAAGTGTGCATCTTTCTTTATAACCTCGTTTTTGTCCGGGAAAGGTTGCATGGTGACCTCGCGATAGTCACATAGCGTCAAGATCAGTCCTTGACAGATATTGTCGTGGACTACCTTGGCCAGCTCGGTATCAAGTTTCACGTTGCTGGCAGAGAGACATATGTTTGGCGCCTTGAGAAGGACGTGAGAGATGTGGTGCTGCTCCTTTGTCCCGTATAGGTAGAATGGCATATTGTGCTGCGGGTAAGAATGGTCCCGGTTGGCCGAGTTGAGCGGCCGACTCTTTATAATGCGAGTAGCCTTGATAGTGCAGTTTATACCCTCCATCACCCTAAAGACAGCGACGATTTAGCCAGAGTTCCTGATAGAAAACTAAAACTGTTAGCTAAGAAGAAACTTACTTGTCTTTCTGTCTTATCCCAATAATGCCCTTGAGGGTTGGGTTTTTGTCATTTTTCACCTCCTCAACAAAGCCTTCCAGATCAAACGGGTCCTTGGATTGGAATGCTATCTCTCCAGACTGATTTTCCTTCAATTCCACATATTCCTCCATTTCATTGTCGTCCAGTTTGGCTGCAAGAATAATCTGTTGACGCCGGGTAGCTTGGTGGAAGCTGGTATGATAGTCCAGGAATATCTCATCGGTGCCTCTCATCAGGAAAACACCTTGGTATTTGCCTCGCTTGTTACGCTCCCAGACATTCTTGACTTCCTCCTCGATCACTTTCTCGAACACCTCCATCAAAGAGCAAATGAACTTTTTATGAGTGGGGAAAGGACTCATCACCACATTGCGAAGAACAAACAGGTCCTCAGCCGCTGGAGCTAGATGCAGCCGCTTCATAAAGTTCTGAGCACACTCCCCGTAAAGCTCCTTGGAGAACTGAGTTGAAGTCAGGTAAAGTGGGATCTCTCTTGGGTTTCCGGCAGAGCTGGTAATGGAAAGGCGGTCCACAATTCTCTTCATAAAGTAGTTGGCTTCTTCAAGATCATCGTTCAGAGTGCCATCCTCGCGGTACCAATTTAGAGCGAAAGCATTGATATTCAGGTCAGACCCTAGCTCACGAAGATACTTCATGTCGTCCTTGCTCTTCATGAGTTCCTCGTTGGTCTTCTCAAGTATATTTTCTTGGATGTGCTTCCTTCGCGCATTTACTTCTGGAGATAAGGAGCCATAGCCAGCATGTTCCATAGGGAGTCTGTTGAAGGGGATGCATATGTAATGCTTCTTCTTTTTGACTGGATCAGTCTCTTCTTCATAATGCATAGCTGCATAATGGGCAGACAACTAGCAAAAATTATCAGTGTCCGTCAAAAACCCATGAACTAAGGCCAAGCCATTTATTCTTTGACTTACCCGTGCGCTCGTAAAAGCTGCTTCTCCTAGTAGTCTGCCGTAGCCGTTGCGGTCAAGGCCGATAGTTGTATTTGAGAACCAAGTAGCCATAGCCGCTGCTCCGGGTTTACTATGAGCCAAGAGATGTTAGCAACTAATTCTAGGAAGAAAGTATGAGCTGCAAAATATGCGAAATAGGGACACTTACCTTCCCTCTACACCATAAACCCCAATGTTTTCCGAAGAACCCTGGGATAGATACGGACTAGTCCATGTCACTAAGAACCTCATGCGCCCATCACGGTACACCAAGCTGCCAGCTGGATAAGGGATGTATCCTGCTTTGTGAGGATCCACGGTAATAGAGTCTGCATCCTTGAGTGCAATCATATTCGTCAGAGTGCTTTCCTTCAGCGGAAGCGACGGAACAATCTCTATGACTTCCTTTCCGCCAGTCCCACTGCCACTCCCTGGCATCTGTGGAGCCTTGGCATCTTTAGGAATCATAGTGCTGAAGTACCCTCCCCATGCAGCATCAGCATGGACTAGGAACGACAGTCCCCTCCGCTGGAAGTCCGCTCTCATATCAAGAATGGCTCTCAGCGGATCCGCAGCGCCTTCTTCAGTAGAGCCCATGATGGCTACTACTGCAAACACTGCTTGCTGTTCCCTTAGACAGCGATTGAGTTCTATCTCAAGGTCCTCAAGAGAAATATGGCCATCCAAGTCAAGCTTGATTCCGTGCATGTTCCCTGACCCAAGTCCAGCGATGGCTAGAACAGGTTAGCTGTGGACGAGAAGCAGCTGAATCAAGTTAACTTACCGCCTCCTTTTGGCCACGAATAGTGTCTAGTTTTGGCATGGAAGTACTTCATGGGCTTGTTAATACCAAAGTAGGCTTCGAGGCGGTCTTTACCGACAGTTTGAATGCTAAAGGGATTCAAAGCTTCTTCGAGATACTTAGATGTAATGCCAAATTGTTCATGAAGGCGATCAGCCAGGCCCAAGATTGTCTGAGAGCTCAGGTTAAGAAGCTCCCACGGAGTAAGGTCTTTGAACAGTTTCTCATCACCAACACAAGGGGTAACCTTGAACTTATCGGCAATGAACCAAAGCGATCCTTCTTTCATTGCCCAGGACAAGGTGAGCGGGTAAAACTTCAAGTTGCGAGCTATTAAACGGGTCAGATATGTCTTATACACAGTGAAATTCAGGTCACATACCAACCCAAATGGATTCTAAGTTCGCCACGGTGCCATCACAAGTAATGTGTCCCCACGAAAGGGGGAGGCTCTTATTTTTTTCATCAATGTTATATCCAAACATTTCAGCCAGTTGCTTCCCAACTTCTAGCTCGATCGCGGTGGTCAACGGGCTTGCTTCCACAGCGACATTGTTCGGGTTGTAGATCATAGTCATGAAGTATCCCAGAAGCCCAGGAGTTGTCAAGTCGGTACACATGTGGCCCTCATATCTTGGGGACCAGAATGGGACCGATCGTTCCCCCAAAATCTGAGACGCTTTTTGGACAGCTTTGTTGAAGTTCAAGACAATTTGCTGGTACTGCTCCGACTTTGTGACATCTTCTGTAATGAATACCTAGTATCGTAATCATTTAGTCAGGCAAAATAAATTATGCATGATTGCTGGTACCTCATCATTCTCAAAATATTGGTGCCTAGAATTCCGCAACTCATCTAGGATCGTTTTAATATTGATCCTAAAGCTGTCCAGATTCTCTGCCTTGGGCCCAATGAAATAGGAGCTAATGACATCGTGAGGATTGAGTTTAGTGGGAGGTGCGGACATCTTGGATCCAGGATAGCAAGATCAGTCTTGGATAGAGAGTTGTATATTGAATTACTGTGTACAACACATATGTCGTAGAGGGAGACTCGATATTTATCCTTTTCATTGTGAACTCCTAATAATTGAGAAACAGTCCCCGCAATCTGGGTGGAACTTGATACCGCCCCAGATAGGTCGATTGTCATGAGGGGTATTTGTTGGCTTCCTCACCCGTCTTTGCGTCTGGATATGCATGGAATGCAGGGTAGTTCAGCTCTCTTGGTGGATAAAGCGGGCCGTTCCTCTAGTGTCTAGTGGCGCCAGAAAGAAGACAAAGCCCAGCAATATAAGAGAGGATCTTTCCATCCAGTAGGACTAACTGGGTATCTTCCATGCGAGCAACATCCTTCACATGAAGTAAACCTTGTCCACACTCAATATATGGGGCAATGGCATAAGGAGAGGGTTCAATAAGTGGATATACATGCTCCTATTAAATGATATGCGAGGTATCCTATAGGGATATACGAGTACTATCTCGATGTGATACGCCATAGGCTCGCTTGACTCAACCGGGCGGTTAGGGTATAATTAAGGCCTTCTTCTGTTTGTTGAATTGTCCGGAAGAGGGGTATTGGAGCTATTAGTATCAATCTAATAGTACTGGTGATATTCGGCATTGTAGGTGACCTACGTGTACAAGATGACAGGTTGGATGGTATTCAATGATCATCCTTCCGTAAAGTACCGCAGATATGTTGGCAGGGCATCGCTTGATTAACGAATTCCCACCTGGCTCTGTAGGGAAAATGGAGACTCACAAGCGTATTCTGATGGGATATTGGTAGATCGGACTCCATGTACCGAGAGGGGTCCAGAGGAGATGAATATGTAAAGGGCATAGATGGGAGGCACCATTCAAATTTGGTAATGCGTGCATAATGCAAACCACGTCATCGCCAGGCGGGGAAAGGCCGATTCAAAATGATCGTTTTCATTTTCGCATCATTATGTACGAACAATTCTCTTCATTGGTATCGGCAAGTTGGGTTCTTTAACATAGATGCTGTGTTGACGCAGAAGTCGAGTGGAGAACGGGAGCGGCGAAAGTTCGGCATGCATGGTCCAGGGTGCGCAGGGGATAGAATCTCCACTTCTGGCTTGGATGTTATTTTGATTTGGGCCATGAGTTTCAAACAGGTCAGATTGCCCCGATGCGTCCCGAACCAAGCAGTCATGGCCACCACTTCAGATTAATCGAATCCTCTCCGGGGCATTGAGTCATCCGAGCAAAGCATATTGCGAACAAATAAAAAACTTCGCAAAATCTGTATTGTATTGGCAAAATATGCTTGCCTTTCCTCTATGACAAACCCAGTTCCCCAATAACACTTACTTTAGAAGGATTCGAACTCACTAGGCCATCACACGCCAACCACTCATCTTCAGGGTCACAATTGGACAGATGTCAGTAGTACCTGAAGAAGTCCCTCATAAATTATCTATATCTGTGGGTATCCTATCGAGATATTCACTGGAGCTAGGTAAATGAAGGAGCGGTGAAGTAACCCTGGGAAATACGAGCAGACGAGTTAACAACTGTCCAATTGATCGACCTCCAGTTATGAATAATTCAGGAGTATAAGTAGGAGAAATGGAGTAAACCAAGGGTGAGAACGCTTTGAATCATATATGGATGAGCATCGCCTAAGAGGGGGCTAAAAAAAGACCTTGAAGCCTCCAAATGAAATCTCCGAAATGATCGTATAAACATGGAGGAAAAGACATGGCGTTAAAGGGTGATCAATATCAACACCGTCGAAAAAATATAGATATCATAGCCAAATGTATTATAAGTGCATGTTTCTTTGTGTCGCTCCATATCTTATGTGATTCAAATTTTGGGAAATATTTAAGCAAGAGGATAGAATCACCTACCAACTCCCCGTCAGCATTGGCCTGGGCTCGCGAATGCGGAAGGATATTCCCTATTTCAAGATGCACAACGCTGGCTCTACCAGCTTGATACTTTCAAAATAGCCGATTTCGGTCATTGCAATCAGCGTCGTCGATATATTGCCTATAAAGCAAGTGGGAAATAACCGCGGAGCATTGTTCCCACAGTCTCGGGCTATTATTAAAGCCACATTGGTGCCAAATAAGGTCTAGAGGATAGACATGGTATAGGGTAGGCGCCTGACAAAAACAATATTGTCATAACGGAATTCAGCAAACTTGGTTAATACCAGTCGGATTCGGGGTCTGAAGAGGTCTCAAGAATATCAAATTCCGTACAAGTCAAAAATTGCGTACGATATTAATATCTTGTAATGCCTGGTGTGTAAACTCAAAGTGTGTAAGAAGACCAGGAGTGGCTAGGTATGTTGGGGCCAACCTCCGTTCCCTCGGCTTCCTCAGCGCTTTGCCTTCCCGGACGCTCTTCCTGGCGGTAAATGCTCGAGAGAGGTAACGCTGATCATGCTATCCAGCGGCGACTGGCGGTGGTGACCAGCCATGGTAGGAAGTATACAGCCCAGCTGTGTCAATCGCTAGACATGTTAGTTAACTATTGGCGGTATCAAACTGGCAGACCCGTATAGACCTGGCTGTTAGATTGCAGTCATCGCTGTTACTAAGAAGAGGAATTAAATAGAAAGAGTAATTAAAGAAGAAGAAGATGATGATGATAATCATGACGATGAAGAATCAGGTAGAAGTAGACAGCGAAGACCGACATTGGATGTTGGAGGTTGGATATTGCCTGTTTGGGCGACGAAGTTAGGGTTTAGGGCTTGCTTGGAAATCAACCCGCTTATTAATTATTTCGGTGTGTGTGTTCGACTTTCGCCCCGAAACGGAAAAGAGAAACTTCTTTCTCTTCGCTTCTCTGCTGCGTCGAGAATATTAAAACCACCACTGGAACCTCTTCCAGTCTTGTCGTTCGCAGGAAGTGCTCGTTATACACGCTACGCACCGATAAGATGGCGCGCCGTCCAGCAAGATGTTATCGCTACTGCAAGAACAAGGTGGGTTGAGCCTTTTGAAATGCTCCCGTTATCATGCGCCCCCGCGGATTGCACTCGGAAGGAAGAGAGGGATATCAGGATATCTCGTGGATATGCGCCTGGATTCGCTGTTACAAGGGATGCGGAATGGTGGAAATCGGGTTTATTTGAGATGCAACCGTGGCACCATTTTTTGGACGGGATTCAATACACGTTGAGAGGAAGGATGTGAAGCTAACTTGGACATATCTAGCCATACCCCAAGTCCCGTTTCAACCGTGGTGTCCCAGACCCTAAGATCCGAATCTTCGATCTTGGACGTAAGAAGGCCAACGTGGATGACTTCCCTCTCTGCGTCCACATGGTCTCCAACGAATATGAACAGCTGAGTGCCGAAGCCCTCGAAGCCGCCCGTATCTGCGCCAACAAGTAAGCCACCAAACCATTCCGATGACCAGCTACTATTCGACTGGCAACGGTGAGACAGAAGAAAAGTACTAATATGACGGGAAACAATCAGGTACCTTGTCAAGATTGCCGGAAAGGAAGGTTTCCACCTGCGTGTCCGTGCCCATCCATTCCATGTCGTCCGTATCAACAAGATGTTGTCGTGCGCTGGTGCCGATAGATTGCAGACCGGTATGCGTGGTGCCTTCGGTAAACCCAACGGCTCCGTCGCCCGTGTCAACATCGGCCAGATTCTCCTTTCCGTCCGCACCCGTGATGCTCACCGCGCCACCGCCGTCGAGGCCCTCCGCCGTTCCATGTACAAGTTCCCTGGTCGCCAAAAGATCATCGTCTCCAAGAACTGGGGCTTCACCCCTCTTCGACGAGAGGAGTACGTCCGTCTCCGACAGGAGGGACGTGTCAAGATCGATGGTGCTTACGTCCAGTTCTTGAGAAACAAGGGCCCAGTCGAGACCAACATGCGAAGATTCCCAGATGCTTATGAGAATGTTTCCCAGGAGGCATAGAGCATGAGTTTTCAAAAGCGGGTTTGGGTTTGAGGTTTCGATTTGTTTGCTTGTTTTGATTGAGGCAATACACAACAGTTATCTCAGAAAGGAATAAATGAATCAAATAATGACAAAAAAATGAGCATAATACTCCCTTCTCTTGCTCATATATGAAGTGCCTATGGTTGCTATGTAAGATGGATACAATTCAACCAGACAGGATATACACTGAATTTATTGGCATATGTCTACAAAACGGGTCGTTCCTAGTTGATCACAGGTGTATACTTAGCTCTCGATCATATGGTACTCATCAGCATTTGAGAACTGTGTATGGTCAGCGAATATAGCATTATCTATCCAGTAATATATTGGATACAGACAAGGTATGCAATTACATGAGTGGAAATGTCACACCATGGCACCATATGCTGCAGGACTCATTCCATCTTGTTAGTAACATTATGGCAAAGGGTTATTTAGAGGAATAATATGGTTATGGTATGAGTAAAGAGAGACTCCCATCTAGGTCAACTGCTCCAGTGAGATAAAGATATCAGGTAAAAATAGTCGAGGCCATCACTCCAAGGTATGTCAAACCGAAAAACGCCTATCTCCTCACATACACTGAGAAGTTTCACGTGGTTATGCAGGTCAATGCAGGTCGATTCGGTTAATAAAAGAACAAGTTCGAGACACCATGGCAAGTTTAGATGTCTCCCCAGCTGCCCATGCCGCCACCAACAGCTAATGGAGCACTGCTACTGCCAGCACTCCCGCCTATGTCCCAGTAATGCCTGCTGGAGCCTGTTCGTTTTGTTGACACAGACTTGCGAGTGCTTTGGCTCTGGCTTGCACAGCTTGGACTAATGGTACCACGCATATGATGGTGGTGGCGATGATGTTGTTGATGGCGATAGATGCGTGAAGACTGTTGGCGGAAACGGGAGTTTGCTTCCGCACGAGCAACTAGTGGGTGATGCTGGCGGATGATTGCTGCACGGATAGGATCATGCTGACGCTGTCGTTGAGCTCTATGTTGTGGAGAGGTAAGCTCGATGGTATCGTCGTTATCCTGGGTGCTACTAGCGTCTCCAGTTGCCGTTGCAGCAAAACGATTACGGAGATATCGGAACACCATCTTGATGTTTAGTTCTCGTTCCCAGTACTCACGGTCACGTTCGCGGCGTTCTGATTCCGAGAGGATGTGACTAGGTTCAGCATCTCTCTGGGCAGGTACATCTTCTTCTATGCCCCAGAGTGCTGCGTGCCTGGAAGTAGCCGCGTCTTGCATCGTTGGGTGGAAAGTAGGGGATGGCACTGAAGTTGTGTTTTCATGGCTGCTATGTGATTCGCGCCTGGAGGTCATGGCTGACACAGTTGGTGTTGCGGTAGGTTGAGATATAGGCATGCCAGCATATTCTGTTGATGGATCAATGTTGGTCCGCATATATGCGGTGAATGCTCCAGGGTGTTCATAGATTTGATGAACGAGAATACCAAGTTCTCGAGCAATTCGTTCGAGTAGACGTTCCTGCCACCAGCCGTCTCTTGTTGAGGAGCTCATTATGTTAGGAATAGTTTCAACCATATTGACTGAACTATCGGTGGTTAAAGTGGTGGTTCGTAGGTAGTTATTGCCGGCGAAGGAGCTACGTGGCTGGTCTTGAGGTGAAGTGCTGTTGGTATCACTGTCGGTTGTGTCGGAGACTAGCGACTCTCCAAATATTACGGCGAGAAGAGAATCGTCAATTCCAATGAGGCCATTGATGACTCTTCGAGTAATTCGTTGCCAGAACGATTCGTCCGAATCCGTTTCATCACTAGGAGTGGCATCAACCGTGGCATCAAGTGCTGCTTGGCTAGCAGTAAGTGATGCATCCGTCTTGGATGTGGTATCTTCCGAGACTATGGATCGAAGAGGGTGCATTGTGTCAGAGCCCTTGCTTTGTGCCCTCTGTTTTCTCTGTCTGCGTCGTCTCGTTTCCTTTTCTATCTCCTGTAACAGCACTTTGCTCTGTTCCATGCGCCACTGCTCGATTCTCTGCCATCTCTCCCTCTCCATACCAATACCCATGGGTTGAGATTCATTAGCATTGTCCAGATGCCTCTGCACGCTCGAGCTGCTCCTCTGCCGTGTTTCACCAATCCTCCTGGGGTTGAACTGTTCATGCTGCCACAACTGCTCTTGCACATTCACCCCAGAAGGTGAAAACGTTCCCAATCCATCATGAGTCGGTAGCATGGCAGGGCCTCCGCTCTGGTCCAGCTGTGGGTCTCGAAACGCCTGGAGTCCGTCATCGAGACTGTCCAGCTCCGTGACATCGTCCTCCTGCACGCCTGTGTCCTGAAGTTGCCCTTCCTGGCCTTCTGTCTCCCCGTCATTTCCCTCACTATCAAGCGGACCTGACGACTGAGCGGCGGTCTCCAATGACCCAAAGTCACTCAACCGCGACAGACCAGCTGTCCGGGGCGTTCGTTCAGTAGACGCAGTATGGCTGTGGGTTGCTGTGGACTGAGCCTCTACGGGAGAGAAGAGCACCCATTCCTGCGAGTCCTCCTCGTCTGCCCTGGCTTGTGGCTGGGAGACATTTGGCGGTGTCGTCAAAGAACGACTGGAACCTCGATACGGGTGTTGTCTCTGCGGCGTCTGGTCGGGGAGACGAAATGCCATGGTAGGAGCTGCCCCCAAGGACGAATATTCGTGTGTATATCACGTAGGATTCTGTGCTGTTGTGGCACGGCGGTGGTGATGCGAGGGAGGTCCTTGTACTTCCGTCAAGTCCTGAGGCGCTATCGGAAGATAAGGAGCCGTCTGGTTAGCCAGCGAAGAGGCTAAACAGACCAACAACGAAAAAGAAGACGCTAGGGAACAGCCGTCTCCATGCTGTCAGGTAAGAATAGACCAAGATAACGGGCGAACGGCGAGTGTTTCTGCGGTATCAATCAATTTATTGATCTGCTCGTCTCCATCTTGTCTTGTCGTTTGGAATCTGGAGCCGGGCGTGACGTGCATCAAGTGGCTTAATCAGCAGACTGCTTAGTCATGCGGCTACAGAAGTACCAAATGCTCCAACAGACCTACACCAGGGATCGTCAGGAGGAGATGTTTGATATTCTTGACAAGCTAGAAGATGAGTTCACTTTGGAAGAGGATGATGAGTGTCTTGCAGCCAGAAAGGAATTGAAGGAAAAGCGAGGCGCAATCCCCTAATCTAGTTTTCACTGCTATCTAGTGTCAATTTTGAGATCCCTCCATTCCCTCTCAAAGCCAAATGATAATCACTCCACGAACGACCCCTAAGCGTAGTCCAGTAACCACCACATGCCATAGCGTTCTGGTGAAATACACTCAGGTAGGAACAAGTACCAGTCATCCTCCGCAGAAGAACTGAGACCGTTTGTGCTCCTAATCAACTCCTAATACTCAGGATAGAACCCACTGTGTTCCCAATCGAGAAGTCCCGTAACTCGAAATTGGTAGTCATTACTTGGTTCTATAGTAATATTATCTGGTCGTAGATCACCGTGTGTAAAGACACATCGAATTTCTGATTGCTGGGGTGGGGTATAGCGTTGACGGAGCCGGTTAATAAACTCTGTAAAAATAGAAGTGCGTAAAGAGGGGAATGAAAACCCCCTGAAATCTTCAATAGTCAGAATAGGGTTAGTACTGCGGCGGAAATGTTTCCTAATATCTTTACAGCCTTCACCACAAACCCTTTCAAGAGGCTTCCCAGTAGGGTGTGAAAGAGAACTTAGAGCGGTTAGGATTTTGTTGAGCTGATCTTGGATGGACCTTTTCTGTGATATATCCAGACCTGCCCAGATATCTGCCAGTGTTGTCGTGGAGGTGTAGGCCATAAAAATTAAAGAGACACCGTTCATTCGCAATAATCCAGATGGCCTCGGACCGAGTCAGCCAAGGGAAATATAATAGCAGCAGGTTCGGAAGGCCGTAGAAATACGCGGATATCTTCTTCAGTAACTGCTCCTGACGTTGTTGCAGCAGAAATAGGTATTACTGGCAGAGAAGTTAGAAGAGACAGCCTCTGATGATGGAGAGAATCTTAATTCATCGGAGAGAGTAACGGAGTCCGAATTTCAGAAAGACGCCTGGAGTAATCCTTCGGGAAGTACGATATCAGGTCAATTTCTGGGTCCGCTGCCACTGCCTTCTGCAGTCGCTTTAACGTGTGGATGTTGAATCGTGCTGCTTTTGGCTTTTTGAGCCTGCGCCATCCAGCTCCTCGAGCCTCTTTCTTTTCGGCATTGTTAGGCCAGAAACCAAGAAAGAGAACCTTGATCTGAACAAAGGTGAGATGTTGATGAAGCGTGATGCGGTTTGCCTCTGTTGGAGGTTATCTACAAGCCCTAGCGTTGATTTGATTGGCCAGTGGTGGTGCACACGTAATCACCTGTTTTGTACATTTGGACTACCTGGGGTACATTGGGCTGTCAGGAGAAACGATCAACCATTCAAACATCTAGATCTATACAAGAGTTGTTACTGGAGTATATGTCACGTACAACTCGCCATATGGTCGACGGCGATGAAGGAAAACGTCATGGCAGGCGCAATGGTAGCGCCAGCGCCAGAATACGTCCTGCCCATGACGCTCGCGCTAGTGTTGCCCGCAGCGTATAGCCGTTCAATGGGCTTCCCGTCACTGTCCCTAAGCACCCTCGCAAACTCATCTGTGAGCAGTCCTCCCTTGGTGCCCAAATCGCCTGGGTAAATCCGGGCTGCATAGAACGGCGGCTTCTCAATCGGCCCCAGGCTAGGATTGGGTCCGATCTTGGGATCCCCAAAATACTTGTCAAACGCAGAAACGCCCCGGTGAAAATCTTCATCGACTCCTGCTCTCGCCATCTTATTAAAGCGAGACAGTGTCTTCTCAAGCCCGGCGGGATCAACGTCAATCTGTCGCGCTAGATCTGGGATGGTATCGGCTTTGAACAAGTGTCCGGATTCGAGACCGTTCTTTGGATCAGGCTGTAAAGGGAGCAGGCCACCGATGCTATATCGTTTGCGGAACGAGTGGTCAACGATCAGCCAGGCTGGGATAGCGTTTACGCTCTGGTGCCGTTCGTACTGATGGTGGCCGGCATCTGTATACGGTTCAGCTTCGTTCATAAATCTAGACCCGGACGAATCGACAATGATACTGAACGGCCGGGCTCGTTCGGTCAGGGCGAAGACGTTCATCCCATTCACCGGACAGACGACAGTTGGCCCCCACCAGGCATCGTCCAGCAGAGCAGTGCCAGCACCGACCTTCATGGCCGCAGTAATGGCGTCTCCTGTATCCCCTGGGGGAGCACTAGTCCATTCAACGCTTGCCGGTGAAGGACCCCATTTCTCCCTGAGCTTCTTATTGTGAGCGAAGCCTCCTGCAGCGAGAAGGACTCCACGAGAGGCTCGGATGGTTTTCTGGCCACCTTCTTGTTTGACCGTGGCCCCAACAACCGTAGACCCGTCCATGATCAAGTCAACCAGGGCAGTTTTGCGTTGTATTGGGGTGCCGGCTTGCTTGTGGAGGTAAAGCAGTTGGGACACCAGTGCCTGGCCCATCGCAGAGGGAGTCTGTCCAAGAAGGGTGAGCAGGGCCTGGCGCAGAAGGATCTTAAGCAGGGCATTAAAATCACTCCATGAAGCCCCTGACCTGAGGGCGCTGTTGCTCTCCGTCACATATGCAGCAATAGGAGGTCCAGGGCGTTTGCGAACCAGGCTCCTCCAGGAACCCAGCTTCTTCATATTAAAAATCTTTGGCTCCAGGGTCCGACCAAACATAGAACCGCCTGGGATCTCAGGGAAGTAATCAGGACATCCTCCTTTTCCCAGACGCCATTGGAATCCGGCTTTCTCCAGGAACTCCACCAGTCGAGGCCCATTGTCGAGAAATGCAACTTTTCGCTCTCTAGACGACACAGGGCCAACATCTCCAATGGTTGCTTCGAGGTATTTCAGGGCATCTTCCTTGCTATCCTTTACGCCGGCGGCTTGAGATAGATGGGTATTCGGAATCCACATGGCACCGCCGGAGTAGGCGGATGTCCCTCCTATGGCCTCATCTTTCTCGACCACCAGGGCCCGAAGCCCGTGAGACTGTGCTCGCAGAGCAGCAGTTAACCCTCCAGCGCCGCTTCCTATCACCAAAACATCCGTCTCTTCGTCGAATGTTGCTGGCACACTAGTTGTCGTAACGGCACGTCTGCCGCGTAGAACCAGATAGGGCGATAAACAACAAACTGGTGGACCAGCCCCTGAGAGGCCTCTGTATGTTCTGTATGTGTATCGAGAGATCATGACTGCATATCCTTGGGATTGTCAAGAAGCCAGTCGAAATGCCCTGAAGGGCACGTCAGAGGCATCCTCGCTGATATAGCGCCCGGCGAACGACTGTGCATCTTGCATGGCTCCACGGAGCTATCCCGAGTATAGTTATTCCTCGAACTTGTCGTAGTTAATGACAGGGGAGCTCCCCCATGTCCGCCCAAGCTGACTTTTAGGCAACGTGGCACTGGAGTGTGTCTTTGCTGCAGCGTCCCGACTAGGGTTCAACCCCCGGGGATACGAGATTGGCAGCGAAGATGCAGGTAATTTTGGGTAATTTTGGAGGATCAGAGTCTCCATCAGGCGAACTTTGCCATGCTGTCGGTAGTTAGCCGGTTGTTCATTGGGCCGCCGCGCAAAGAGACGTTTGGATTCTCCCACCAAAGTTGAGATTATTGACAATATAATGGTCGGCAGCAGTGAGATGCATGAACCTGTAGTCCGTAAGTACGGAGCAGTGGAAAGACGGAAGCACCAGTTACACCACATTCCGACCTGGCGAACTCCCTCGCTATCCAGCCGATATCGAATCCTTCAGAGGCGAGAATAATGGCATTCTCTGCTGCATGTTGCCGCTCTGTAAAGCAACCAAAAGAATCAAGTAGCTAGCCGTTCATGAAGTGCTACTCCTTGAAGGGATCTCGCGTCAGCACTATGAACTCCTTGATAAGTCAACGGAGTCCCCGACGAGTTGTCCCACAGTGTACTCCATGGAACTAGTTTGTAATCCGGTTGGATGTCTTTCCCTCTCATCCGAAGGCTGCGGGAGGTGGAACTCGCAAGGGCAGAGCTTGTTCGAATCTCGAGAATCCGCCGTCGTTAACAAACGTCTGAAGGATTCGATGTGTTTACTTCCCCTATTTGCCCCATTTCAGTCATCATTATTATTGCGAATGTTAGATCTTATCGAGCCGGCTCGTTCGTTGCCATAACTTATAACTGGCTAGTTATTCAGGGGCAGACAACGCCAGCAGAAATAGAACTGACATCTCCCAGTCCTCGTCTCCGCCGCAGACTCTGATCTTGACGGCAAACAGTCAGCCGTATAGAGGGATTGCCTCGCATACACTCGTATACCTAGGTCTGATCCCAGATCGAAGAGCTCCTAACTACTGCGGCCGCTGCGGCTGGTAAACCCCTGAACTAGCCACATAGTTAACTAGCTGAGCCGCAAGCTGGAATTTTCAGGCTCCAGGATTCTCTGGATGTTATGAAGCTAGACACAGAACATGAGGCCATCCATGGTCAGGCCAAATAGACGAGTCTCGATCCGAAATCGGTCAATAGGCGAGATTGTCGGAGCCTTCGTTTCAGCGGGCAACGTTCAGCATGCGATTCAATGTGAACGTGGCTGAACAGACACAAATCAACCTGCTTCATCGCTTCGAGCAGACTCGCACTAGTTAGTTAGTTATGAGCTTTCCTTTCCCGTGTCGTATCCGTGGCGCGGTTAACCATGCTGCCGATGTCTTCTTCAGCTGGAGTTTCTGCTGCCTGGCTGGATGTAAATCATTGAATGGTGCCTGCTGGGATGCAGGTCAAGCCACTCTTCTCAGACTCTCCAGCTCCCTGTTCCAACCAGTGCTGGAGCAGGCAGAGTGAATAGCTAGGCCTAGGCAGATACTTACTTCCTGCAGGGGCCTGAAGGCAGTGCTTGTCTTTGTTTTTCTCTTTGGTTACTCAACCTGGCTGCTGGATATAAATCTGCCTGCCTGCTGCGCCCGGTGCAGGCTCACACAGAGAGGCCAGCAAGGCAGCTAGCAGCCCTTTTGCATGCATAAAACCACAGCAGACTCACCGTGCTGTCCTTTGAAAGTCTCTGCGACTAGAATCCTTTTGTTTCCAATTGTTTCTTCAGCTTTCTTTCACTTTGCTCTGTCTCCTGTTGTAGGTAGCTGAGAACTGCTACCAAATATCATCAACCAAACAGCCAGCAACCAACCCCCCTTAGAAGCTGTAACTATCTACAGTCTCAGCATGGGACTCAACGTCTCCGAGGCCATCTGGAGATGGAGATGCAGGACGTTTGGGACTGGAGACAAGATCAAGCCTCGCTCACAGACTCGAAACAGCGCGAGTGCCCCCGAAGAGAACGTCCAGGGAGCAGACGCGCTTATCAAAATCCTCTATGAGGCCAAAGACAGCCGCGAGGACAACCGGAGATGGGTAGATTACCCCCCTAAGCAGCTCAGCAAGAGTGTCTCCAAGGCTCAGGATCGAGCAGCCATCAAAGTGTACAAGATCGTGGACCCAGACAAGCCCGTCATCAGTGGTCGTCCTACGCTGAAGTACTTCAAGATTACCGTCCAGAGTCCCCTCCTGGTTGCTGCACTCAAGGACATCGTTGAGAAAGATGAAATATACCTTGAAAAGACAGAGGCAGCAGAGTTCACCACCCCCTTTGCGCCGCTCTACTTCAATGCAGACGAGATTGCGGCAATGCTCAAGGATGCAGGCAAAGACACCCCTTTCCGCGAACATCTCGAACTCCTCCTGACCTTGATGGATGACATGTTTGCTGAAACTCGAAGTCGTATCCAGCCGCTACAGGCCAGTGGCCTTGCCTCGTTCAACCTGCTCTGGGCTTATTTTCCTACTGGTTCCCCAGTTTATATCTGGGAAGGAGATTGCGAGTTCCTGGGTAAAGTTATCAATACCGAAATTATCAAGTGCAATTCGCGACAAATACTGCGCCTACGTTGCAAGATCATGAAGTTTGATGGTCAAGATTATGTCTGGGACGAGTATAAGGGTGTGATCTGTGCCTTTGAGGGTAATATCCCCATCACAGATTTGCCATTTTACCCGCTCAAGTTCCATGACGATCCAGAGGCTGTCAAGTCGCGCCTGATAAAGCGAGCGAGAAAGTCGCTCGACTATCAGAGGCTTTCTTATGGCTCTTACACTGCTGTGGCTCTCTATAAGAGCAAAGATGGGATGATAAAACACAATGTATGGCTTCTACTAGTTTCGAACCTTCCAGTGAATACATATGGTTTGCTAACCAAACTTGTCTAGGTGGATGGAAGGATTCTGATTGATGTTGTGGGATACAATAAGCACCATGAAGCTCAACGAAACACTGAAAACGGAGTTGAGAATCCGATTAAACGCAAAACGCGTATTCTCCCAACAGATAAGGACCCCGAGACTGAGAAGTTCATGTTGCATATAACTGGTCCGAACAACGCCAGCCTTACCGGCGGAGTTAAACCGAGGACGACAAAGCACATTTCAATAGAAGATCAAGAAAGGAACAAAAAAGGCATCCTTGGTCTAGGGGATGAGATGATGTACATGTGTCCGTTTCTCGAGGGCTTCGCCCTGAAAAATAAGGAGTGGCGTAAGTGTGCCATTTATCTGAAGGACATTCATAGTGCTAACGGGTAAAGTCAACTTTTATGTCGAGGATATTGAACAGGTCAAATGGAATGACGAGGCTTATGATCACTTGGTATATGACGAGCAGCAGAAGGACCTGATACTGTCCTTCGTTGAACACCACTATAGTTCGATGAAGATGTCGGATGATGTCATAACTGGGAAAGGTCAGTCAGTTTTGGGATTGCAGATATATTGTGATGTCTAACACCGCCCAGGTCAAGGATTGAATATTCTCCTTTCCGGGCCTCCTGGCACAGGAAAGACCCTCACCGCCGAAGCAGGTAAGAAAGACACGAACTCCTGGAAGCGAGGACATCCTGCTAACAAAATAATTTAGTTGCCGACAGATGCCGCAAACCTTTATTTTACCTCCAGGCTGAAGACCTGGGCATCCAGGCGGCAGAGCTCGGAAATAACATCAAAAAGGTCTTCGAGCTGGCCCTAGAATGGAACGCTGTCATCCTCCTTGACGAAGCAGACGTCTTTATGGCAGAGCGTAACCCAAACGACATCCACCGCAATGAGCTCGTATCCATCTTCCTCCGCGAACTCGAGTATTACCGCGGTGTCATCTTCCTGACCACTAACCTCTACGACACCATTGACACAGCCTTCAGATCTCGCATCAACCTCCATCTGTTGTTCAAATCGCTATCCCCGTCAGCTAGGCTCCAGGTTTGGACCAAGTTCCTGAGCCGGCTGCCTCCTTTACCTGCCACGGCGGGCCGCAAGGAAGAGAAGAGCGCCCTGGGTGATTTGAACGAGGAAGACTTGAAAGAGCTTTCCATGTGGCAGCTGAATGGACGTGAGATCAAGAATGCAGTCAAGATGGTGAAGTCATGGTGCGACCAGAAGGGCTATGACATGACTCTTTCGCGCATGGAGAGTGGTATCAAAGTCTCCGCTCCCCAGGCTACAAAAAGAGATTTCACTAAACCGATGGATTTGTATGATTGAATTGCTTGTCAGTGGTTGGTTCCTTTAACTAGTTAACTTACCCCTGACCCGTTCCACCATTTGGTTCAAGCACAGTTAGAACACAGCTCAGGAAAGCCTCGTTAACCATCGATGAATTGAATTATTAAACATATTCTCGCCCGAAATTTCATCTGAATCCCATCTTATCAATAATAGTAACATGCCTGTCAAACAAATGTTGTCTACCTCGGCGTCGTTGTCCATAATATAGCAACACGCCCTATTTTACACGCTCCCCACGGGACAGGGATTGTGCCGAGGTCCGGCACATGCAAACTAAAAATAAACTCAACGTTCGGCGTTTCAAACTTTTTATATCTAAAGAAGAACCCCAGGATGTTCGAGCAGACAAGTTCAAGTCGGGGTATTATCTTTCAATATAATATACTCTTTTTATCTTCTCCGTATAATAGCTGCCATCTCGATATTTGGCCGTTGATATCGATCATGGAGACGATTTATCCTAAGATTGAAGCCGGCTGGGCCTCTCTCGTCTCAAGCTACTCTCCCACAACGATAGAATTTGTCGGAACCTCTCTCGTCCAGCTGGTGGCCTTCTGGATACCGTCCGCAATCTATCTCAGTCTCGATAAATGGGCCCCGGAGTTCTCCCAAAGACACAAGATCCAACCAGCTCCAAAGCAGCCCACAGCCAAGGAGATATGGCACTGCTTCTTCTACGTACTGAAGAACCAGCTGCTTTCCACATCACTACACATACTCCTGCTCACCCTGGTCCATAAAAACATCATCCCACCTTCATATCAGGTGCTTCCGACTTTGCCACCATTCGCAATCGTGGCCCGAGACTTTGTGCTTAGCATATTAATGCGTGAAGCCCTCTTCTACTACGCTCATCGACTCCTCCATTACCCGTACTTTTATGTCAGGATTCACAAGCGGCACCACAAGTTCACTGCTCCTGTAGCCCTGGCGGCCCAATATGCCCACCCACTGGAGCAGATAGGAGCAAATGTGCTGCCGATTACTCTTCCTCCGCAAATACTCAACAGCCATATCATTACCTTTTGGTTATTTATGAGCTATGAGCTATTCAATACCGCAACTGTGCATAGCGGGTATGACTTCTTAAGTGGAAAGGCCAAGATGCATGATTTGCATCATGAGAAGTTCAATTTGAACTACGGATCTATTGGGTTTTTGGACTGGTTCCACGGGACAGATAGACTGAGAAGCAAGGAGAAAAAGAACAACTAAGCAAAATTGGCAGTGGTGCATTTGTGTATATACAGCATGTGAGGGTCGTTGGTGGCATCTGGTGGTATCCTTGCACTTGCAACATGTTTTCTATCTAGTTTATATTTATATCTTATGAAGGACCAGCCAGCACTTCTCCAATCCAGTTCATCTGCACGGCGCTAACACCCCTTGCATAGCTTCGAGTTGTAAAGACGAATTCATTGTATATGATTGCCTCAACTTTCCTGCCAAAGAGTACACTGGATGGATGTATGGCCACAGTCTGATTCCCTACCAGAGTACGATAGCTGCCATCAGGGAAAAGTCGTGCCGTGTTTGTGGCAAACCCAGTAAGAAAACTGGTCAGTATCGGGACTGGATCTTCATTTCCCAGGGGCGTAGAGTCGTCGTCTTTAAAGGACGTATCTCCAAATAACTTTGACTGTTTACACTGGGCCAACAGCTGTTTGCGTACATCCTAACGGTCTGTTAGCTGAGAAAACATGGAAAATTATCCCAAAGTATAGGCGTACCATAACTGCCTGCATTGCTCTATGAGAGACAAGGTGTCGTTCAGCCCATGCCCTTCGGTCCGCGTTTTCAGCCGCATACGCGCGGACAGTGGCAAGCATGGTCAAATGGTCCCCCTCCCTCCGGTATAAGTCGCGCCTTGCCAGATCTGCCTGTTCTTTCTTCTCCTCTGATGATGTGTTTAAGAAGATATTCTCTACACTCAGACATGAAATAATATCGATGACGTCCCTGAGACAACGAGGCCCCTTCTCTGCCCCAGCAAGGAGCACCCGGCCTAGCGGCGCAGTAAGGGGAAGTTTGGCTATCCGGCTACCGATAGGGCTAATCTTCCCCGTCTCATCCAGAGCGTTAATATTGAAAAGCTGTAATAACGCCTTTTCAATTGCATCTCGAGGAGGAGGTGTGAGAAAGGGGAACCCGACGATATCATCTACTCCCCTGGCTTTCATCGTTAATATAGCTTGGCTCACATCACATCGCAGGATCTCAGGAGTGTTGGTCTCCGGTAAGGCAAGGTATTCCTTCTCGGGGTATAAACGGTAGCATTGTCCTGGCGCTTCTCGACCAGCACGGCCTTTCCTTTGGATAGCAGCAGATTTTGATATCGGTTTAACAAGCAGCGAATCTAGGCCAAGGCGTGTCCTGAACTGTTTCGTCTTTGCCTTGCCGCAGTCAATAACATATCGCACTCCAGGAACAGTCACGGAAGTTTCAGCAATGTTCGTAGCTAAAATAACCTTCCTTGTCCTCGGAGGTGTGGACAGGAAGACTCGTTGTTGAGCAACCTGCGGAAGAGCTGCAAAGAGAGGTACAGCTAGCACTTTTGGCAGTTCCTTATCCATGGTACTAGCATAGTCATTGACCAGATACTCCAAGTTTTCCACCGTCTCTTGGCCAGTTAAGAAGACTAGAATATCACCAGGCAATGGTTCCTTGTAGTGAATCTGGAAAATTGTTTTGAGGGCTGCATCCACGAAGTCAGGGACCGGTACCGGAGAATATATAGTGGTGACAGGGAACTGGCGGCCCTTTATATGACAGACTGAAATCTGATCCGGTTTTCTTTGAATATCTTTCCCCTTTGCTGAGGGCGTTGAAGTATTTGGTTTCTGAGCATTAGAACCGGCATCATCTTCCTTCATAGGTTCCAGCGGAGCATTTGACGTTTGTGTGTATCCATCAGTAAAAAACGAGAGCAAACTCTCCATATCCGCTGTGGCACTCATGACCACAATCTTGAGCGGGACTCCTCCTCTCCCTTCCTTGCATCCTGTAGCAATGTTTCTCAGGAACCCAAGGAGCAAGTCAACATTGATACCCCTCTCATGAACCTCATCAACAACTATAGCGCTGTACTTTGTCAACCACGGGTCACTCAGCATTTCTTGCAACAGCATTCCATCTGTCATGAATTTGATACGAGTGCTCGGAGAAACAGAGGTATCAAAACGCACAGCATAGCCAACCTTGCTCGCAGGTGATGAAGAACCAAGCGGACAGCCAACTTCTTCTGCCACTCTTCGTGCCAGGGAGACGGCTGCCACACGCCTAGGCTGGGTAATGGCTATGCAGCCTCCGACGGTGGCTGTTTGCTTGTTGCCGGAAGATGGTATCTTGACTGATTTTGGGCGACACCAGTGCTCGTCGATAAGGAATTGAGGCACCTGGGTACTTTTACCACTTCCTGTCTCTCCGACAAGCAGCATGACATCTGTCCGTCGAAGATGAGCACGTATCTCATCTGCGTGCGCAAAGATAGGGAGTTTTTTTCTCGTTTCAAGAAGAACCCTGGCCTTTTCCTTGAGATTGGCTGTGCCATTTTTCGAGTGGCCTCTGGGGTTGGATATATTACTTTCATGGGTAACGGTGCCATTTTGAATCATCTTTCGAGATGTTTGCTCAGATTCAACGCCATTTGCTGACATTCGAGGCTTTTTGATTCCATTCTCATCGTCGTTGTTTCGGTTCCCACGCTTCCGCTTCCTAGCCCGTTTAGATGCTGATACCGCTTTATCTTCTCCATTTCCCGTATTGCTGTCGAGGGAATCCATATCTGCGTCTTGTTGTTGCTAGTTTTTGTCGATTCTTTCCGTGAAATTTGATGAAAGGATTTTGAAGTTTTATGCTTATGGTAACAGGCCCGTATCTTGAAATTTGTTGTCCAATGAAATTGAAGAACCTTAATAAAATACACATGTGCAGCGAAGACTACATACGAGATCTGTAATCATAAAATACATGGAGCAGTTCAGTTTGAATATCGATTCTGAAGAAATTAAAGGCATGTTGTAAGATAGGATATCTGTTATGTATAAGCAATGTATCTATGATATCTACAGAAGAGGCCTGCCTCTTGAGCTATGGGAAAGTGTCATAATTGATCATTCCTGCATGGGGGGTGAGAAGAGTAAACGAATCATCAACATGGCCACGGGTCAAACGTCCAAGTCGACTAATCGTAGCATGCGAGATATCTGTTCGACCTTCGGAGTCATTACTACAGCCTGTCCTTCTGCATAGTCATTCTCGTATGCCTTTAGAGCAGCTTCAATGGTTTTCCTTCTTGCCAGGTCCCCAGTAGATATCCACGCCATCATTAAACACATGGGCACGAAGCTTGCCGCCAGCGGCCTGTATATCATCGCAGAGCCCGCAATTTCAAGTATCTCGTCAATGTATATTGACGGGTCTACCACAACAGCGTTGCCCGGGTCGATTCCAGTAACCACACAACTGAGAATGATGACGACGGTAAGACTGAGGCCAAAGGAGCGCTGGTAGAACGAGTGGGCCATAACAATAGGGTCCTTGAACGAAAACTCGCCCTTTGGGGGAAGACCGGCCTTCTTGTACTTTTCTCGTAGCTCGTCTGCCGCCCCTTTTGCCATGTGGTATGCTGCCAATGCATCTATTAGCAGATGCTCGTCTGTCACTCCGTCTTTGCGGGCCTTTCTGGCTCGGTTCAGGAGGCCTGGCACTTTGGCAACACCACGCATCATCCTGCCTTCGGGAGTTACTCCGTCAAGATGGTTTTCCACAAGGGTTTTCCATTCTTCGGGAGTAAACTGGATCTTTTGGTTGAGAAGTCCCTCAAAGACCTGTCAAAGAGGAGTAAGCATAGCTGTACGTGCCAGGAAAAAAAGGCTACAAACGGGGTCATACCACCGGCCCTCGCAGTGAGAGGACTAGTTTGCTTTCGAACTCGTCGTTTGGATCATAGTATCTTCTAGCCCTTAACAACTGGGCGGCTCCTTCGCAGTGGCCCGTAAAGTCACCCTCAGTGATACCGATAAACCGCTGCATAGACAATGTCAGGAGATTGTAGAACAATAAATTTAGTACATAGATCAGTGATCCGGCGTCTCACCTGGCACATCAGCAAGACCATGACCGAGCAGAGAGTCTCAGACGTTCGCGCCTTGACTGGGTCGTTGAGGTACGATCTGAGCATCCTGAGAGCTCTGGAGTATCCTACCAGCACTCGCGAAGTAACTCCCAGCCCGGCGCAGAAGTCCTGATGCGAATCAACCAGCACCTGCACCGCCGAGTCCAGGGCTTCATTGACCCCCAGACGCCGTGGGATGTCCACCAGAAAGCCGCCAAAGGACCAGGCGAGGTTGTATCTCAAGTCGGTCGTCGGCTTCATCGTCTCGATAAAGCTGTTCCGCAGCGCTGTTATCCCGTTAACAGGCACCCGGGGGATCTCTTCGACAAAGACGAGGGTCTCGAAATTCGGTAACTGGCCGACGGCGGGCTTCTTCCTGGTCGTCAGGCTCTTCGACTGGCTCTGCTGGCTCTGCTGGCTGCTGCGAAAGACATTCTCCTGCTTGAACTTGTATCTCTGCAGGCCCGCGCCGATGCACGGGATATTCAGCCGAGTACATCGCGCACACGATGGCCGTCCTTGATCACACTATACAGTCCTCTCCGCATTAGCCAGTCTGTTGTTTGTTTGTTTGTTGCCGTTCATAGTTACTCAAGTGGCTGCAGCACCTTTTTCTTCTGCTTCCTGCAAGCATCGCAACCGCGGCCTGATGGAACTCCCGGCATGATTAACTATAGACACTCAACGCGCAAAACGGCCACACTCTTCCATGAAGCCTCGAACACATCTTTCGAAAGGAGAAAAAATCAGCGGCTCTGAAGCAACCTGATCGACCTCCGGCTGAGCAGCAACGGAGCTGAAGGAGCTGCCTTGGCGAGGCTGGTTAAGTTATCTTGGTTAACTAATTACGAGGCGAGCAGGCGGGCAGTGCTCCATCTATAGACCTTCGGAAGGCTGCTTAACTATCTTAACGCATTACGTGTAGAAAGATGGTAGGAGAGCTGAAGGAATATTTATAGGATCATCATGGAGACAGTGTGGAATATGCATAAAATCACGTTAAGTGGAGGAAAAATCAGGTCAGTGACCGGCGATGATAGCTAACCAGCATCTTCGGCGCCATAACCAGCCCCAGCCATAACTACGGAGTAACCAACAGTTAACTTGTCATGGCGAAGTAGTTGAGTGACTGGTGAGTCCCGTCTAAGACTGATGGGCATCCATGATTGGACTCATCAAGAGTTTGAGGAGCTGTATAAAAAAGACGGAGAAAAGTCTGGTCAGCGACAGGCAAGCTACTTCTCCTGCCATACGCAAGGACAGGCTTACCCATTGCTCGAGTCGAGTCTCATTATCACGGAATTCCGCAAACTTCTCGTCCAAGCTGCCTGCATGATAGTTAGTGTCATTAACTTCGTGACTCGAGGTTTCTGAGATCTCCTTGCTCACCAGTTGTGCAGTATAGAACATCCTGCAGTTGATCCTCACGCATTAGAGACTTTAGAAAGGCTTTTGCATCACGGTCAGGTCCGATTTGGCTGATCTGGAAGCGGACCACTGCGGGTAGTTAGTTAGCAGGGGATGAATAGTTAACCCTTTTATTAGTTATTTCTGCTTACCTCTTCGATCGTATCCAGCAGCCTTCAAGCGACTTCCGCATTCAAGAATCGCTTCCTTTAGCGTTCCAGTTTTTTCACCCTCTGGACAGCCGTCCGTGATGATAGAGACAAGAACTGGTCGTCGCAGGCTGTTTGTTCTTAGCGGCTGATATACCAGTGGTTCAAGAATCCTGCTTCTCAGATTCGTGCCGAGTTCTGTTGGCCCATAGGGAGCCTGCTGTCCCATGAGTTGTCTGAGCTCACCGAGGGTCCGCTGGTAGATCATGATTTCTGTGTTGCGGTTGATGAACCGCGCCTTGATGCCTTCATCGTCTGGGATGATGCGTGTGGCGATGCTTGCAATGCGCTCGACGATATCGATTTGGTGCTCAACTCGATTACCCTCGTTCATAGAGCCACTGTCATCTATGTATATCATCCATTAGTCAACCATCGATCAAACAGTTATCGGATAACTATCTGACTGAATTTGAGATTAATACCCACCGCAATACATGATAGGTTGGAAGAGGGCCAACCGGGTCAAGGCCTTTGTGTCGAGGGTATTGTCAGGGTTGGCCTCCAGCTTGGTGGCCTTATCAACCACCGTCTGCAGGAAAGGGTCATCGGACGGGAAGAACTTGTTCAAGTCGTTCCCCTCGATGAAATCCTTCGCATCTTTCTGGAACTCCTCCTTGGGCTCGGATTGTTTCAGCTTCTACACCAACGGATTAGTATATACCAAATAACTATAGCTTGACCCCCTCGACTGATCCCCCGTAGCCCCTTTTTATAAATCATCACGTATATCAGGTCCAGAAAAAAGGTTCTGGGCGTACTCACCTCTGGCCAGACCTTCTCGTCAAAAATCCCACTCATCTGGAACCTCCTTTTAATGACATGTGTTACATACGGGCTTGCTGCAGTCACAGCACCCGCAGCTCCAACCGCAGCGACCATAATGAAGGCATTCACCCACGCAACGACGCCCACTATGATGCTGACAATCACACCAATCCAGTGGAGCCATCCCAGCGAGCGTTCCTTTCGCTTCCGCAGCGCCTTTATCGTATCAGGATCACCGCGGGCCTCCGCAATTTCCCTGGGTGTCTCTTTATGCTTATTTTTCTGGTCCGGGTCTGCGCCCCTGTCTACCAATGCGTTGAGCAAGTAAGGGGGTTTGTACGTCTTCACAGCTGCGAGGAGAGGGCTCGAGTTGTCGTCCACGGTAGAGACGATGTTCGGATCCGCGCCCGCGTTAAGGAGGAGTTGCATCATGGCTCCCACTCTCTCCTTGGACCTTGCAGCTGCAACCCAGAGCGGCGGGCGTACTGGATCATAGTCTTTGCTAGGGTCTTTGCTAGGGTCTTTGTTCTGGACTTTGGTAGGGTCTTTGCCGTCGGGATTGGCGCCATTCTTGAGTAGCAGTTTGACTACTTTGACATGGCTGAACCAAACTGCAATGCCGAGGGGAGTGAGCTTCGTTCGGGGATGAATTGTATTCAGGTCACGAATCATTTCCCTGTTGGTCATGTGCTCCTTGGTGAGCTGGCCAGATTTTGCTAGATCGTAGATGGATGCCATCGTCGCTGGTAGTTGATAGTTGGTAGATATCAGGGAATGAAGTGAGTTTGGTATACGTTTGGATCAACGTAACAAAAGAAGACGAAGCAGAATGGGACAGTTATAGCCAACCGTGATGACTATGGTAGGAATCCGTGGGTATATAAGACTGATTGATGAAGGGCATTTGCTCAGACTGGGATCGTTCTCTCTCCTTTTAATGTTTCCCTTCAATAGAGACTGATGTATCAAAACACACACCATCCCCCTTTTTTTCTCAGCAGTCACTGTCAACTTGAATGCTGGCATCCCTTGCATCCGAAATCCCTACCTGCTGATCTTTGGGAGAATGCGCTGGCTCTCCTTGTTGATGGTGGTTAGATTGACTGCGGGTTGCGGCACGCCAAACTCATGGCTGCCCGCTTCGTAGGCGTCCTGCATTCGTTATTATGATATCACCCTGCATGGATAGGGGTAGAAGGGGATTGGGTCGTTGCAGAGAAGATCAAAGTCGCCTAAGGCCGACCCTGATGAAGTGCTGTCAGTGAACGAGGCTGATTACTTAACTATCCAGCTCTCATATCTAGGTAGTTATTGCATACCGGACTGCTGCTGCCCGCCTCGTCAGTTAGGCATCTGATGCCCTGGCAGGAAGCTCGCCCATCACTGGCGGACACGATCTGCTGGGATAAATCATAGATGTCACTCTTCTGTGAGCGGTTCAAAGTAATAAAACTCCCACTTCCCATAATCTTACTCCCCCCCTACATCATCCCGGATATCATTTCCTTTGTGAAGTATCCCACCCCTTTTCCTGCTCTCCAGAGCCTCACCCGACACCTACCCAGCCTCTACCCAGCCATGTCAGCCTTGTCAAACCGCGGTGAAATTACAATCGGTAACCCTGAGGCAGCCCAAGATCTTTATGGATTGGGCGTGCGTGTCGGGTTCTATCTACAAGGCCTGGGTATGATTCTCTACAACTATGGCCCTGACGAGGTTGATGATACCAATACACCCGCCACTGGAGATGGTGAAGAGCCCAAAAACGAATATGGCAAGGGTCTTACGATAGCTGCGACCTCAATCGCCCTCGCTATTCTTGCATCATGGTTCGTATTTGCAGCGCGTGCTAAATTCAGTGCCGCGGAAAGCGTCATCACATTGTTTATGGTGTTCAGCGTGTCACTGATGGCAAAATCGACGCTGGACAATGCTCGGGCGATTGTTGGGGAGCTGACAGGCGTGGTGGCTATCCTCCTGACAGAACTGGGGCTATGCGCGGCGCTATTGTGGACGTTCGCGGTGTTGGTGAAAAGGCTTCCACTGTTGGGCACGAAAAACCTGGTGTTCTTTTTTGCACCGGTAAGGCTTGATGGATGGTTTAGGTACCTCGCGCTGGTGTACTTTGTAATTGATGCAGCCACATCATTGAGCTTTGCGTGGAAGGTTTTGCGGATCATGGTCATCGTATGCGAGTGCTGGATTAATGGGAGGACGGAGGAAAGGACTAAGAGGGAAGTTTTGAAAATAGAGAATACCCTTGGGTGGAAAAAGAACGAGATGACCCCCTATATCCATGCCATGAGATGGATAACTTGGATCTTGATGGTATTGGCAGTGGAACTCACGCTGCACTGGAATCAGTTATCGCCTACAACAGACCTCCTGGTCCCCGGCCAGCTGATTCCGTTTGTCGCAGGAGTTGTTATCCTAATAGACAGTGGGATCATTGCTGGTCGTGCACTGGTTCCACGGTGCCACAAAGCAATAAGGTCGTGGAAAGCGTGGATACTGCGGACTTTGCAGAATTTGCGGGACCTGAGTTCTAGGGGAATACGCTCATTCAAGAGGCATATGGCGGACCTAGCCAATAAAATTAAGGGGGCCAGTCAGACACAAGTCTAAGTGATGGACAAAAATATAAGCGTAAACCTGTGTCTACCTAAGGTTTAGTATTGGGCAATATCATAGTATAGATACCTCGAAGGAACTAAGGTTCAAGCGCGGTTCCTTATCCAAACCCCATTCACTCGAAACACATATTATTGAACTAACAGCCCTCATTAGTCGAAATCCAAAGGGACTAAACAGCTGCCTTAAAACATACCTTAGCAGGTTTATTGATGTAATGCTTCATAAACCCCACCTCCGGTGTATCCATCTCTTCCATCTCGATATCTTCCTCTTTAAGTAAAAAATTCGCCATGCGAAACTCAACAAGTTGACCTATATCAGCAGGGTTCCCTGGATCCTTGCGCTCTAGCACAATACGAAACATCTCGGAACTGTTTGTTGGTTTCTTCTTTGAATTCTTCTTTGGCTCGATCCGGACAAGATAGGGGAAACAGCAGTCTTCTAACTTATCAGTCAGCGTCACGACTTGCCTCACGTAATCCCAGAGAACCCATCGCTGCTTCTCTCTGGATTGAGGCCATCCGCGCGGATGTCGGAACCGAAATACATAAGTGGGTTTGCCGGTCAGGTTTGATGTGGGTGCGTAGGCTGGGAAGATATCAAAAGTGGTTTCAAGGCCCTTCTCTCCCAGGCGTACCCAGCCATGTTGCTCGAATGGAGGAAAGCGAAGATATAGACCCTCAAGAGGTGCATCTTTGGAAGGAAAGACTCTGAGAGCCTTCTCTTCGTGGCTTACCCCCAGCCATCGGAAGATTTGCTCCAGGACCGTCTCGCTAAGCCGGCACCCTTTGCTATTTCCACGATGAAGATCACTCCCGTTTGTGCTAAGATATTTTTATCAGCTTGACACCGTGTGGTATGTATTTATAATGCATATAAATAAAGGAAGACGCACTGAATACCAACAACCGTGTCATGACCCTTGAATGGCATAAATACCGGTGCCCCGCTCAACCCCTTTGCCGTGGCTATCTGGTATTCTATGCGACTCCGATTCCAGCGCTTGCAGTCCCCAGAGCTGGTAGATGGTTCGGGTCGAGTGCAGTCCGAGGGAAATCCGCAAATCTGTAGACTTTTATCACGCAGGCTTTCTTCGGCAAGTTTCAAAGCAAACCCAAACCCACGGGATACAGACGTGCTGGTCGGTACACGGATTGCTCCAAAGTCAGTTTCGGTCCGTGGCCTTGACGAGTATGAAGGGGATACGAAGATGTCCGGATCTCCGGGTTTGATAATGGCGCCTTGTAAGGGGTCGTAAAACTGCAAATCCTGAGACGGCTTATTTTGCTTATCAACGAGATTATGCGCGGCAGTGAGGATAACGTGGGCTTTGGTACCCGGGATATTGACATAAAATCCAGTTCCGTGGCTCTTCTCCCCCTTCGGTGCTGTATGGGCCAATGTAAGAACATGAGTCAATCCAGATTCTGTTGTCTTCTGCCATGAGAAAATGAATACTAGACGAACCCGAATTTTGCCTGAAATCAAGTCTGACGATCCAGCTATTGCGTATCTGGGTTGAAGCGAACGACAGTCCGCCAGTGGCACCCTTGTCGTTAGGCAAAGCAACCCAGCTAGGATCAAAGAGATCCGGATCCAAGTGTAGAGAAGAGGGAGTAGTAGACATAACTAGCATAGGCGGGAAACTGATAGTATCCTCCTCATCATTTCGTAGAAAAGAACAATTTCGACATTCGTGCTCGACTTAGCAATTGTATGCTACGTGCGCAATTTTGTATTCGGAGAGACAGGGAATAATCGTGAAGTTGCGATTGGTAGCCCCATTTCATGCCCAACTGGATGCCTTGGAGCTTTTCATCGGCGGCTCCTGAGAAAGATAGACCCCGCTCCCCTTGACAAAGTACATATATATACATATGCGGTGGGGGAAGATTGAGCAGACCGAAAAACATTGAAAACGTAGTGGGACAGTATCAAGGAAAGAGACAAATTTTCAACCTATTTTCCCGCTTTTCACTCTAAGACAAAGATCCAAGAAGTATGGACTTTAAACCCCAAGACTTCGTTCACTATCTCCTTGCCGCCGCTGGGGCATTCCCACATGATCAACCTGGGATTTCCCTGATATCGGAGGAAGACGGCGATTTGATCGAAAAGCTCTGGACGGGAACCGAAATCGCAAATCAAGTGTTTGTTGCGAGTGATGTACGGAAAAATACACCAGGTCTATATCTTTTGGGTGAAGAAGAGGTGAGCATATAGACTCCACCCTGCGTAGCTAGCCAGAGAGGCATAATGTCCTAACAATCAACATCAATCTTAGCGAAGCATTTTCTTCGTTGACAAGTCGGACGTTCTTCAGTGGTATCGATACGACCCAGACGAAGAGGAATGGAGTGAAGTTGAGTATGATAATAAAGGAAAGTTGACCGTTCACCAATCGAGCCGATTAAGTGGTTGCCTCAGCCCGGGGGGTGAAATCGTGATATTCGAAGGTCCGGAAAATGGACTTCAAGCGTACAGAGTCACGGACGGAGAGAAGTTTGAAACCCTACCCCCATTACCCGCAGATTTGGAGCCGGGGACGCCACATCAGGCCGTCCTGCTAGGAGATGACACCCTGCACCTGCTGTATGTCCACCGTGACAGGCGAATTCATCATCTCGTTACAGAGAGTCCTGGACTCAGGGAATGGAAAGGTATAAAATCTAACCCCTTCTTCCGCTTGAATGCAGAAAGCTAACAGGTGGCCTTTATAGACACGGGCAGTAGCTTCCCTTACCCAAGCTCCAATCATGATGAAAAGATTGTCAGCTTCATCGTTATCCCACAAGGGGATGGATCTCTGGAAATATGTGCCCTGATGTCGGGAGGCGCGCTGGTGCAAGTGAAGGCCAACGGGCAGATTACCCAACTGGGAACTGTCAAGCAGGGCCGGTTCACGGCTCACACGAGCGAAGAGTGCGGTATTGAGCTTATGCTAGGCATCAAGAAGGGTATTAAAGCAGTTGCGCATAAGATGAAAAAATAGTTAATGTAACTAGCGTCCCATTACCAATTAAAATTCCAGCGACTGAATCCCTGCAATGCATAGCTGCATATATCAGAGCTCTGTATTTATCCAGCAAGTTGGCGCCTTGATG